ACCGATTATATTGCTATCTAAGGTCGCAGAACCATCTGGTTATATACAATCCATACGGTAAAGCCAATTACCGACATGGATATAAAGTTTTTACAGCGCTGAAATGAAACGTTGCTCGATCAGGCGTCGCTAATCATAGGCTATAGATGTCTGGATGAGTAAACAGTCGACGATATAACTACCCTATAAAGCTGGAGCAATAATAATGCTGTAAAAAAGACGTCTCTAACTATACGTCAACAAGACTTCACCTTCTCTGAATAGTAATCATTCATTGCAACTTGAACAGTACAGACCTCTACGTCCATTATAAATGGTAAGGAAATGTCTGAAGGAATAGAAAACTACCCACAATCTTCGCAACCTGTACACCTTTTGGCATCACGGTGTGGTGACATTTTGAGGGCGAGAAAGTGACATGATCCATGATATTTGAATTTCCTGGATCAAAGCAGCCGCATGGAGGATGATCACGACCTCTTAACTGTACTCTATTGACGTCACACTTCTCCGTGACTAAACCTTGGCGATGTTTACACGATCCTTTAATTCATGGCTAGAATGGGAGAGAACGGACGGTCATTTGGTGATGTAAGTGCATATTGTGCACGTATTACTCTATGCAACTTATATATTGCAAAATACCTGCTGTTTCAAAGAAGTTGCCATATTTTCAAACTATTGCAGACGTCCAGAAGTTAGCAGTACTATGTACTAGTAGTCGGGCGATAAATGAAGATACACTGAAGAAATGACTTCTTACTCAGACAATACGATACCCTAGACACCAAGGCAACTGGGCCAGACGACCTGACTTACTTATGAAGAGAATGAAATATGATATCTCTGATGCCTTGTGGCTTTGTATTTGATATTTCATCTTTGGATTGTAGAAATCAATGAAACTCTAAGACTCCAATAATCCTCAAGGTTTATTGCAGGTGATGGATGTACTCCTGGTTTCAAGGGCAGTAGTGCGCACACAGATCTCATATCAGTTCTGCCTGAAGTAAAGATAATGCCTCCCACACGGCACAAAATTTGTGAATTCACTGCTTTGCAACTTTGGTTTTCACACCTACATTGTTTTATTATATAACTTAAGTGTGTTTCTTGCATACGTTCATCATATCTTGTCATAACTTTATCAATTTTGTGCTGACTTCTAATTTTTGTACACTCCAATACTAGTACTACTAGTATGTCTGTCTTTCTCTCTTCATTTGATAAAAACACACTAGTGCTCAGAATATACAGCACAGAACAAGCTAAAAAAAGGGTCGGCAAATCAGCAAAGACTTCTAAAGCATTGTATCAAACTTATCATTCTCATTTCCAATGGTGCTTACGTGACATACGTGACTCAAGGAAGCATTGCTAAATGTGCTTTTCCCACAGATGTAATGAATTGTTACTCTAAGGAGTGAATGATGTGGACAAAAGAGTCCTGAAGCTAACAAATCACGTCTCCCTGTTCCCCGTGGTGTAATTCCATTCCGTCAGTGTTGATGAATGACAGTTGTTCCACAGATCAGGTCAACACTGATTCACTTCAACTCCGTAGCTTTTGCTTGGTGTGAATTGGGTTCTGACCTCTAGTACACTTCAGAGGCGTAAATTGTTCTTAACCAACAAATTTCACTTTTTATGACTAGCGGCATTTTATTACCTGGTTGCTAGTGTTGCCAACGTATTTTCTGATGAATCATTGGTGACTCGTGTGCACTTGTATTGCTTAGCGGAATGATTGCAATGTGCGTAAAACTGGCCATAATTCTTGCTTTTTATATCTCTAACAGCTGTTCATAGAAACGTATTACCAATCTATCATTCGACATACTAGTATTAATCAAAAAGTTCCAACAAAACTTTGTAGACGTGCTAAACTTCAAATTCCGTTGGGTGCCCACTTCGTAACATTACCAAAGGTAACTGTAATACACTACTGTCGGGAGTAAAACTACTCACCATTGCACTAGACCCCATGTGATAATCTGACAACCCTTTAAGTGGTTAAGGGCAACAATATTGTACTTTAAATCTAGTTTCAGCGAAGGGTGCGGACTCATAGGTACTTTGCCTGTATCCTCTTATCCATCACACCTCCAGTTATTATTAACCTTATCACTCCCAGTCCGGCTGTGGTATCTCTGGCGTGTGGAGTACGGATTACCTACTGGCAGATGGAGACTTCACCAAGGCTTCAAACCTGTCACGTCCCGCTCAGGAACGTCAAGAGCAAACGTGGAGCCGCCTCTCGGGCTAATGATGGAAAACTGCCGCCACTCCAAATTAAGCCCAGGGCGGACAATAATCTCACAAGTCAAACAAGTGGCGTGCTCGCAAACTCCACAGGGGATCGCAATTATCTTAACCTATTTATGTGATGAATGAAAAGTTGAAGCCAATTATACCAATACACCCAATATATTTCATGGTTGCGGACAAAAATTATAACATTTAAAGAATTTGCTCCTGGGAACCGTCTACTGAAACATAATGAAGAATTCTGACCAATGAAAAAAATTGCAATGCTCTAAAGCCTGTGCCACGTTGCGAAACGCATTTTATGTATTAACTCTCAGGCTGATTCATTATATGTGACGCCGTGGAATACAGAATTTTCATTTTGATGAATATCTTTTTATTATTTTTCAAACAAATCATCGGTGACGCACGCTGAGTAGATCACAGGGCAAAGGTGACTGTAGCCAGGAGCCGCCGGGGCCATTCACCTTCGGCCTCACCCTATCCACCACGCACCACATGACGTATTACATCGGTACAGATTGGCTCCAAACTTTCTCATAGATAGACAGGCCGATCTCTCCTAAATAATGGTAGAGTCCACACATGCCGGCCAACTCTACACTGGCAACTGTTCCGGTGAATATGTTACCTCTTTTGACAGGATATTCTGTTTCTAGCTCAAAGCTAACCTTGCTCACCGTAAAACTAAGCAATAAAAGTAAGTAAGATTACGAATGTGAGTAAGCCTCTTTTCAACTATGGAGTATACGGTACTCACGGCATTTGTCCTCGTTGCCTGAAAGGTTAGACGTTGTTTTAGCATGCAGATCTTTTCTATCCACTCTCATTACAGTAACGTAACGATTCCTGTGTGTGCACTTTGCTCAATGATGTGGCCTTAATGCAACTAAAAGGATGTAATAATAGTGATTTCCCCGGCAGTGTGCTGGGCGTGATGAGACCGGCAGCTCATACCTTCTGCTTAAGTAGCACTCTGGCGTACTCATCAGATCGTGCGCAATATCAGCTTTGACTAAAGGTGTAACTAGGACCAGCAGACCATCGGGAATAGAATACAGACTATCACTCGGTCTCGCTTGCCTGGTTTCAAAAATAACGGTTGCGTCAGTCCGCATTATTTCAGCTCGTCAGGGATGAGATGTCATTGGCTCAGAGCTTATGGCAGCATGCGCAGTACGGATTGCGCATCAACAGTTGTATTGACGCTCATTTCTCTCCCACATCCCCCAACCTGAACAGGGACAAGAACGCCGGGATCCGGGATGGAACTGTGGAAAGTTTTCCTGTGGTCTTTTCTGTTCTTCCAGTGCTGGTGGTATCCCAGGTGTCTAGCTGCGAGGGGTGAGTTCTTCCCTTTCCTATTATATATAACATTACCTTTCTGAACTATCATAAGCATGCGTCCTCTTGCGATGATGATACAATCTTATTAATTTCAAACTCAGGTTTGTTTCAGCGATTTGACCTTTCATTTGTCATTTTGCGACCTTCTATCAGAGTTGCTGGTGTAAATACCATGTGCAACATTATGGACGCTGAACATTAATTTAGGCATGTTCTAGGACGATCGCAAAGCTTCGTGTCAGATCCCCTCAGTACAGATACATCAGCATTTTTCTTTAACAAGCTTAAGCTATCAATGAATGCCGCCGTGCCGATGCGAATTACTATAGACAGCATCCAAGCAGTGTGCTCTGTCCATACCTGTAAGATGTAGTTGTAAGTATAGTGGTATAGCTAAACTATCAAGAATGCGCTTAAGAGAGGAGTGAAATTAATAGGAAAGACTATTCTACAAGTAGAACATATTGATCGAAATGACGTCGTTTGCTTAATAATTGATAAACCCGCGTCATATAGTTTCGACTAAGCCTAGTTTACTAAATAAATGATACCCTGTATCACCATCACAGCTACCACAGTATATCGAACGTTCCTATGATGGCTGGAAATATCTGGAAGTTGGCCATTTCCGCTGGCGGTAGAGTATGACATATAGTGTACAATTATCCCTCACCGTCCGTCCATATGCCTCATTTCCAGAAGAACAGTCTCAGACGGAATAGAAAAGTACCTGAGATTGACAAAATCGGTTCCAACTGACGAAAGCGTCGCGACTTTGGATTGAGGCAGGACCTTGTGGAGGTCACACAGCCGTTTGAAAGCATCAGCTCTTCATAATGTCTTGTGTATCATCCGGTAACCCGTTCGCTATAGATCCTAGCCTCCAGTACAATGTTCTAATATCGCAAATGTGCACTCTACACTAGTCACAGGCAACGTATGGGAATGTCAGATAACAACACGGATATCAATTGCTCACAAAGCGATCCAAATACAGGCGAAGGACGTTTTGTAGTATTGAATAGAACCTATATAGCATATCTTTACTTTTTAATTGACCCACAGTAAGTGAACAAAAACTAAAAAGAACACTTGAAAAACCTAAGAAGTGCGGGGAGGAGTATAAGGACAGATTTGTCATACAGCTTGGATTGTATAACTGTGAAATTAAGTGCGGCTCAAAGAAATTATATTCATTATTGTACACTCGTTATGTCATTATATGTAATAATTCAGCGACGACAAAAGTGGATGATTATATTGTCTTGCGAAAGCGTCGGGTCTCAAGAAGCTATTACCAAAATAACACTACCTTCAGAAATATGGTCTTCACTTAGGAAGCTAGTCTGATGCTATCGATCGCCGTGATATATCCAAAGTTCCGCATGATTGATGATGGAATACTTGGCGGGAAAGGTCAGAATTTCTAGAAATGGCTTCATATTGCGCATCCATTACAAGTACTAGTGGAAGAATATTCTCCATCCTTCAGCAGAGAACTGCCCGCTGGCTTACACTTTCGCTCAATCTCCGATCCTAAGGAACTAACAGAGACACATTCAACGGAAAAGTTGGGTAATTCAGTGTTGCGGAGTTCTGATAAATTTCCTTTTAGTGGATCCAATCCGACACGGAAGTGCGGCGTCTTCTTTTCGCATTAACAACAATCTTCCCGAACAGACATTCAGAGTATAGATTGCAGTGCGGACTGCAGTTCTGTAAGTATGCAGGGATAATTCCTGTGTCTAATAGCTGAGAAAATTGCCCCAAACTTCTCGGACGTCCTACGTCAAACGCATGTGTGTACGGTCAATAATATCTGGTAGGAATAACAAACAGCTGCACTTTACGCTGAACCAAATACATAGACATGAATGTTATATTTCTGACGCACTAGCATTCATTTAAAACTTTCATTAACGTTAAATGCGATGGAAAAAGCAGGAAGATCTCAATTACAGACACTTCTAAGCCGCCGGTCAACTATGACGCAGGAATGATTGTACGCCAGGTCCATCATTTCATCTTGTCGCAGCTTCGCGAATGGTAACTTAATCAGTTCCCAAGGTGCCCCTGGTAACAAGCTTCGGCCATAAAATGGCCTTTTGTGCTGCTATAAAGCGCCCTGCAATACTGTCACTAAGTGCCCTTTATTGCGCTCGCCGTACTTGGTTATTACATGTAATATGCGCGTGGACCCTGGGGTGACTTATACGTCTTTCAAATATGTTGCAAGGTCTAATATATATTCTATAGAGACCTACTGCCAGTGGCAATAGTATCATTTTAGGACTAACTGTACCTGTCAGTAAGCACGTAAAGCACTACCTGAAAAACGTAATCATCTCCTACTCTCTCTCAGAAAAAGGAAAGGGCATATGATACTCGTAGAAAGGTCACAATGTTCACCACCAACCTCAGCTTGGAGAGTAATCATCTCCAAACCACGGTGATTTCGGACGACTAACCTGCCCTTGGCCTTGTCGCCCCTGCTGTCTACAACACTCAGTCAAAGACATAGACGCCATTGTTTGTACAGTAACGTCAATCATTGAACCAGTGTGGCGATATAGAAGTTTCATTAACTTTCCTTTGTTCAGTACGGTAGTTAGGACATTCTTCTCGCGAGTTATCGACCTGCTGTTAGGCTCTGCAATCAGGAAGGCCATTAACCAATGGAACTGCCACTGCTGATTTCGTGACTGGATCTGACAGGGTAACCGTTTTCTAAACGGAGAATTGTCAGAGAAAAGACGCAGGCAGAAAACGTTGCCAAATTCTGTTTAGGCATAGCGCTCAAAGCTTATATCAGCATCATGTTGTCTTCATTCAAAATATGTCGTCAAAATATACTTTGATACGTTACTCGTTGGGAAAACCCCCTAAATGTCTAGCTGTGCCCATGCGTCGTTAATATGAATAGACTACCTGTGAGGTGAAAAACACCTGTTCATTCCTACAAGTCAATATATAGATTCACTCCCAGTGATTAATAGGCTAGCTATAGGGTCTTTCTTCCAGTAAAGCTCAGGCGTGATAGATGGATAAAGGAGCAACTTGTAGTATGTATTTCTAATCAATTACAACGTTTAGGATATCACTGACTCTATTTTATAGTACTTATTTACACGACGTTTGTATGCTATAAACAATCATTTGCCAGTCAAAAGCTGTACAAGTTGATGTCCGAGAAGTTAGATTTGACATCACGAGCGTCTTTTATTTTAGACTTTTTCAGTTTGTAAATATATGATATTGACAATTTTGATTAAACTATTGTCTGGAACAAACGGTGAAAGTTTTCCCGCATCCCTCAGAAAATGGTACCCGGCTATACCACCACCTGTTCAACCACTACAACAAGGCGCTGAGACCGGTCAAAGCGCCGGACGACATCCTGATGGTGGAGATCGGGGTTACCCTGACGCACATCATTGACATGGTGAGATTGTTGTTCTTGATTTGTAGCACGGGGTGTGACCCTGTATTGATCCTCTGCAACATACGCCATACCTCATCCCAACTTGGGACATCAAACTTGTCCGTACTTGGACCAACCTTTGAAGCAGTGCCAAAGTTTTCTCTTACATTACGCGTGGTTACAATCTTTGAGTTCTGTTCTACTTTTTCACGATTTTCACCATTGATTGTCGAAATAACTACCAAGAATGAGATTCGATTTTCTGTCTCAGTCTCTCACCTTCTTGCAAAGACATCGACTTGTTTTTGTTGAAGTCCTTTGACTTTTTGAAGTCCTTACTGCAGGTGTGTCCAGGGTGACAAAGGTTCTTATTAGATTGACTCAGATTATTATACATTCGGGTATTGCACAGTTTAGTCTGGCAGTGATACTGAGAAACAAGCGTCCAGGCAAAAGGAAACTCTCTTTGCATACGATTCGCAACAATAAGGAGAAGGAGAACAGAAACAGACCATCTTTCCAATCAAGAGAACATCAACTAGCTCTTGGATAATTGTTATCGGAAAAAGCTCTAAGCATTCAACTTGTTTCATTCTTGTGAGCTTCTGACGAGGTCTCTTGCATTACTACTGCTAAACATCGTTTTAAGTGTTAGTTGGGAGGTTCTGTACGTCCTCAGTGGTTCCCCAGAGTCTTCCCCCATCATCGAGCAGTACTGACCCCGATAGGACGTGTACGACCTGCCGGTCCCAGTACCCCAGCAGAGGATCTGTTCTAATTAATCATGTAGGAAATCTCGCCCTGGCACCTGTCAGTGTTCTCTGGACGTGTAGCCACCTGTGGAGTCCTCGTCTCTTGTGGGGTAATTACCCACACAGGAGCAGGGCGAGACGTGATCGGAATAGGCTATGTTACGAAACTTTCCTCCCACTTTGAAAAGTTCTGCTACACTTTTGAGGCGGCAGTTTCAATTGGATGGTGGAAGCAAAGGCGGATCTGTCATAATTGCAGATCATTAGAGAATGACGCAATGTCCTTGAAGCTTCATTAGAGGATACTCCATGCCCTTGGTACTTTATCCAGTCTTTGACCGCTTCAATTCATTTGATCGTTCGCGCTGTTAGATTGAAAAGAAATCCGCTTTGAGTGCGAACCGCTAGGTTCCATTGACCTTGGTGCAGTTCTTTGTCAAACATTACTCAATACAGAGGGTACGCTCGTGGCGAACTGTCTACTTTATTAACTGAACGTGGACACAAGATTTAACCAAAAGGATAGCACCTCCAGTGTGCTAAACTATCTTGTCAACGCTGATCAACGTGTGGACACATCCAAAGGATTCAGCCTGGTGTCCAGTCTATCGCGGTGTATGCGGGCTCCCTTCGGGCCTGTAGTGGTTCCCCGAAGTGGAGTTGATTAGCAAACCGCGGCGTGGAATTACTACAGCTCCGAAGAGAGCCCGCCCAAACCGCGATAAACTAGACACCGGGCTTATAGGCTTGTTTTATTTAGCTGTCGTGTACCCACTCTTCTTCCCGTTACATAGCGCAACTTTTTGCAACGGGACGGAGGCTATTTTTGTTGCTTGAGAGAAATTGAAGCACAATCAGATGCGTACCATATCATATAAAGTGCCTACCCTCACGTGAACCGCCCTGAGTGCCTACTAATGACGATGAAGTACATGGCAATCTACCAAGAGTAGAGAGATCTATCAGCTGAATCGTCACGCGACCATCATGCTTTTCCGCACCACGCAGTCCCGTAAATAACAGCGCCATGCCAGCCTGCAATATCCTAACTCTACAGTCGTAATGGAAAAGATACCAATCTCACAATTGCTACCTGTGTGCTGCCTGGAGTGCAATTATTAATGTAGGTTCATTATTCCCAAGGGACTGCGCAATAACTATAGCCTTTTGGATATGGAAAAAAACCTTTCAGTTCTGATGACAGATCCGTCTTGCGTCATATGACTTTTAAACCATTTTATGATTTAAGATTCAACATATTCTTAAAACTGCTTTTCTAGAAAGACGAATAAAGTCGAAATCGGTCACTCCGTCAGCACTGCCATTGTCCCAAAGTTACGAATGAGATTTTAAACATACTTACATGTATGGTGGTGGATGGGACAGGGGATATGATGGCACAGGTTTCCCATATGGAGTCCTGTGTTTTTCGCTAGTTGGGCTACAATGGCCTGTAACAATATAACTTAGTTTAGGTATACACCAGAGTGGAGAACACGCTTAGTTAGTATCATCATGGCTATTTGTCAGTACATGTATCAACATTACTTTCACCCTGTTGACTAAATATTGCTTCTGTCCTGCCCAGAACGAAAAGCACCAGACCCTGACTGCAAACATATGGATGACAATGGTAAGTAATGACACCCATGACTTCGTCTCAGCAGCTTGAAAACAGATCTAGCATCTAGATAATCCAGTGATAACGACTTCATAAGGTAGCCAGCGAACTTTCTACAAAAAGCCTCTCTCTATATAAACACTGGTGAGCATTAGTGTTCTTGAAAATCGATTCCATCGTCTATTTTAGGAACAGCTGGGCAGCAATTAGGTCGTCCTGACGCCCGGTTGACTGTATCAAAAGCCCCTCAAAGTGACCAAGTGATCAAACCAAAAGTCGGGAAGAAAGGCGACACGGACGATTTGAGTCCTGCAGGTCGTTAATTTGCAGTTTCTGATGTATGAATTAGAAATGGAGGTTACCAGGGGAGCTGACCCGGGGTGGAGAAAAGTTGGTCCGTATCAGGTGTGTCCATGGCAGGGATCCATAACAACTGTCCTCGGGGAAATCACCTGTCAGAAATGAGAGCGATGATGAGTTATTGATGACTGTCCTACTCACAGGGGAGATTCTCATTAAGTCTTAGATGGGTGTCTTGGAAATAATCACACCGGAGGGACACGGGTGCACCTTGTTGAGCTTAAACTTAAAATCTGCTGCATCCTGATGTGGTTTCTATATACACCGATCCCCGATATCAACGAGCTATTTCTCTACCTTCAAAGTCTTTCACGTTTCTGACGACATCAGTATACACGTCAGTATAAAATTGTAATAATTTTGGTTTACTGAATCGACTAGGCACAAATTTACATATAGTAACTACGAACAGTTTTAAACACAAATGGACATTTAACATATATACAAGCTCGAATTGTATGAAGCACCTGCTGTTTTTATTAGGATACAATCAAATGACGGATACATTGTTTACTTGATAAATTTGCACGATCACAGCAGAACAATTCCTTACTGTCCATTTGTCCTATAACTTACGTGACTGGTAAATTGAGTACAAAGAGTCATACATTATTTGGGATTGTCGTGGGGAACAGAATGACTGTTACTCGAACTATTACAATGAACAAAATTAGTCGATGGATCGTTTAATCAAATGAAGATGTACAATCATACCGGTCCCATATGTGTTCATTGCATGGATACTTTTATTGACCATTGCTGATGAAGCACTTCGATCACTATATCAATCAAATGTATCCCACTGTGGGATGTTTACGTGTTTCATGCTCTTTCGTAACACATTGCCTCCGCGATATACATCGACGTATTCTATATTGCGTAAGTTCCATCAAGGCAAAAATGTGTTAGTCAAAGTCTAGTATTGACAAAAGACGTTTAGATAATGCCCTCGGATCCTAACCCTTTTCATCAGCTTAAATAATCTCTCGAGTTTAATTTTGCCGAGTACACCTCGCAATGTGTACCTTGTACAAAACAACTTTTTACAATCCATCCCATAATTGATGTTCGATTACATCCTAGAAGGAGGTAACCCTTACTGTGTACAGATAGGCAAATACATCAAAGCATGTTTAGACCGCGCGGTAGAACGTAGTGTTCACGTTAGATTCAACATGTTGATTTATCCATGTACCGCTCGTACATGTATGTGTAAGTTCATTTCTATCCGTTTGTTAGTAGCATAGATTTGATGTTTTTGATGTTGTTAACGTCTGTGCATATATGTGTGCGGTCCGCAGGCTTGGAACGACTCGCACCTCACATGGGAACCCGAGGAGTTCGGCGGATTCAAGGCCCTCACTCTCCCGGCAGCCGAGATATGGAAACCCGACATCGTCTTGTATCAAAAGTGAGTGCGGTGGTTTCTTCAGAGATGTTTTCTTTGTGAAGTTCTTGTCTCTCTGTAGTTGCCATCGATCTCTCATTTGTACAAAACGGTTTTGGTTTTCCATTCCCTCTGTCGTTTAGCAGCCATGCGCTGTAGTTCTCACCAGTTCAAGTAACTTTCTGTCATATCCATGCTAGCTGTTGTATTTGTGCCTGTATAGTCGGTATTTTTGCAAACTTCCTTAGTTGCAACACACCAGCTCGTAGTAAATTACCGTATGGTATCAGCAAGAACTAGATCTTGTAATAAACTAACCACTGGGAAACTGTAATATTGCCAATCAGCTTGTATCCGTTGCATCTTATTGGCACTGAATGTTTTGTGTCTGTTCAGTGTTGATCCATACTTCAACGGGTGGTCGACTGACGACACGTACATCAAGGTGTACAGTACGGGGTACGTGCTGTGGGAGATGCCCACCGTCACCATGTCCTCCTGTCACCTCGACGTCTCCAGCTTCCCGTTCGACACTCAGACCTGCGTGCTCAAGTTCGGGCCGTGGATCCACAGCGGCAACGAGCTAGACATGCGCAGCATGGCTGACGAGGGAAGCCTGGAGAGCTTCATCGTGCACCCCGAGTGGGAAGTCGGCTCCTTCAAGGCAAAGCGGCACATGATCTGGTACGGCGAGGACTTCAACATCGGGACGCCCTACGCTGACGTGACGTTCCGGCTCGTCCTGAAACGGAAGTCGACGTTCTACGTGTTCAACCTGCTGCTGCCGTGCCTGCTGCTGACGTTTGTCATGACGGCCACCTTCTTCTTACCGAGTAACTGCGGGGAGAAACTGTCCTTCGGGGTATCGCTGCTGCTGTCCATGGTGGTGTTCCAACTTGTCCTGACCGACGTGCTACCAGAGTCCGACAACTTACCATGGATAGGTAAGGATTAACTTTTTGTCAGGCATAACGTAGCTATTTCAGCTACTCGTCTTTACATTTTTTCACTTATCTTCGCCAGAAACAATGATTCTACGTTCAATGGGTGTAAGTTAGAACCGCACTCATAACCAGCTGTGCGAAGCAGTGACTGAGTTTTCCTCCTTCCTGTCCACAGGGAGGTTTGTGATCATCACGATGATCCTGATGGCCGTGTCTCTCGGCATGTCTGTGTTCGTCATGTACGCCTGTGACTCCTCCATGGGAGCCAGAACCATACCGGACTGGTCCAGGAAGGTTCGTTACTTCCTTTCTCTATTACTGACTTTCATTATCTGTCTCTCACTTGCTTTCGTTTCCTTCTTCAACTCCTAGATGCACCGAACTTTCAAGTAATTCTGTCCTTTGGCAAAGGACAACGCTTCCTGTAAATCGTCCTTTTAGTAGTAACCTCCATTGTCTTTTTACCGTATGGAATAACACGTGTCTGTCTGACATGTCGTTCTCCAGGTGTTCCTGAAGTACGTGGCGACCCTGCTATTGATGGGAGACCTCTCCAAGCAGAGCCTGGCGGAGTCAGCCGACAGCCCGGGGGAGTACAGCCCGCCAGACCTCACCACGCTCAACAGCGTGGACAGCAACAAGCAGCACAACGACAACACCACCAACTCCAACGACAAGACCACGTTAGCCCTCCATCACATGGTGGACAATCTCCAGTGCGTGCAGCAGAACTTGGCGGGACTGCTGACGCACGCGCGCAGGGTGGAGAAGAACAGAGCCCTGGAGAGGGAGTGGAGGAGCCTGGCCAAGGTGCTGGACCGCATCTGCATGCTCCTGTACCTGGTCACAGCAACGTCGTGTCTGATCGCATTCGCCACAGCGGCCTGATTCACAACCAGAAAGTACACTCTAAGGCCCCATTCCCACTCGGATAAGATTGTCCGGATTGAGCCTGTTTGATCCGGCGTCGATCCGGCTCGATTCGGCTTGAAGCCGGATCAAAGCGAATCAATTAGGATCGATTGGGACAAGTTTATCCTAGTGGGCATAGGGCCCTAGGACATTCATCTCTACACCGATGACTAATCTCACCTGGGAGTGAGGATGTAAAAATAAACAGAGAAGGAATTCGCCAGAAAATACCATATGACATCGGCAGAAAGAAGATTTGAGTTGAGACTGAGTTGACAGTGCAACAGTAGATGGAGTCACGCTTCAAGTATGATATCATAACATGCATTAGCCTGATAAGTCCGACTGATAAGTGTATGATTGATAACACCGAATTCTGCGAGGGTGGCAGTGACTACTAAGATTGGTAAGCCTAATCCATACTAAGTAAATATACTCTGAGTAAGTTTAGCATACAGAAATATCTTCCAATAGGTACCTAACATAGAAACTAGATATGCATTATGCACTATATTGCCTGATGATTATAGTTTATCCTTGTTACACGAAGCAGTAGATACCTGTATCTTATGTCAGTGGAAAACAAAAGGAACTACGCGGTACTGATTTTTAACGCGATTTTACCTTGGTGTTCTTCATGAACCGTCACACTGTACATATATATATATATAAAGCAACAAGGCAGTTTTCTAAACCGAGACGTGCACGTGATATTATAGAGAAAACGTATGCACCAAATAGAGCCTTATATCATCTCCCAATGATCATGCTAGGTGGAAGAACTTGCAATCCAACGCTAGTAACGTTTCATACCAGTCCTTACACTGCGTTATGATGTTGGTTGGATTTAAGCTTCGTCCAGACTTCGTCACATGATACTGTTCTATCTTATCACAGCAATTATTCGTCATCCATGCGAGAAATGAAATATAGAGATGTTATCATTGAGAACGATAGTGGCGCTTATTCATCAATTACAGATAGCTAGGGAACCAAGACAGTAAGATCTTTACGTCAAGCAAACGGTGTTTGGTAATTAACACGAACGGGTAATTTTAGCTCTATTTTTCCAAATGGGAAAATAAACACACACTATTACATTCACAATTATCGAGATCTCTGTGGAATTCTTGCTCAGATGAGCTTTTACGTCATGTAATTAACAGAAAACATTTGTGTTGTAACAATCAATTACAAAAGACCATTACATATTAGGTACATTATTCAACTGACTATAGTAGACAGACGCAGCATTATATACGTAACATCTGTATATGAATATGTTTTATCACGTTATGCTGTCTGTAAATGGCAGAAAAATTACGTCTGGCAAAAAACATTAAATTCAGTTTTGCGTTTAACAACTGTACATAAACTTTACTCCTGTTTTCCTATTGTGTTTCATGGCAAACAAGACCTTTGATGGTGACATTTCCGGTTCATTTGATTTGGGCCATCAAATGATGACTGTGACTCATAAAAGTTGCCAATAATGTTGGCAAACTACGTACGCAATCTCTTAATCCTGACTCAAGCTGAAAGTCTTCACGCATGTTTAGAAAGTAGAGTTCCCAATTCCACGGACCACTTACTATGCCCAGTGAGTGGTCTCAACCACGGAAATGGCCTAGTTCCAAGTTGAACTTCTGCACCCGGTGTCTTTAGTTTTATGAGTTCAAGCCATGGAAGAGCACACTTGGCTATTTGGCGAGTCTCCAATATTAAAGGAATCAATGGTCAACAGCAACTAATACAGATGCATCAATCACGCTCAAAAGTTTAACTGTACTGCGTCGAAAGTTTGGCAACAACGGTCTCCAAGGTACTCACAAGAGGCGCCAATGGGCCGTTTCCCAGACATGCATAGGTCCAGCCTATTACCTTCTGCCTTGGAACTGGCGCATCCATGGCCATGGGTCAATATTGGATCTCGAGAGAGACAGAAGATTAGAACCAATACGTCTGGAGAGATGTGGAGCCTTAGTTATATCTCATACTCGTACACGGCTGTGATGACCGGTTGCGGTAATAAGGCAGCCAAGCACACAGCATCAGCTGGCAGACAAAGGAGACATGTACGTGAAACACTCACCGAACACAGAAAAAAAAATTACTGGCAATTGTAAAAGAGTGATTTTAAATGCAAGTTAGTTCTGGGTTTCTTGGTGTAACGTTATCGTAATTAGTGTTACCCTACTTCAGGGTCAGGGTTTAGGTTGTGCAGGGTTAGTTTAACCCTAATTTAGGGTTAGCTAACCCTTAGCCAATAGTGATAAGTCAAAGATGAAGTCAAAGTCATCAGGTATATTGCATATTTGAGCATGAGACATGATACTAGATATCAAATGTGTCAAAGATGATGTCGTCTATCATAATGACCATTCACAGTATCATTTTGAAAAGAATTTTCTGTACCAAACACTGTGGATGAAGTATTGTTACAAACCTTCTTCTATTGCAGCTATATCTTTTCACAGTCCATACTGGTGTATACATTAAAAATGTAACGTTACACATCACATCACAATTCCTTTCAATACTGAATAATGCTTTTTATTCAAAAGTGATGTTAATATCATCAATGCATTCAAAGGATTTTCAGATGTTCTTGAATTGCAACCAAGTATGATGCATCATAAATATTATTTTTATAAACATTAATATCCACTTTACAGAGATTTCTGGTGATGTCAGTATGAAAACAGTTGATATGATTATGAAACTGTGTAAAAAAAAAGGAGTTAAAAGATAATCAGTAAGAAGGTCCTTTGAAAAGTTTGACAAAATATTTTTTTTAATCTTTTACAGAAATCTACATCACAGTCCTTCTAGTGTGAAACTCCTTCCATCTTACATGCCAGTTTATAGCTATTCTGCCAGCTTAGACAGACTGAGACAGCAACTAGTGTAATATAAAACAGGTAGATGAAGTAATGTCTTGGCTATATTGCATGTTGATACTTTCCTTGAACCTCCCCTGCTGTTGACTGCTTTTCAGACATAGATCTGTTTGTGTTGTTTCATGATTAGGAAAGGGCATTTGAAATACTATCAATCTACCTTGCACATATGACTTTTTAAAATTAGAATAGACAATAGAATCTTCTAAATGGGACATTTCTAAACCTAAATGGCAGTGATCTCAGTCAGTATTATCTGAAGTCTGGTTTGAGTGTCCAAACACCGTCCCCAGCTGGACCTCTGTGGAAGGTACAGATTCGATTCAGCATGGAACGGAACACAACATTCTTATTGGTCCCTAGCTTCCCCTTGAACTCATTCAGCAGCTCATCAGTGGTAGCCTGTCCATCATGGCTTGCCTGGAACGCGATATAGTTTCTAATTTCCACAATCATCTCGTCATACTCGGACCCAACAGGCGCTGTCGGTGCTTCTGGGCTGTTATCCTCGTCACCGCTGTCGTTGCCCGCCTCCAGCGACAGTTTCATGTGATTCCGAAGGCGCATCTGATTGAGGAGGCTTTCTGAGGAGACGTCTTCTGAAGCAGATTTTGTACCAGCCACGTGGCCGCTGAAGTGCTTCTTCTTTGGGATGACAAACTTTGCAGCCTTGGCCTCTGGCTTTCCAGTTCCACAGGCACCTGCTGCAGCTGAGGTTTTCTTCTTACCAAACCTTGGTCTGTAGTGACAGAACAGGTTATCAGAACAACTTCATCAACGATGAAAGAAATGAATAATCTACAGATCTTAACATGCCAAAATAAAACATACAACTGGCTATAAAGTGCAGAATTTGATGTTTACACTCAGTTAATCTGCACTTCCTATGCTCAAGCAGATATAAAGCTTGCAAAGACACTGCGTCAATCTGCTTAGTATGCTGAAAGGAAATATGAAGCACAGACTGCTAGGCCGTCCCACAACAGAAAAGAAACTCTAAAAGCTAAGGGAGCTCGTGAGACAGAAGACACAGTGGAAAGAGATAAAGAAAGACTAAATGTAGCTGCAGGACGTTTTTGTATGACTGCAGATGCAGAATACAGTGGATGATGATGAATCTGCACTTACCTTTGTTTGACACCAGGAGGCGCCCCTGAGCCACCGTGTCGGCCTGTCCAGGTGGGCACACCTGACGAGGCCCCCAGACACTGCTGTCTTGTCCGCTTCAGGGTCCTGGCCGCCTCCTTGGCCACCCGGTCAGCCTCCCCCTCCACCAGCAGGTAGTCTGGGTTGGAGGACATCATGATCTTGTCGTGCTGCAGGGCACTGTGAACTCCTGAAACAAACATCTGCATTAATGATGTTTCCACACATCACAAAGGGAGCACATAAAATAAACTATAAAAATCTTTCTGTTCAGTTTGTGCCCGATCAGATCTTTGAAAAGACTCTTAATCAAATGACATATACCAGTACAAGTGGAAAGATTTCAATAAGTTCCAATCAAATTTACATGAAAGCACAATCAAATTTCAATAAAGTTAAATGAAACTGCCCCTAACCTGACTTCTTGAAGAGTTTCTTTAAGACATAGTCCTCAGTAGCCTTGTGTGAAGCCTCCTCCTCTTGAGCTGATGACCGATAAGCAGAATGACGGGCGAGGTATTGTATCCTCTCTCCTTCCAAAGCTGAATAGGAAATTTATAACTAAATCAGGACTTGTCTATACCAACTTGAATACATAATAAATTAAAGAAACGACTGCTTAAAGTTTAAAACTTAAGACAAAGCCATAGTAAGATATAAAGATTTCACCAATGAATGAAGTTTTGTTTTGTTTTGCCACAACAATTGGTCTATAAACTGTACCTACCTGCATCCTTCCTCTTCTTTTTCTTTAGTTTCTTTCCCCGCTCATGTGATGTTGATGGTTTGCATGCACGAGTTGATGCACCAGTTACCAACTTGGCAACGATGGTAGATTTCTCTGGAATGTTGCTCTGTGAGGTAGTTACTTGGTTCAATTCCTGAGTTTCCTGAGTTAATGTCTTGTTGTCACCATTACTCCTCTGCTCTTTGCTGTTGCTTTCACTTGGTTCATCTCCATTGCAGACAGGACTGCTGCCAGATTCCTCACCATTTGCTGACACTTTCTTCATTACTGAGTTCAAGGTGGAATTTCCCAGCTTCCATTTTGCCAGGAGTCTGCTGACTGTTGCCTTGTCCTTGGGGCTGTCTGGCGACGACCTTTTCTCAGCTGTTTTCTCTTTCCTTCTGGGCAGCAACTTCCCATCAGGCTTTGCCACTTTCTCTGCAATCTTCACCTTTCTTGTGTCAACTTTGACCTCTGACCCTGTGCCGGCAAAGATGGCGCCCGTCTCGGTGCCTTCCTTGTTGTCGTCGCAGGTCAGGGTGAACAGCTCGTACATGTCGTTGGACTTGAAGAACCGCCGCTGCCGGGGGTCCTTGAGAACCCGGTTGGTCAGGAACTGTTTGAAGATCTGCCGGTGGTAAATCTTCTCCTCGATGGTGCCGGTGGTGAGCAGGCGGTAGATGGTGACGTCCTGGTTCTGGCCGATGCGCCAGGCCCTCTCCCGCGCCTGCATGTCCGTGCTCGGGTTCCAGTCAGGGTCAAAGATGATGACGCGGTTGGCTCCGGTAAGGTTGACCCCAAGGCCACCGACTCGCGTGGTCAGCAGGAATACAAAAATGGAGGTGTCCTGCAGAGACATTAGTAATTCAAATGCAAGGTTAATTCAAACAGCTCGCAAAGCATAGGTTCCTAACATAATATCTAAACATCAATCCATAGAAGGAAAGCTTTCTATTGCTTCCCATCCAACCATAGTATACAGTTACACAATATCAGACTTCAAATAGAGACAGATGAAAATGATTTGGTCTGCTATGTACAAGTGATCAGAGAATGTTGTAAACTAGACCCACAGACATCAAGTAATCCTATACAACAGAAGTAGACGTGTACCTTGTTAAACTTGGTGATTTTAGGTTGTCTGGATGAGATGGTGGTTGTTCCATCCATCCTCATGTAGGTGTAGTTCTGGTCCTGAACAAACTCCTCCATCAGGTCCAGCATCTGGCAGGGAGGAAAGCAGGTAAAGTCCTTCAACATCACAATAGAGTAATCCAGCCTACGCACATTAAGATAGATCTCAATCTTTATACACACTGCCCTACGGCTTTTGGAAACTCAGCACAGTGTATCATCCATCTGATAAAGGTTGAAAAGTTTGACTAAAAATTCAAGGCCAGTTCCCTTTTGTGTTAGATCTTACCAACACAGATGAGCTTTCATTCAGATACTGCCCTACATAGTGGAAAATTAGACAAAGCTTTGACAAAAAGTAATAAACTATTAAGTAATGAAACTAGTCATAAAGTCTTTTTGTTGAATGTGATAGTGTGATTGTTGCCCCACCTGTTTGCTCTGAGAGAAGAGCAGGACCCTGTGGCCCTGTTTGTGCCACATCTTCAGCAGGGTGTTGACAACAATCATCTTCCCCGAGCGCTTCCAGTACCCGTAGTGCTGGTCCTTAGTCAGGGTGCTCTCATCCGTCCCCACCATGATCCGTGGGCCTCCCGTCACAAGGTCGGGATGGTTACAGATCTTCCTCAGGGTTATCAGGCCTGCAAACACCTACAGTAGACGAGTAGAAGATGTGGAAGTAAGTCAAGATGTGATTTCCTTCAGTAACTCATCTGTATACAAGTTACACTTGTGTTTACTACTCATTTTCAGTTTCAGTAGTAAATACTCTCTAAAATGTCTGGATCTGACTCTTCAGAGGATTTGTCCAGCTAGCTACTTGATTTATTTATATAACAAAAATGTGACTATTTGACGCATGTGCATGATGCATTTTTTAAAAGACACCACAATAATTTCTATCCAAACCAATAAAGATTCATTTTGACACATGTTAATTTTATATCAAGGTATGGAATTCCTTGCACCTGATACTGGCCATCCAATATCTGCTGGCATTCCCTGGACCCCAGGTAGTCCTTGTATGCCTCCTTCTGTTCCTCAGTTATTCTGCAGAAAAGCACCTGAGAGGGATAGTGAATATGTCAGGCATTAGTCCAAATAGACCTGAGAAGACCCAACAACACAAATAGCATTGCTTATTATCATCATACATACAGTAATGATCTGCATTTGTGGGCCTACGAATAACACAAGAATACATTGTACCTGTTCACTCTTGTTGGGCAGATTGAGGTTCATCTTGACATCATTCTTCATCCTCCTGAGCAGGTAAGGGTTGATGGTGTCCCTCAGCACACAGGCACACTTGTAGGCTGTCTGGACCTGAAGATGGCAGAATTAAGTAACTCCATAAGAACAAACTGCAAATACCATTTTATTACAATACTTTACATAGTTTATTACTTTCCTGAACATGTCATAATTTTCAACTTTAACTGCTGATACAACGTTGTCTGTACAAGTCAATAGTAGGGAATAGGTACAAAATTCGGGTGTGTTTTATTCAAACAAGCATGCTTTGTGCACTTGAATCTATCATCTTGTCAGCTAAAAATGACCATACAAGTTACCATGAACTCTGAAATGTTTTCATAAAAGCAGAACTAGAATTACATCTTCAAGTACCACAGATGTTGATGTTACCTGTACAGGTGTGGCGTTAGCATATCCTCCCTGAGTGATGGGAACTGAGAACTGCTCCATGAACACTGGCAGTGTCCCCAGTTTGCCAGGGAACACAAAGTCACACAGAGACCACAGCTCACGCAGGTTATTCTGCATGGGAGACCCTGACAGGATGATCCTGGGAACAAAGCATTGTAGTCATGAGTCTCACTGGTAATGTGTCTAATAACTTAGAACTAATAATGTGGGATTTCAGATGTCACAAAATATCAACATTCAAGATGTTCAAAGCACATCCATATCAGCACAGACAGTGATAACTTATATGCATGACTGCAAATGTCCAGCACATCCCTACTAATTGAGTACTAGTCTTCTAAAAAAGAGATTTTCAAGAGAGTCAATGGTTTTGTTTATTATTGGACCAGTATTAGAAATACTGCTCCAATGATAAACTACTTGTTTGTACCTGTGAGATGTTCTGAACTGTTAACAGGCCAGTGTCTTACCTGTGAGGAGTTCTGAACTGTTTACAAGCCAGTGTGACTTTAGCGTCAGGGTTCCTGATCTTGTGTCCCTCGTCCAGGATGACATAGTGCCAGTCGTAGTGCAGGAGGGAGTCCTGTCTCAGGTTCACCTCCTGATAGGATGTCACCAGCACACCACGGTCTCGGGCAATCTCACGGATCAACCGGTCCTGATCAGACAGTTCACACAGCACTTGAGTTAGCTTTGAGAAATATTGATAGTACAGCAAGTTTGCAGTTATCCATGGAGATCTTGTATTCAAAATAATGCTGGTCAGTTATTTCATCAAAAGTGATAGAACACCATTGTACAGTGTATCACATAACGTAAGTGATTAAAGTCAACATTATGAGTAAATATTAGTAATCTTATGAGGACCCTTATTTTTGTAAGACTGTGAGGTTACCTTGTAGCCTCTAACAGGTTTCAGGAAGTGGCTGGAAAGAATAGAAATTGGCCAAATAGATAGAAAACATGCCAGGGGAGTTGGCCTAGGTTACAGTTTGCCACTCCCAAAGACCAACTGCCCTGGCATTTTATCTGTCTATTTGGCCAATTTCTACTCTTCCCAGCTACTTCTGAAAACATGGTAGATGCTAGTTACCTTTGATGTGGTGAAGGTGCCTGACTCGTGCAGTATGGCCACTCTCACACGGGGGAACCAGGTGTGGAACTCACGAACCCACTGATGTAACACTGTCACAGGGGCAACAATCATCACCGGGCCCAGACCTATATACCTGTACAACAATACATACAGGTTAGAAACATCAATACACATGGAACTATCACAAATACCGCTATAACACTGTCACAGGGGCAACAATCTGAACTGGGACCTACATCCTACATACAACAATACATGAGAACATGTGTAGCATTTATACCTGTACAATAATACATGTACATACATTTGTACATGTATATGGACTTCTCACATTATGTGTGGAACTATTGCAAACACTGGTATAACACTGTCACAGATAACAAGGGCACTGGCAAAAAGATCTTCCTACTTACAAAACAAAAACAGGTGCATAAAAATGAGTTACAACTGTTACAATATCATCAAAATTTTTAGCAGGAGGAACATTGCTCTAGTGTATGTGACGACTTACTTGGTCATGATGCCCCTGTTCCTGACCTTGCCGTAGTGCAGGCCGTACAGAAACACGATGGCTTGGATAGTCTTCCCCAGCCCCATCTCATCTCCCATGATGCCTCCTGCCTGCTGACTGTGCAGCTCCCACAACCACCTCACTCCTGTCTGCTGGTACCTGCCACAGGACAGAACAAAAAGACAGAACCTTACATACCTTTACTGTCATTGATGACATGCATCCGAAACAGAGATTCATCAACAGTCTACATGAAGCTCAACATTAAGTACCTAGTAGCTCCAATGCATTAGCTATGGCATTTATCTTTTCTTGGAAAATTCTAACCTATAAGCAGATCCCTCTCGGTGGCAAAAAGACAGTATCAAATTGGCCAGGCAGTATCCATTAGCCAGAGAAGGTCCGCGGCCACCGACGGTGGGGGTCAGGACAAAAAGAAACAGCCATATATAAAAATGTAACGATCATTCCCCCACAACCTCTGCTTGGAGAGTAGGAAAATTCCACATGTGCACAAAATAAGTGTATTGACACTTATAAAGACATTCTGTAAAAGCCTTAATTTTTTATACCCCATGTATACCTGTACAGTCTACTACCCAAGTCCTATCAAAGAGAAGATTTACCACTTGAAACTATCTCTATGTCTACCCCGTACTTGTAGAGTTTGTTCCATGTCTCCCCTGGCAGTTTGAATCCCCCGTCCATCTCCACATCTGACGCCTCACTCTCACTGTCCTCACCAGCTTCCTGACGCACCTGCTTCTGTCGTAGCTTCTCCTTGTGATTTTGCCTGGACAACAAACAACAACGATACTTCATAAATAAAACAAGTAAAGCTTCGGAAGTTGTTGCAATAAAATATAGCTACCTGATACACATGTTCCTGGGGTACTAGTGGCCTCCATGGATCAATGCCAAAAACAGTTTAACCTTCCTTGCTAACATACTGCATATCAATCTTTATTACTAATTTGGCCTTTTCTTAGCAGTCTTTTAGTGTTCATTGTACAGTATTGTCTTCCTATTTATTCACATAAGAAAACACACAGATACATGTAGTGTACTTGTTTTGTATTTCAAATAAGAGAGTGGTGCTTGTTACATCTACGTGTACCAAACATGGCCTACTACTCCTTGTATGAATAAGGCTCTATCTATAAAACAAACCCACCTGAGTCTCTTGTGGAAGTACCTGAGGTTGCCATCATCCCTGCACCTGTGCTGAGATTTCTTCTGCTTTTCTTCCTCCTCATCCTCCCCACTGGAGTCATGGGGGCCGGCCAGGCCGCTGTAGTCCATGTTGTGCTTGGACTTCCTCTTCACTGCTTTCTTCTTCTCAGATGCATCATCTGTGGACAAAAAAGTCCTGTTTTAAACACAAAAGTTTGTCACATGCTATGAATGCCTGAAAATGGTTCACTTTGCAGAATTTAGCATGGTAACAATGACTTTATTGATATCTGGAGTTACTTGCACCATCTAAGCAAGCTAAGTCTCACCAGATAAGTCTCTGATGTCCACATCGTCTAACCAGGAGTCCTTCATCTCTTGCTTGGAAGGCACATACTCATCATCACTGTCTGACCAACCACCACCTGACACATCACTGTCATCACTGTTCCGTATCCTTCCACCCAGCCTGGGACTATTGCCTTTCCTGATACGGGGAGAGGAACTGTTGGAAGAGTCATTCCACATATCTGGTGATTCCCTCTTCAGTTTTGGAGGTGCAGATTTTGACTTTACTAATGTGGGACTATCAGCAGAGCCTTCTGATGCTGACAAAGACTGTCTCCTTCTGCCTTTTTCATTATTTGACATCTTCTTAGATGTCTTGTTTTTCTTAGTAGGTGTCTCTGGGTCCTCACTGTCATTTCTTCTTTTTGTCTTGACTTGCTTCTGCTTGACCTATTTTTTTCTTTTGCTTTGACAGTTGGTCTTGTTTAGCAAGGTACTTCTCAAAGTCTGACATGACGTCTGTCACAATTTTCTTTGGTCCTCGAGGCTTGGCAGCGTCAGCTGTGGCAGGAGTGGGGTCAAAAGGAGTGATCTGTCCCGTCCTGATCAGACGTTCCCTCTCAGTCTCCTGCTTATTAGCACCTGACATCAGGCCTTCCAGAGCTGATACATTATCTGTTGGGTCTGCGGAGAAGAAAACACCAAACCTCAACAAAGACATATATGCAGACATGTCTACACTCCTTGCCTAGTAATAGGGTTAGTATTGTTGCATGCATGTCAAAGAGTTGGGACTTTTAACTGTGGGTATGATTTGAATTCTTAATGATTGAATATCAGAGGAACAAAAGTGGACAATTTACTGAATACTCAAGATAGGCCTGAATAGCACAGGAAGAAAGTGTTCTTCTAAAACACATTAAGAAAGACAACAGTCTGAAGTACCAGGTTCCTCCTCCTCCTCCACATCAGGCTCATCAGTGTCCCCTCCCAGGATGTTCATCAGCTTCTTGTGTTTGGCTCGGAGCTTCTTCAACTGCTTCAGCTGGAATAAACACATCAACTCATCAATGCCTGGAAAGTATCCTGTTGGGTTTTCAATATTTCCTTTCATATTTTCTTCATTTTTCCCAGTCTTTAGACTATATTTATCCACTTCAAATCATATTGTCATTTTATGACACCAGTGCATTTTATGTTGTCTGTCCTTTCAAATGATTTATGAGAGGTAGGATATAGAAACTACAAAATGAATCTATTGTGTGACTTGTAAGTGAGTTCACCTTGTTTTCCTTCTGTCTCTTGATGCTGTCCACCCTCCTCTGTACATCCCTGTTGTTCAGCCCAAAGGAAGCAGGCAGACCTGAGATGGCCCTGTCCATCCGAGTCACCTCCTGTTTCACTGACCTGCATCATACAACCAACTCCATTCAAATTTGGTAGACAAAACCAGATAAATGTATTGCATGAAGGGTTGCTACAGGCATATTTAAGAATACTATAATTGTAGGTCCCACCTGATGTCATCTAAGACATTCTTGAGTTCTCTTTCAGCTGAGGCCTTTCTTTTCTGTTCCATCTCTGCCTGCACAGCCAAGTCCACCTGGTACAACAGAGGGCAACTGGTCTATACATATGCATCTTATATATCATTATATGTTCCAAAATTGACAATGTTTATCATTATATGTTCCAAAATTGACAATGTAAATCTCAATGCAGCACTGGTTACAACACAAGTGAAATGTCCACAGTACAGATCAAGCAAGCCCACTTGTATAAGTCCAAGCTAAACTTAAGTAAAGTACTGTATGTGTCTCCCTACCTGACACATGATGCCATGTTCCAGCGTCTCCTGGTTGTACACATCCACCCCCAGCCCCTGCAGCTCCGAGGCCTGGTCCTGGGGAGCCACCGCCTGGATCTGACTGGTGTCTATACTAAACATGGACGGGCCTGATGGCTTTCCTGTGGTTATACCCTTGCTCAGGGCTTCAGCCAGCTCTAACGCTGCTTTGGCATCATCATCTAGAGCTTCATTACTGTTTACTGTTTCCAAAGTGAAGTTACTTGCTCCATCTACAGGTTCTAACTTTGGTATTATTTGCATCATTGGTGTTTGACTAGAATCAGTCATGGGCATCCCAGTAAGAGCAGCAGTGATACCAGGGTAGTCTGAGGACACAGTAGAAGACATGGGTTGTTCCAGTGGCAGGTTATTACCTGGTCCCAGATACACATTGCCCTGTCCTAACATATGAAGCTGTGGGTTGTAAAAACTGTTTAATGAACCAAAGCCATCATGCATGGCAGTACTGTTACCTAGTCCCAGATCACCCTGTCCTGACATTTGAAATTGCAGGTTGTGAAAACCGCTGAGATGTCCATCCACATCATTGCTGTTGCCCAGTCCCAGATTACCCTGTAGTGGCATTTGAGGTTGTGGGACCTGAAAAGTGTTCAAAGAACCAAGGCCATCCATGACATTGCTGGCAGCCTCCATGTTGAGTTGTTCTTGTTGTTCCACTCCTGTCTGGAACACAGGAGGCATGTCTTCTAGTGGAGTCTCCATTTCACTCAGGCTAGAACCTACATGTATGACACAAGAAGTAAACACAAGGTCAGGACATTTAAAATTTACCTGTATACAAAAGGTCATGGGCCATAGTATACAGTCTTGTTTAGGTAGTAGGGTGAGCTTATACTGTAAGTACTCTAATTCTTTGGGTTTAGAAATCACAAATAACAACAACACATATCTTGACAACAATATTGTATTCAAGTCTTCACCAAAAACTGCAAGTTACCATATCTTGCTAGTAAGTTGTTACGTTAGAAATTATACATAATTCATATTCTATTTGTGAGTAGTTGTTGTTTAATAGTTCAATATGCAACTGCAGCAAAATGCCTCCTGCTGTCCAATGTTGATTTCATAATTAGCGATTATGTAAACTAAAGATCAGTATAGTACCGTTACATCTAGGAATCAAAATGAAATCAACACAAACTTTAATCTGGGAAGGCAACGGTTTCGACCAACAGCTTCTATATATAAATAGGAGACGAAAACCTGTGTTTGTGGAACCGTGTTTGTGGAACCGTGTCCATGGAAGTGACTGTCCTGGGATGGCTTCGCATAACCGGTTATACAAGCAAATTGCACACGATTACGCAAGGTTTCTGCCCGAGTATTGTTGGTATAAAGCATCTTGTCGGGAATCTACCTGACCCTGCCTCTTCCTAATCGATCCTGATGACACATAGACTTGTGAATGATAAATAGGAAAGGTTTTACTCACCAGAACCACAGGAAAATACAAGGAATCTCCAACGTTTTTGTGGCAACTCCTGTCGGCTGCCGCCTGTCCACCATCATTACTCCGGATAGGTGTCTATGGTAGAATACATTCTGCCTGAACAATAGCGTGGTACTGCATATCCGCTTATACAAAAGAAATATTAGTTTTAAAGAAGTCAAACTCAAATTCTAAAAAAACAAAAGCATTTTGCTTGCACAAATTTTGCTCTAATTCTTTTAATCAACTTCGTCAAAAATGGGTTATACAGGCACAAAAAAGAATGCGCTGGTTGAACCAGGCCGGATAGCTGATCACAGGAAACGGAAGAAGCATTTTGCTGCCCTACATGTAAACACCAGCTCCGCGTGATCATGGCGAACCTTGTTTTGTTGAGCCTGATTTTCGTTACTTTTGGTGCAGGGCAAGGTTTCTCAGTACGGGACGCACCTGAAGTAAATGACAGGCCGATCATTGGTGAGTGCGGCAGAGTTGCAAGCTTCTTCCTTTGTACTGCTCTTCATTTTGCAGTGTCATGCATTTTGCATGCTAATTGTACGTAGCCAGAGGCTATTGCCCCCAAAAGAAAAAAAAATAGAGACTTTTTCTCTGTAAATGAGCTTTTTTTTGCTGCCTGTCAATAAGACCATTTTTTCCAGGTGCGAGATGCAGACCGTGCCTTTCAATAAGATTTTCACTAGTGACAAACTGTTACTGTTTAATAGTATAAGTATAAAAACACATGTAACCTATTGGTAGCGACTCTAAAATCGGGCGCTTTGTTGGCTCTCTTTATAATTATAGGCAATTTATAAAGACAGCCAACAAAGCGTCCAATTCCGGAGTCGCTACATGTCATCCATGTATTAATTGTTGGAATTGTTCCCCTTCCTCAAACACTCATGTGATTGCAACAGGTGCCTCATTACTTTGCTTTCATGTTTTATTAGATTTTTGCTTCCTCTGCAGGTGTACTTGCACAGGCTGCATATGGAGCAAAAGCAAAGTTTGGGAAAACCTACATCCCAGCTTCCTATATCAAGTACTTGGAGAGTGCAGGTGCACGAGTGGTGCCAATCAGGTTTGCTTCTTAATGTCAAATGTTGTCTGTTAAGTCCACTAAATATCATGTACCTGTAGTATGGCAGCATATGGTCAAATAAGTGACATGAGTTGAGTTGATGTATCTATGCAGGTACTGGTCTTTCCACTGATAACAAATTGGCCACCTTTGATATGTCATTTGCCTACAGGCAGCTAATGGTTACAGGTGGCCAATGGTTCCAGGCAGCCAATATAGAGTCCCCCCCCCCCCGAATCTGCTCGGAGATATCTAAATACATGTAACTTATATGTATGCTTGTTACAGCAACATGTTACTCCTTTGTCTACAATACATTGACACCATTTACTGTCCTCAGGGTTGACTTGTCAACAGCTGAATACACCAAGCTCTTCAACTCCTTAAATGGGTAAGTAGAAAAGTCATGACAGTGTGTAATCATAAAGCAGTATCGAATGGTGCAAGTTCTTGCCAGTCATTCACTATAGCTTGTTGTATTGACCACTAGTGACGCAGCATTTCTTCCTGTTGTTCAGAGTGCTATACCCAGGGGGCGCTGTTGACATGTTCACTTCTGGCTATGCCAAGTCAGCCAAGATATTTTATGATCTTGCTCTCAAGGTGAGGTTTACACTACCTTTTCTCGTCATCATTGTACGCAAGTAAAGACACTCTTCCACATTGTAATGTAGCAAAAGAAACTACTAGTAATTTTGCAGTGTGAGGGGCAATTTTCTAACTGATGAGAACAAAGGTACTTTTAGACATGCTATATTGTCATTCCTTTTCTAGATCTCTGTGTAATTTATCCCCTGGTCAGGTATATTTTGTACATCTCACTGAGTGACACATCTTAACCCTCAGGCCTTTGACCAGGGAGATTACTTCCCTGTGTGGGGGACGTGTATGGGGTTTGAGGAACTGACCGCCCTGACCAGTGGCAGGGATGTGCTGGCCAACTGCAAAGGAACAGAAAACAGATCTTACAAACTGAACTTTACCCCAGGTATATTAAAGGTCCTTAGATAGCCTGGATTGTGTAACAGGTAATGAATGAATGAACGAACAAACGAACGAACGAATAAATTAACTGGTAGCTCTGAATATCAAGGAACATCATCCTTCTTCAGGTGTGTACTTTGTATGAATGCCAAAGATGATTAGAATGTCTGTTTATTATCTGCTCTGGTTCTAATGAAAATACATTAGGATATGATAGGACCAAAAGTACCAAATGTATTTTAGTGGATGGATAGATGGGTGTGATTGTGCTAAAGTCGATCCTTTCTCTCCCCTAGACTACATGTCCAGCAGGATGTATGGTAAGGTTCCTGTGGACATCCTGACAGACTTGGCGACTTTACCTCTCACTTCAAACTTCCATCAGTACTGCCTCACACCTCAGGTAAGTTATAATAAGCTGGAAGAGTTTGTCAAAAATGTTAAAGGTGACCAAAAAAGTCTTGCAGGTAACAAGGTAGACTTAAAATATTTATTATGACTTTCTAAAGGATCCTGGGTTTTAACACCAATGATTTATTTTGAAGGGAAACAAAAAACTGTTTATGTTAATCTGATCTTGTAGTTGGCGTGCTACATGTCCAAGAGTGATAGACATTAACGTAGTAAAGTTCTTGACAACTCCTTTTTTGCTATCTGGCAGGCAGCTCAATGGAGATATCAGTTTTTAGTAGAGTATTAATCTTAATATTGATACATGTTTCAGAATGTCACAAATAATGCCAAGTTGAAGAACTTTTACAAGATTCTGTCAACAAATACTGATGACAATGGTTTGGAGTTTGTATCCAGCATGGAAGGTATGGTTTTGGGAGTTTTCTTTTGGTTCTAAAGCACTAGATAGAGGACATCATAGATAACCACAATTTACATTATACTATAGTGTTTATGCAGCTATAGAATAGGTAGTATTTGATGTATGGATTTGAATTTTTAACTGTATGGAAATTACAGCCTTTGGATTTCATGTTTCAAAATTTCATTATGTTTGACAGTGTTGCATTCTACATTCCACAATAATGGGTTACTTTATTACTGGTAGAGTATCACTGATAAACTTTTTGTATTCAAAATTTGAATTACTAATCTAAAGACTGACAGTAATCAACAGTCAGTTTTGATAAACTGACTTGACATTTAACAAAATTATTTCAGTCATAAATTCATGTATAACAACTCATGGTGACAGACATCTGGCCCGGGTTTTGCTGCGTGCACCAGTAGTGCCGATATAATTTTTGTTGTTTCTATTGCAGCTGTCAAATATCCTGTCTATGGCGTCCAGTGGCATCCAGAGAAGAACAACTTTGAATTTGGCTCTTTTCTGAACATCACACATTCAGATGCTGCAACCAGGGTGTCACAAGCCATGGCAAACTTCTTCATTAGTGAAGGTGGGTTAAAAGTTACTTTTTTCCTGTGTGATATAAAAGTATGAAAAGTGACTACCCCCGGTATCTGTTGAAGGCTACGATGAAACCTGTCTTCCTCCATTTGCTGCCTCAGTTCCTAAATCTTTCGCCAATAATTCCAAGATCAACTTTCATTCTTTCAATTTCCTATGATTGACTGAGAAGTTGCTTAACCTGTCCCTTTGATCCATAAAGTTAACTGTAGGAGAGCATAACAATTTCCATATCCCTGCTTTGCCATAGCCAGGAAAAGCACCCACAGGTTCCCCACCCCTGCAGAGGAAGTTGATGCCCTGATCTACAACTACCCGCCAGTGTACACCGGGAACATCAGCATCAATGATCAGACATACTTCTTTGACTGAAAGAGGTGTGTGACTTGCCTTAGCAGCCTGAAGAGATGAACATCTTCGGCTTATTTCTTTCTACTATCTCACTACCTGACTTACTAGCCTGCAGCCCCATTTCCTGGAGTCCTGGTTTTGCTGTCTGGATGGCTCACTGCGTTTCTAATTTACCAGCTGGCTTTCATTATGTTTACCTTTACAGAAGGAAAACATAATGTTTTTGCTCAGTTTCTTCTTCCCCACTTCTTCTCCAAACAAAAAAGTCAATGACCTGGACCAGACCAAGGTAACTGATGTAGCAGACACCCCGTGGTGTTGGGGTACATTTTGTAGCAGGACAGTTGGAGGGACAGGATATGTGCTTGACTCATAAATACAAACAGAGAAGTAGTTTGTTGGGCTAGACCATGTGAAGGTTAACATTATGCATTTACTTTGCAAATGTTACCTTTCTAGTTGACAATTGTGACTCGATTGTTGTTTTACATAGCCTCCTCTACCTGGCATTTCAAGGCTAACATATGTTTTGCTGTTCTGTGTTGACACATGCATCTGTGAACGGAAATGATGCAAATTTGATAAACAACTACATGTACTCATAACTTTGTCCTCTTCATTTCCAATTGGCACCCAATGCTGCAACTCTCATGAATCTGTATCAGCATCTGCATAGCCAGCATAACTGCCCTTCAGCATAACACACCTGCTTTGCAGGCACGCAGAGCAGCAAATAACTCTTCAAGTATGTTTTCAGGTGTTGCACACCAGTACATTTAGACATCTTATCAGGAAACTACCCTTTAGTCCAAGTTCAAGTGTCTATGACAAAAAGCTTCAAATAACAGACCTTTTGTCTTTATGTTGATCAGTCTTTTTTGTCTTTTTGACCCCAGCCAGGAGAAGTCAGCATGAGTTTCCCAGCCCAGAAGAAGAGAGAGCAGCTCTGATCTACAACTACACACCTGTGTACACCGGGAACACAGACACGGCACACTTCGAGCAGTGCTACTTTTTTGATTAGGAATCTATATCTAAAGGTTATTACAGGATGAAGGAAGTTATAGAATTATATGGTGGCATAGGGGTGTTAAAGGTAAAGGTAAGGATCGTTAAAGCAATAAGAACATAATGAGAGGCAAGACACTATTTTAGGATTTTAATTCTTCAGTCCATGTTTTTATATATATATGAGTGGTTTATTTCAATAACCGTTGCCACATACATAGCAGCCAAAACATTGGCTGAATTGCGTAGGGACAATCACAATTCGGATCGCAACGTGATTAAAACATATTACCTGCAATACTGTCAGCACTGTAAAACAGTGTATAGAAACGTGCAAATTGTACTTATATATCCGATGTTATGAATCTGTGTGTCAGTCAGTCTCAAAAGACTGACTTAACTGTCCAAAACAGGATGCTACCTCAGGAATTGTCAGATAACTTTCAGATAAAAATGATGCGTTAACTACAGAATTTTTGTACTTTGGCAGTGGTGAACATTTAGGGGTACAGATACATCGTCTGTGCTAATAATACTTTTTAGACTGAACTTGAATCCTATGTCATTGATGGCGACAAGAAAATTGGGGTTTTATGTCATTTAACTCATATTGTCCAGCTGGCAGAGTGCAAAACTTAGCATTCTATCTATATGGCTGTGCAAACTGTGGTTGTTTTTTTTAACCAAAATTTACATGTAATCTTTATGGTAGCCTGTAACAATCTGTGTGACAGTATTTCATATCATATTGCTGCTACGACTTGCAATTCGCAATCTTGCAAATCTTCATGAATTCAATTGTCCTTTGCGGTGATTATTATAAAGAATGCACTTTGGTAATGAAAAGATTTCTTGTGTCATTCTTTTTTTTTTCATTTGTGTAACAATAATGCCACATCATTTGCAAAGGTAAAGACGTTGATAATTGTGCGTAATTTGGAACAGGTGTTAATATCCAGGTGAATGCCAGAGGCAATGAAGCCAGACACATTCACATGTAGATAGCACAAGCAGCAGGGACACCCAGGGGATGGGCTGGGATCAAACAACGCATAATTGGTGGGTATAGGACACACCTGTGCAATCTTAAGTACCATACCCCCCCCATCAGATATGGCTGTTACGCCTGTCTCTTTCAGGGCAAACCATTCTGCCTACAACTGTCTATAGTGTATGGCACCTCTGCGGTGTACCAGAGGAATACTTCGTTAGGATTGAACAAAATTTAGTGTTTGTGTTATGTATGGGAGACTGTTTACATTGTACATCTGGACACTCCTTTTTACCCAGTTAATTGCTGGGCTGTCCTGCCTGAGGGTATGCAGACTTCCCTTTGTTTATATCTTGGAGCAGGTGGGCAGAGGGCCACATCATCCATTGCAAACTTTACCCAATGCCAAGAATTGTATTGACACTTCATTTTGTTCTAAAACCAATTTCCAAACCTTGTCTGTTATACACAAGTTGTAGAGGAATGCATGTTTCTGCACTAAAATATTATTGGTATGTGGGCACTACTAGCTAGATCTGTACTGATGACTACAGCTCAACCCTACCTTTGCATCTTTATTCATGACACAAGAGCCATAATTACAATCTACAGATATTTATTCAAGTGTGTGAATGAAGAGGTCCTTTCTGTTGGACCAGAGGAGACATCAAAGGAATCATAAGCATTTCTAAAGGGAAATCAAGTACAGCTTACCACAGACAGCTCTTTGACTGGAATGTTATTTACAATGGAAAAGAGGGGTTACGGCTTACGCATACAAAAATAAGACACCACCAGCTTCTACAACTTTCCCACTTTAAATAAGTTCACCTTTAGACTAAGTCAGAATAAGTAGGACTTTATATGGAATTTACTTTTAAACACTTCCCTACTGGGTCCCTAGTTCATGACATAACAATGAAACACACCGGATCACCTGTGTGGCTGATAAACTAATGTCTGGCCACTTAAACACAGGTGCATCTGTTTTAAGCACATCAAGCTATAAACAACAAAGTTCTTCTCTTGTAACTTCACTACACTGAAGACCAACAAAAAGTCTTCTGTCAGAGGGACAGTGCATAACAAAGCTGCTGAAGCAAACTTAGTATTGTGTCAACAGCCACTCTTCAGAGTATCACATGTCTACTAATGCTTTCAGTCCTTTTGTATATTAGTCAGTCCTTGTTCACTCTGTTCCTACATTTGTCCCTTCAGGACATACACCTCAGACATGAGGTCCTTGAGGTACTTTATTTCCCTCGTCATTTGATCAACCTTTTCCTTTAGCTCAGCGTTGCGCTTTTCCAGACCCTCGTGCTCTGAGAGCAGGTTTTGCTGTTCTGAGCGTTTCTTCTCACGGTAGCGCGTAGCTGCGTTCTTGTTCTGGTCCCGCTTCTTCTCTTTCTTCTGCCGTGGGCAGCCTGCTGCTGCTGTGCGAGCGGCGGTCTTCGTACGCGGGCTGCGCGACTTCTTGGCCTCTGGCTGTCCGACGGACGAAACATCAGACACACTTGAAGCGTGGCGTTTGCGGCCAGTGGGACTTGACGCGGGCGTTGACAGGTAGGACTCAGGGCTGGATGGTGGGGTAGGCTCACTGGTGGGTCCAACCAAAAGCTTTGCAAGCAGCTCAGTGGAGGCAAAGCTGTGCTGGCTTGGGGAGGAGGGCGCAGACACAGGAGGGGTGGACACTGTGCTGGACACTGCCGATGTGGTGAGGAAGTCTGCTCCGCTCAGGGAGGTGGCCACTGGAGTCAGGTCGGAGTAGCTCATGGGGGCCGGGAGCGGGCTGGGCTCTTCCTTCACGTTGGCCAGCAGAGGGAGCAGCTCGCTCGACCCTGGGGCCAGGAGGGGGCTGCCGATCCCAAACTCTGCCAGGGGCTTCTCCTCCACCATGTCCATGCCAAATGTGGACTCCAGGGTGAAGGGGCCCGAGGACATGGCAGACATGCTGTCCGACAGGGTTGTCGGGTTGGGCATGTTCATGTCCTGTGCCGTCTTCTCAATGAGAGACTCCAACAGGTTGAATTCTGTCATCCAATCCGCTTCAGGGAAAGGATCATCACCTGCATTAACACACAGTAAAAACTTCATTAGTACAATCTTATAATCCTAACAGCTAAAAAATAAAATAAAAAAAAAAAGGGACAAATTCTGGTCTGTTACCAACAAGGCCTATTGTCCCTATAGGAGCCATCCAACAGATGTGATCAGATCACACAAAACCATTAAGGGCTCAGGTAGGGCTGGGTAGCAACAGGGCTAAAAATAGCACCAATAGGGAAGCCCTGTCATTCCCTTTCATTTCATGCTAATCACCTGTTTTTCTCAAACAGGTCAGCTGCGACCAATGGGGCTTTGCATTTTGATGAATCTGTTTACCAGAAAGGAGCCGAAAACAGCTGACTCAGGGAAATTCAACAAGCCCCTGGGGAACCGTGACGTATCAGGATTCAAAACCTTGAGAAAAACATGTTTGTTCGCACAATGGCGCTGAGAAAAACAAGTCGTCACTTCCTGTCCCAAGGTCTGCTTATAGACAAAATGGTTGGTAACAGCCGGTGACATTCTATTTGGCAGAAAAAAAAACATTTTTAATGGAACTTACCAAGAGGAGGCAGCTCCAAGGGGCCCGTGAGATCGATGCCGACGGGCTGGAGTTGACTGCCTCCCGCGGTGGCTCCTGTGTTGCTCCCGGTGGCTTCAGGTTGGCCACTACCTTTGATCGGCGAGAACACGTCGTTGGGGAGCAGGTCCCCGCTCAGCAGGGACAGCTCGTCGCTGTACAGGCTCATGCTCAGACTCATCGCTCGTTTTTATTCTGAATACAGGGAAGAAAAGCTGACGTTCGGGTTCACGTTCAAGCTCAGTTCTGTCGAAGTCCGTTTCCGTTTGGGCCAAGATTATACTTGGTATGATGAAGCCATTTTGCGAACTGTGGGGACAAAAAACAAACAGCACAAATCAGTTTATGACCTTTTGCGATGATGGTAAACAAAATGCCTTCGCCAAGCCGCGCAAACCAGTTTCCTTTTGTGTACTGCATTATGACACACCATAAGCTGATGATCTCACCATGAAATATGCTACCAAACCATCCCGATACACAAAGGCACAAAATATTATATAAAACATCAGGCTGACAGTTTTACCACAACATCAACAGACACATAACTGACAAAATGTATCGTCATTTGAGTCACTCAAACAAGCAGTGAAGTTTAATCACGTTCACATAAGTCTTCCAAGAAATGCTGGGGGAAGAAGGAAGTGCGAACACGCCAGGCAGTAACCTATTTCTTGGACAAGCGGATGGCAACCCATTCGGGCTTTTTATTTTAACACCAGGCTGTCGCACACAACCAAGAACTGCTACATAACTAGATCTTCATATTATGTGATGCCTTAGAAAATACATTTTACTGGCATTTTGTCAACATTTGGACCAAAAATTTGGCATAATTAAAAGGGCGCCAAATAGTAACAAAACCGGATCTGTCTGGTCGAGGTGGCCACCATATTGTATTGCGACATAACCTTGTTACGAACTCTCTCCCTCTAAAATACATCATTTACGACACTAAATACCTACAGATGTTGGCAAAAGTGAATACTTACTCCATGGTGTGAAGTGCAGCGGTTGCCAATGCAATCCGCGGTCCTGTTATACGGCCATCCTGAAAGGATTTTCCGAGCAATCTGAATATACTTCTTCGTCGGTTGTGCATTGAGAGAAGAATGTAGACCAGACGGAGGGTCGGGGTTTTCAACTCCACATCACTTCTTGAACCGTGTATATTCCTCCGCCACAGGTACAATAATTATAAAATTCCGTATGAAAGAATATTTTTCAACACTCTAAGTCAATGTTTAGGCAAAGAAAATATTGTCTGACTGATGAACTGGTGATTTTATCCCTAAATTTATTAAAATTATTTTTATGAATGAGAACTAATTTTCGTACAGTGGGCAATAGTGCGCCAGGACAAACGGAACCGGGGTTGTGCAGCGGCAGATGTTGCATCAGCCGTCTGTACGGCTCCGACGTCATCAGCTGGGATCATGTGAGAGCTGGCAGCTGATTGGTCAGGCAAGGCGCCAGCCACGTGGACGGGGCCGGACACCGAGAGAAAGTGAGGGTCCAAAGTACATATGAGGATAAGCTTGGGCCAGGTTTTTAGAGGGTATGTTTGCTTTGTTCACGTGAAACGTTGGGACAAAGTATCGGTCAGTAACCTCAACAAGTCGTCCTTCTTTCCGTTACATAAAGCAGAAGAGGGCCACAGTTTACTAGAGATATTCAGTGATCAGTAAAGGTAACAACGTGAATAGAAGTAACCTTACAGTAGATGACTATATTAAACAAGAGTTTGAAGATGTTGGCAGGCGCCATACACCTCTGGTACCTGGTCGGCATCGTAACGTATATTTTCCTTCATTGTCTACAAATGCATTTAAAAATGCCAAGTCACGATTTTTGCCGTGCAGAATGTGCATGACAATGCCGAAGGAGAGGTGAACCATGTCAGACTAGGCGCCTTTCAGAACACATTGAGTCATCCCCAAATAAAGGCGGTGAGCCACACAGGTACAGGTGAATAGCCTGGTGTGTACTTGTATGTATGGTGTAAGCACCATATGGCATCACGACATTCAAGTAGGGGACACTTAAATTACCTTTGAATTAAATAAACTTTGTGCGCCATTGAAAGTTGCATGGCGTTAACCTCGGCAGACGAAGTATTGTTGAATTCACTAAAGAGTCCTAAAATTCACAATCTTTTGTTTTACAATTATCTATCACATTTTCAGTTCTTTTGTTTATACTGAACTATTATAGAAGGAACCAAAGGAACTGTACCTCACAGATAAGAAGTACTGTACCCTTCTTTGTGCGCCTAGAAATATGAATGCCAGTTTGGGTGCGTACGTGCGTGTGTTTGTGCGTGTGCGCACGCGCGCGATTGTGCGTGGGTAGTCCAAGTGCAGTTTTAGCCGCCCGTTCACTGGCCAGTCCTCTTCGCCATTAGCCTTAAGAGCCACACGGAACTCTTATAACAGATAGAGCAACAATTCACACTCACAGGAGTCTCCCAAATCTACTCTGCGAAATGAGAAAATAGGAGGGACAAGCCATGTAGCGCTATGTCCCGCTTAGCGGCCTTTACTAGTACTTGAGTTTGCATAGGGGACTTTTGGAGGGGGTGTTTTCAGTTATTCCTAACAGAGTCTGATCGCTTCCGAAGCCACAACAAAAACATGCCGGCCACGAGACCTTTTATGGAGGCTAGTTTTCATCCTGAAGAGCCCTTGTGTATTCCGGACCCAACCAATACAACGGCAGCTGATCAAAGAACTTGAAATCCACGAGGCTAAGTAGTACTCACTTCAGGGCCTACTCCTCACGAACACTGTTTTGCGGAGGGAAGTTTTAAGGGTACCTTTTTTATGGGGCGAGAGGTAAAGATACGTTGAATCTGCCCTCCTAACATCTGCTTGAAGACCGTAACGTTATCTTGTATGTGCTGCAGGTCGATCGCAGCAGCTATGAGATTGACGTCCTACCGGTCATTGACACAGTACCGTGCCAGCTACTAGCGGCACGCCCAGGGACGCCCGACTAACTCGGCAGCGAGAGAGAGTGTGTAACGCTAATCTCCAAGCAGATACTAGTATTTTGCTGGCCAGGCAGGCAGTATCCATTTGTACCAAAAAAGAGAGCCCGATAGAAATCGCCTCAAATAAGCCGAACCCTAGACTTCTGTTTTGAGAGCAGTGACGCTGGCTCGTGGTATAGATATCGGAGCACAATGTTTCTGGCTACACTGTTTCGATGCTTGGTTTAGATAGCCAATCCCAATGCAGCCTCTGAACAATTTGAATTTACATTTTATCGGACTGCTACTGGTATGAAATGGTGAACTAGCAAAGTAAATCACACTGTTTAACGTGGATCTGAATATTGAATCTGGAGTCTAGTATAGTGTTGTTTGTAGCTCTAGTCCGCTTCAAACGGTAGCTACCCCATGACTTGAAGCTAACAAGACTTGACTCCAGGCTCCTCCTTGGTTCAACGATTGTTAACGTCTCAATGTCTGATCATGTCTGTATGTTTCTGGGATGGACCATTGCTAGCAGTCTCTACAGGGACGGATAAAAAATCGCAAAAGGCAAACCATCACCAATCGCGATCAAGGGCAAGCTAATGCCAGCAAATGATCACGGACACTTGATGCTATCAAGGACATGTCCTTGGTCCATTGATTGACTTGTGGTCCAAGTGATCAAACGTTGACCGTACAGCAGTGTCACCTGCCGAACATTTTGAGAACAGCACCATGACTTTCAAAAGAATATGGACCGTGCGCCAGCGTCATCTGGCGGACGTTAACAGTGCCGTACCTTACCAAGGAAGAGACTGTCGAAATCTTTAACATAGCCAAACTCTAAAGGCTAACATAACGGGCTTGTTTGACTATCAGTCAGGAGTTGCTTTTCATTTCCAAACATGTAATGATGTCATCATATGCATATGTAAGCTGTAGTTACCAAGGGCGAGATTTTAGCTGTTGAATATTGATGCTGTACGTACTTATATATTTGTTGTGTACCATCTCCTCACCAAGACAATTGTAGCTACAAAAGCGTACCACTTAATTTCCACTTCCAAAAAATTTGTTGCGGAAAATAGACGGGAAGTTGGTAGAACTCAATGAGATACAATGTACTTAGCACTGTACTTAAAATGTGCATATATTTTTCCTGTCATGATCATGTCACGTTTTATTGTTCGTGGTTACAGGTTACCTCAATAAATGTGACTAATTGAAATCATTTTTACTATTTTGTTATCATTTACAGCTAAAACGTTTTTTCATTGAGGAACATCCTACAAATGTGCTGCCATTTACGAAGTCGGATGCAGTAAAGAACTATATAATCATTATAATGATTCAATTAGCAAACCATAAATAACTACAAAAAACACAAACAACAGTATGTTTGAAATATTAGAACCTACAAAGGATAATTTTATTGATTTAGGCATCTTTAACTTACAAAAACAGTTCATAGTGGGTGAGGCATGTCTATAGTAAGCCATCCAAAGTTATAAAAGCAGTTCCATTCTACCATCTTCATGACATTATTCCTTATCTGCAACTGGCTTGGACAGTCTTTCCACTTCAAGAGCAAAAACAAGCTGTCATGTCTACCAGATTACCAAGCCTATCTCATTTCATCTGGAAATTCAGATTCCCTGGTTATGTCACCATACCTATCTTACAATATGTCACTTTAATAAAAGGAAAACAGCCTAGAGTGTTTTTGTCTCTTCTACATCTAATTGCAAGGTAGAACCCATTTGGCTCTGGTCCATACAATTTCCTACACACAAATGCAAAACATGTACAGAGCATCTATCTTTGAGATGGTGCAATACCTCTGCAGTTCGTTGGTACTGAGTCAAACAGATTAAATGCATCATATGTAAGCTTTAAAGACAATATAAAGGGGTTCCACGCTTTCAAGGAAGGAGTACAGACTGATTGCAAACAACTTACAAGAGATGAAAGTGTTTCAATCATAGTGATGAAACATGCCATGTCTGTTTGAAGAGACAGGCATAATACATGGTACATAAAGATGCAGGTATTTCATCAGCAAAAGTGTCTGGTAATTATGAAGTCTATCAGCCCACACAGCTAATCAGTATATCTTAGTACTAAGCAGTGAGTAAACTTTTCTACTCTCATGCCCTGTGGACATGTATCTAAGTGTATCTTAATCAATTATACAATTTCATGTAGCCTCTTGTTCTTAGCTACAATGATTCTAACCAAAGGACTGTGTAAATGAAGCATTACCTAACAAAGTAAGGCTACATAATGGCAAATATAGATATCTCTGAATATCTAACTGTTACAACTTACAATCAAATCATTTTTTTTCTTTCCAATCATCATTCCTTTAAGCTGTGAGAAGTTTCAGCAATAATCCCAGTTGAGAACCTAATACTTTGATGTGACACAGCTTAAGTCTTTTCTGAAGGAAACATTTCTTTGGTAAGAGTTGTTGTAATCTTCGGCCCAAAGCCTGTAGTAGACCTCTTTTAGGAGAAAAACAATTCTGGTTGAAGCAGACATGATTAGATTGCCTCCAGCAAACTTCAACATGTTCCAAATACATAAACATGTGGTCTGTTACTCCCATCTCTGTGGCAAAAACAGCTAGCTCTAGGAGTTATATTTGTAATGTCTACCTCAAGTGAAATGGTGAAGGCTGACTAGTTTCTGTTCGAGTTTTTCATTCAAGAGTAATATCATGTAAGTATTACATTATTTTGGGCCAACTAAAGTGAGAAGAATTTGAGGATGACATGACACAAGCGAGGAACCCCGATGTCAAACACACAACACGTTAAAAACTACATGTACTAGAATAAATAAAATTGCAAACAAATTTCTAAGGTCAGGAAATAGCAAATGCATGGTGAAAATACCGCTCATAAATTAGAGAATAATTCTTAAAGGCAGTATAGTTGTAGGTAAGTTGAAACAACTGAAATATAATATGCTGATGTCTTGTTCCAAAGTCTAATGCCAACATCCCAACTGTTTAAATCTGGACAGCCATCTGACAATGGTGACCACTCCTGCATTTTCTGTTCTTTCAAAAAGCAGTAGAGATTGCATTATTCTTATTTAACACTGGTGACTTGGTGTGACAATTTGGCATGAGTTTTCCAACTTTTGCATCGATCCATAGACAAGACACCACATTTGACAATTACAATTTTTGGTACTGTCTTGGCTGAGTATTCGTAGTCTTTCATCATGTTTTTTCTCTTTAGCTGTAAGTCACACTGATGCCTGAAATAGGCTGACTCCAATTGTTCATTTAAAAATGATAGATCAATTTTGTATGAAAGTATGACACACTAATTCAACACTGAGGCAGTCAGGCTAGCCAAGACAGTACTAATGTTAGGATGCATCTCCAGCCTTTTCTCTCTTCTACATGATTTAGGTTGCACTAATTCTACCACAAAAGTGTCCACTGACTGACGACAAACTAAAACTGAGGTGTCCCTACAAGCCTATGCTCTGAACTAAAACACACATGCACATGACAACAACAATGAGATTCATTAAAATCACTACTATCTTGCATGTGTAGACTCCAGTGTATTGGAATGCAGCTAATGTTATATTCCCCACTAAAGACTGGGTAGTGTAGGTGATTCCTGTATATGGATTAAGCACTATGCAGTTAAGATTAGCTTGTTATACATTACGACAATGTAAGCAGAAGTTAGAAAAGGCTGGTGAAACAGGAGTACAAGGCTGATCATTACAACGGGTCTAATTTTGCTAAGAGCGGTTGGCTCATAATGAGGGAACTTGAGGCAATACAACAGTGGACCTCTGTTGTATTTGAAGGTGACAATAGGGGCATTCCTTCTGTACTGGAGCGCAGACCTCACACATGACGTAGTGATTGCAGGGCATGACGGCCACACAGCGATTCCTCTCCTGACATATCAAGCACTTCATGGCCTGAAGCTGGTAAATAACCTGCAGAGAGAGAGGCAGTTTCATTAGAATCACAACATACAGCATCACAACAAGCTACTGGAGCAAGTTATAGTCTTTATGAAGCAGCAGGTGGACAAGAAATTTGCCATTGAAAATTATTATCTGAAAGAAACAAAGCTACTTTTAGTATTTGATCCATTTAGCTGTTACTGACTTCAGGAATTTTGTAGTGTGTCCTATAGTAGTACTATAGTCCTGTTATCCAAACATAGTAAATTATCAATAAAAGATTAGTATACCAGACACAGATTGAAAAAATCAAAATTACCCAATTTGGTATGTTATACAAAGTTGGAAACAGCAGGCAGTGACCACAATTTACACATGTAATTCTGAAGGCTAAACATGACAAGTTGGCATTGTTTGTTATGAAGCCTACATTTTGTAACACCCCGCCCCACCTAATTAGTGATAGTGTGAGTGAACCAAACATACATTTTTGTAGCCCTAAATGCTTTCCTGAACCACATCTCACCTTGTCTAATCTCTCCAGATCTTGCCTCAGTTGTTGCTGGTAACTTCTCAATGTTGTAAGGGGAAGCTTCTCCATGTCGGACAGCTTTTGCAAAACATGTAGGTGTGGCCCGCCACTCAAATTTTCTATTTCTTTTCTCAGCACCTCTGCTTGGTTTCTAACCTAAATACAGGGAAACAATAATCAATGATTAGAGGAGGATGACACATGGTTTACTACTTCTTCTATGGATTGCTCATCTTTTACTGCAAATTTAATTTCAAATTTTACACATAAAAATGAACACACAAGAAAATAACTACTGTATGTGTATATTCTTCATACTCACCTCATCTCTTTCCACTATTGCCTGTAACTTTTCTTTTTCGGCAGCTTTGGCCTTTTCTGCATATTCAGAAGCTTCCTTCTTCCATGCATCACATGCCTGTGGAAGAAAATTTAAGACATGTATTAAGGACACACATGAAGTAATAGCTCTAGACAAACATCACATATCAGGGCTTGGTGCAGGTAAGGTTGGAAAAGTGTATGGTATTTCTGATGTCTACCTGCACCTAACCTGTACCTAATTCTGATTGGTGCAGGTAAAACTTGTTTGGTGCAGGTTAGCCTGACTAAATCGCGCTCCTGGCGGCCGCCGCCCTAGGTTGCCGCCCCCCTAGGTGGGGGTGGGGGTCATTAACGTCCAGCCGAGAGCTTGTATACACAGGCTAGGTGCAGGTAACTTCGAATGTTGCTGTGCAGGTATGGAGACAAAAGTATTTGCAGCCCTGCATATGAATTGAATGGGTGAAAAAAAATCCCATCCTTCAATAGCTACAGAGGAAACACAGTGTACATCACTGACCTGTTTTGCCTGCTGCCAGGACTCCTCCCAGGACTGTAGTTTTGTTCTACATGCATTGAGTTCGTCCTGTAGCCTCTGCACCTCACTGTTGGTAGAATTGGTAGATGAGAATGTGGAGTGGCTGCCCCCGACAGACAGCAGCGGGGAGTGAGGCCCCCGTGTTGAGAAGTTCTGTGAGCCCAGGTCCATGAAGCCCAGCGACCTCATCTCAGGAGCAGGCTGGCTAAGGAAGGCTGCTGCTGCCTGTAGTAAACAGAAGAAAAAGAATGAACTTTAGAAGTTACACAAGCAAAAATCACAATAGATTTATTCCAACCATGCATGTAGCAAACAGAACAAAAACATGGACTGTAGAGCAAGCAAAAATCAGGGCAGATTTACGCCAACCATTATAATAGAGTGGAAGAAATCTGTCCTGATTTTTGCTTTTGTAACCTCTACAGACTTTATAAGAGAGCTAGGGTCCACTTTCAAACAGACAGGAAAACTGGTTCACTTACGCAGTAATCTTTGGTCAGTAAAAGGATTATTCATTGAAAACATTTATTGCTCTACCAACGAATGAACCTAGACTGACCTGTTCTATTTGCTGCTGTTGGTGCTGCTGCTGCTGGATGTGCTGTGGTACAAAGGCAGGAGGCAGCTGTCCTAGAGGGGAGGGGGGCGACTGGGAATGTGTGGACGACGCTCCTAAAGACCCTGGGATGCTAACAGGGGTGGAGCCTGCCCCACTCAAAATGCCTTGACTCAACGAATTTGACAAGGAGTTGGACCCCATAAAATCTGGAAGAAAAAAAAAACAGTCTTGAGACACTGAGTTTCTGGAAGCTTATAGCTCCTACTAAAGATAACAAATGGCCAAACTATGAGGAAAGAACACATTTTTCTTAGTGTTTCCTGATGCTCACCTAGCCCTAGTCCTGCACTGGAGCTGGCTGCAGAGCCTGACTCGTTGTCCAGTTCCTTATCTATTGCTGACCCAACATCAAAATCATCCAGGTTCATGTCCTCTAGAGCAGAACCTACACACAGAATGGAAAACACCAGTCAGTTATAGGGCACGGTTAAAGACAACATCTAAATAATAAGACTCATTCACTCAACATGAAAAACTACTTCTTTGAGTGGTTGTTAATCTATAAATCAATCCAACAAGCATCCTTAGATCGCCAACCAATACAGTGAACAAAAACTTCAGCTTTGACTCTTCCTGTACATGTACCTAAGCTTGCACATGTTATATCAGTTAGATTTCATTCAAACAAGAAAACATATAAAAGAAAGTTTCAGTATTACAGCTACATGTATTTCCATATCAGTGTTCACACGCACCTACAACAGACTCCACTGTGTCAGAGGCAGGATAAAAAGGCCTAGCTGTTGGGGTTAACGTTGATGATGTGACCATGGTGGTCATAGATGATAATGAACTAGACAGAGGCCCTGAATTGGCGACCGACGTCACGACGGCCGTAGCCGTGCCCAGGAGGTTCTGTTTCCTCCTGAGCTTCTCCTGCTCGTCCAGGTTTGGGTCGCTGTCGATCAGCTGCAGCTGCTTCTTCAGCTGAGCCTGGAAATGGAACGGATTGGTCCATAACTGCAACGTGCAAGGGAAACAAAAAACAAAGGATGTAGCAAAACAAGCAGTGAAGACAAGAACATCTGAAGATCTCATTAATTAACACATGAGGGGACTCTAATGTTTAACATGGCATGGTCTAAGGGTGACATACAGTATAAGATATCCTTACAATTTTTGTTGTCAGGATATTGAGGACAACTAAAATGAGACTGTCTATATGTAAAAAGTTTATGTATGAAGTTTACAGGGAATCTTACCCATTAGGATCTACGCTAACTTATAAGTTATACATGTATTTTCTTTCAGTCATCATTCATATAACTACAGTGTACACGTTTAAATTTGCTATATGTTTCACCCTGTCTTTTCAATGTTCTCCTTTGAACAATGAACTTAAAACTTGGATTTGAAATATCCTGTATTTTGAATGTGAGCTTCAACTCCATTTGTAAAGGAATTGTACCATCCTGTTTTTGTATTGAGAGTGACTGACACGGGCTGTCTTTTTTAATGTTAACAAGAAATTGTTGTTCCATTTTTTTTTTAATTTGCTACTCTCCCTAACTCAACTAAAGCAAGCACGACCCAATCCTACATTCCACCCACCTGACTGTCTTCCCTCTCCGACCCCGGTGCCTTCTGGTAGGTTGACCCTGACCCCAGCCCGGTGTCTGAGGAGAAGCTACTGCTGGTGGAGGAGCTCTGGGAGCGAGGTTTGCCGATGGGGTTCAGACTGGGCGGGGTCAGCGACTCGCTGATGGAACTGAACACCCCCGACACAGGGGCGGAGATTGGCACCTGTACGGCAGGGGAGAGCTGAAGTAAATCCTCAGTAGAACAGGGATGGTGAGGGACAACACTGTCACTACATGGTAAGGGTCAGAGGAAATGCAGCAGGGAGAAATACTGGTGTGCAGTGCAGCTATGCTATATGTTAGCTGGTTGAAAGGTGCATGCTCACACATTCATGCAGTTTGGACAAAATGCATGTTTTGCTGCAGAGCTCATTAGTCTGACAATACAGCTTTGAAAATGAGCAAAATCAGGTGAATGAAACATTTTTGTAGGGTGTAACACCTTTCAACCAGAGGTGATTGTACAAGTAACTACCACGACACTTCTACTGTTGATGAGATACCTGCAGACGGAGTGTTGGCCTGTGTACTAGTGGGAGGTGGTTATTGAGGGACCACATCTGGTGTGGAAGCAATATGAATCAAAGAGAAATCATCAGAATCAAGGAAAGAAACAACAAAAGGGTAGAAAGTAGTTACATGCTGTCATCAAATCAATTTCATAAAATCATAGCAAAAGTCAGATGGAAAAGATAAAAATGACAAATTGTAAGTAAACATCATTGATTGTTACATGCAAGCTTTTAGTTGTCATGGTTAAAAAGGTAGCAGTCAGGATAGTGGAAAAAAAGCTGTTGAAAGGATTTGGTATGTGGTGTCAAAGTGGTGACATTTTGTATATTGTACATGTAGGTTGTTACACTGTCCATGGTAATGGTAGGTTGGTGCAGATGCATCCTAATACTTCAACATTTGTAAATATTTGATTTTCCACATGAATTGAATAGTACATAAAAGCATTCCTAAAACCTGTGTTTTGGAACAAGAAACAACAGATGAAGTCTCAGGTGCTGTGTTGCCGCTGGCTGTGAAGTGCTGGGCTTATGGAGAACTTTGACATTTTGAAAATGCAATTTTTAATGTCTTCATACCAACTCCAGGGATTACATGTTGAGTGTCTAGTACAGTACATAGATACAATAATGAAACATGGAGTGTTTTCCACTCAACCATTGTCTGGATTTTGTATTTAACCTTACCTATAATGTTATGTAGGGCTGGAAAAGTGTGTTCTCACCTGTGACACCTGTGCAGGTGTGCCTATGGGGAGGGGCGGGGCGGAGGAGGGGATGGGAATATCATCCAGACCAGTCGAGGAGCCGGCTGTGTTATCTTCTGCAGGTGGAGAGAGAGTCATTGTCAGAACACCTGAACATGGAACATGCTGACTTTCCTTGTCAAGTTCTGCAATTGGTGCTTATTTCTAACAAGTTTTATCACAAAACTGTAGCAATATGTAGCAAACTCATTCACAAGACAGGTACAGACATGTGCAGGTAGGATGGCCTTCAGGTTTGGATACTGATGACCTCAACTTACAGATAGTAAATATGTTGGTGTACTTCTCATAAAAAGACATCAACCTTTGCATTTAGTACTCTTGCATCTTAGATGTCAACCACATGTTACTGGTAGCAAAACATATCAAATACATTTAACACTTGTGAAGACGTGTACAACCTCAGCCATCCCTGCCAGATACATGTACATGACTATACTGCACACAGCATAGTGAATGGAACACATGCAAGGTGTTGAAATATCAAAACTGGAAATCTATATGAGAGATTTTCTAGGTCACTGTCCACCTTGCAGTGTGTTGTAGCGCAAACATTATACTGATGAAGAGGAAGTAAGTGTGTATACTAAGTAAAACACAGCTGCAGGAAGATATTATTCACTATCACCATGTAGTAAGTATTACCGGTAAGCTTGGATTGATATTGGTATATGGAGGAGAAGCCAAAGAAATTTATCAAAATGAGGACAAGGGATGTGAAAGAGATGTCCACACTGACAAATGGATTTCAGATTCCTTTGTAAGCCTTTATATTCCTTGCTGCTTAGTAGCTAGGGGGTATAGGTCTACACATATTAGATGATTACAGATTGGATAAATCAAAGTCTTTATAACTGAAGTGCTGGGATTATTATGACGTTGTCTGTGTTAGATGTTGAAAATGTCAGTGCATTTGTTTTATCTCATCACAGGAGCAGTAGGGATGACAGCAGGCTAACATGGTTGGTCATCTGTGTCAGAAATGTCTGAATACTGTTCATTCTGTGGAAGCTACAGTTCAGGAAAACAAGAGTCACAACATAAAGAATACCATCACCAGAGTATTTTTGTATTTGTCAGCCATGTTGATACAGTTTTCATCTACAACAAAATGTAACAGACATTGACAGACATATTACAGGTGAAGGTATATTTTGTAATACTTTCACCAAATGATACAAATTGTGGAGAGGTGTGATTTTGGTGTTTGAGACTGTTGTTTTCCTAGGAATGTTGCTTCCTCTCACGTGTACAGGTAAGAACAGGTGGCTTGCCTTGAAAGGGGGACGCATCCAGCAAGTACATGTAGTCTCCTGATAGAGGGGCGAAATTCAAGGGCATTCATTCAACAACTCACAAGTAGGGGACTGTTCAGCAGTCAGGCAATTCCAAGGTTACAATACTTGAAGAGGGAGAACTAACTGATGTGTTACATGTATTCTACAGAGAGGACATGACACATAAAGTACACATATTGTTGCATGCAAGATGTAATTGAAGCTTTACCGGTAGCTTTTCTTGCAGGATAGTTTACCAGATTATTCAAAATACCATAACTAAAGAAATGAGGACATCCTGTGGTCCATATGTGTAACATTAGTTTAGATGTGTTAACATCTGACTAGTAAATCTTTGGTAGACTATCCTGCTGAAGTGCTACTGAAACTTGCAAATGAGTTATTATCATAAAATACATGTAGTTATTTCAAAAGAGATTCACAAATGCCAGAAATTTCATGTTTGAGGTGATAAAATCATAGACAGATTGAGATGACTCCACTTCTAAGCAATATTGGACAATAATGTCCTTTTCGAAGACTAGAAATCCTTCAGTAGCAGAAAAGTTTGTTCCAAACTAATCACGGAGTCAGAGTTTTTTTCAATCTGTATTGTAAAATCAAAGATTATATTGATGTTATATGATCATTAGAAGTAATGTTTCTTATTGCTGGGGTAAAAACAAGGATGAAAGTAAAACTGGTCAGACCAATTTTATAGCAAGGACAGTTTCAAAAGGGATTTGAGTGCTCAGATCTTTTTGGTAAACAACTTTCAAAAAAGTCAGAAATGTCCTTGTGAACAGAAACTTTGGTGAAAACAAAAACTTTTTGGTTAGTTTTGTCAGGGACGGTTGGACTCCATGCACGAGGACAGGGGAATGAGAAGGGCGATACTCACGTTCAACATGTGCAAAGGCACAAAATGGTCCACGTGGACAATAATTTGTCTGCTGCATGTCGTTACATTTGGTAGACTTGTAAATCTGGGGGGAAGAAAGAGACACAACAACATGAGGACATTGGAAAGGCTACGCATCAGAATTGCTCAAATCTAGTCACATCTAAATTGCTCTGACAAATGTTGCTAATAGGTTGACCGATACACTAAAAGATACAGCTTGACAGACTGACAGGAATATTGAACAACCTGTTTCTTAACAGATCTAACAGTGACACACCCATATACACCTCTAGGTAGAAATCAGCTTCTGTTGTGACAACCATTGCCACAGACAAGCATGTTCCTACATACCTCTGGGTGGAATTGCTGCTCTGTCCTAGTGTGACAATACTGACAGTTGTCCCCATTCTCACACAGAGATGGATCCCCCCACTCATCACCATGCTTCACATTAGGACAGGGTGTGGACCTAGTGAGAAACAGACAAACATCAGCATCAACAAGTTAATGCCTAAATTACCCGAACGGAAAATGCTGCACAAAAAAAAGAGTTCATGCCACTTCAAGATTTAAACTCAAAAATCAAAACAACACTCAATCTGTTGAAAGTATCTTTAAATACAGAATCCATATTAACATGTACCTTTCTACAGATACAAATATATCATTGGTTAGAAATAACATACAATAGAAGCATTGTTCTGTGGATGTTACCTATACTTAAACTTGCGAGGACTTCTCCTACGATCTCTGGAATTGTGGTACTGTGGGCAGGCGTACCCCTGTCGACAGAGCCTGGGTGGTCGTTTGCATGATTCTGTCTTGTAATTTGCTAAAACAAAGTTGGTATCTGGAAAAAAATTAGGTCAGAATCAGTAACTATGGCAATAATCAAAATAATAGTAAAAGTAGTATTACTATTTTAAATAAGGTTAGACACCTTGCTGTAGTTTGTAGGTCAAATCATACTACAAATGGGGAGCTAAAAATTTACATCAAGAGTATGTGTGCTTACTTATTCAAGATACACACTTGACATTCTTCTCATAGTGACTCCAATATTTACACATGCATTTTCAGGAAGAGTGAAAACATGAACTTGAAGATACTTTCAGAAACAGTTTATAACTAAAAGTTAGAAATTACAGAAGAAAAGTATCCCAAAATGTGTGTGCCGTGTGTGGCAGTTGCACTCACCATTCCACTTTGGGTCTTCATTAACTATCATATTCTTTTCTTGTTTCTCCGGGAGGGAGAGCCCATTCGTGTCGGAGGGATTATTCCCCGGCGTTTGCTGCTGAGCCTGCAGCTCTCGGATATCGTAGACCGCGGGCCGGAGGTCGTGAGGGCCGTGTGCAAACGCACAGTGGGGCCCGTTTTTCACGCAGTAGCCTCTACTATCTGTCTCATGTACACAGGTACTGGTTTTGTAGTAGCGTAGGTGATATCTCCGTTCTGTGTCTCCGGCCGTACGGTGTAAATAGGGGCAACTGCAAATGGAGGGAGGACAAAAACAATGTCAGATAGGAAACACAGATTTCACAGGACAACCATGGGTGGAAGTATTTGTGCTAAATTTAAAAACGAGATCTTTAACTGATAATAACCATAACATGTCACATGTACATACGGTTGGTGAATGTAACTTCAAATCAAGGGTTCACTGCTCACTGTGCATAAAATATGCTTCATGCATGATGTGGACAAAATAAGAGAAACATAGATTTGTGCAGGACTTTGTTACATTGTGTTATCAACATTACAGTACGTTTCTGATTATACTGATTACGTATAACACTCTTACATCTTCATGAATATCTAGCTGGAATTTTCCAGCTATAGCAAACAGGTCCGCCTGCCTTGTCTGAAGCATTCCCTACTCAGTCAATATGCAGATATGCATTAACCATTCAGAAAATTTCAATTACAGCTACCAAGTATATTCCAGTCATAGGTAACATTTTCTGCAAAATCAAGAAGATTTCAAAACAGTGCAGGGAACAGGATTAGTGGCCAGGAGTAACAATAATGGCATAGTAGATTCAACAAGTACAGCTTTCAACATCAATTAAAATCTATGTGAAAATGCCAAAAGTATCAAAGAATATTCAAAATGATATTCCCAAAGAGGCCATATTGTTTTAGACTGACAAAATCCTGTGTTGCTGTAAATATTACTTCATTTACCTAGGAAAACCAGTTAGTATTGCCCTGAGGAAGGTACATGTAGCAGGGGGACTACCAAAACATAAGCAGGGAAAAGGCTCTGGTGGTATACAAAGAACGTTACTCAAATTGATTTACAATCATAGATAATGCAATTTTTTACCTAGAGAGAAATTACCTATTAGTGTGATGTCGTGTTTTTTTTTTTCAAATTTGAGGAGACATAAACAGATTAGAATGACAGAAGTTTGGCCACAAAAATTTCTCTCCACCTGATACATTGTAGGTGTCTTTGAGACATCATCATCATGTGCTATCTATACTAAATCTATAGTTACGACAAGCTACTTTTTACTGCTGTGATCTTCCCCCACATTTGCTCTTTTCCAAGAAAGATGGTAACTTCATATTCATATGCAATCAAGGGACACGTAATCCAACCCACCTGCTCCCACACTAGTGCCTACAGCACAATGCCTGATAACTAATCTACAGTTGCACAGTACTGTACATATCATGCAGATGAAGGCAACTTCTTACCTTATCTGTCCTTATGTTCACCTTGTTGTAGACTTATCTATAGCATAGACCAAAATTTGCAATGCTATGGAGAAACTAAGCATTGTAAACAACCTGTTGGTGGTATGAACTAAAGAGACTACCACTAGGTACATGTTTATTCCCACTTTCTGCAAACAGAAATATTGGAATACAGTCAGGGTTGGACAAGTCCCATTGCCCACTTGCCCAGGGCAAGTAAAAGCACTGTTTGGGCAAGTGCATGTGCCCCTACACTTGCCCGATTGGGCAAGTAAATTTTTTGGATGCAAAGTATAGCCTCTACGGTGTTTGGAGCAAGTCAAATCACCTTATTTCCATAAATAAAGCATCCAACATTATCAACTCCAAAATAAGACAATTTTAAAATTGGTGGTAGTAAAAATGCATTGAAATTTGTATATTTTGGGCAAGTAAAAAGTTGGTTCGGGTAAGTGGAAATGACCTTGTACTTGCCCGATAGGGCCAGTGGATTTTTTAAAACTTGTCCAACCCTGATTACAGTATATGTAAATATCTTTTCTTCACTGAAGAAAACTTGATGGCATTTCCATATTGAGGCATCTTTGTAACTTGTAGGGCTGCACAAGGCCTTTCCCATGTAGAGAAATACATGCAGCGCTAGCTCGGCTCCACCTTTCTCACATAAGGTAAACAGACTAATTTGAGGACATTTCGTTCTGTTGAAAATGGGAGTAAATGCAAGTTTTCAAAACATAATATCTTTCTTGGCCAAAAATCTTACATTTGATAACCAAAAACGAAGCCTATGAAAATCAAACTGACAAAACAAAATCTTTGGCAAAATGTGCTCATCATGTTAATTTCTTCCCAGTCAATTATAAAAGCTTCAGTCATCTGAACAACCATAAATGGTGACCTCATGAGGGTCAGAGGGAAAGGTGACTGAGTGTTGTGTTCAAACTCTATTCGTACCGTACTCAATACTTAGTTTAGTACACAACTTGAAAGATTGCTCTATACAGTACAACTGGGTCTAACATTTACCACTGATATTTAGCTACATATGGTTGGGCAAACAAAGCTCAGGAAGACCAGAAAGCATACATCTCATGTACAAGATAAGGTACAAACCTCCATGTACATGACAAGGATAGGCACAGTATCAGGAAGAGGTACATTAGTCAGAACAAAGTACCCACCTGTTGCACTGCCCAGCCCAGGTAACCATATACATTGTACCAAAAAAAAAAGCCTGGCTGTTACAATGGAGGTACTAGCTACAGTTACAGTTAGACAATGTTCGGGTAAAAACAAACAATGGTAGATGTAACCAGGAAGGTAAGCTGTTTGAAAAACATTTCCCAGGTGACGCAGAAAGCTTTCCCTTCTACAACATTGTTACTTCTGGGAAGGTTCTGCATTACGTTTGAATGGCTCATTGGCTCCAGGCTGTAGGAGTGATATAAGCCTGCCACGTAACAGTATCTTCTTGAGTCTAGTCTATATGTATCTACTGAGCTTGTTAAATAGCACATCCCTGAATACTGACTGAATGTTGTGAAGGTTCTTAGAAATTACTGGTAGTAGAGACAACAACAGCAGCCATCATTTGTAACATATTTGTACATATAACTTCGTCATGCTCAACTATTATCCCCGACAAGTAATTCATCATGTGAATTGACTATCATCATCACCTGCCATGCAATAACATATATCGTACCTGGACTAACGATATGACAGAGGAAAGGGGTACCTGCAGTTTACAGCCACCAGTTGCTTCTGTACATGTACAGCATTCTTCACCAGAGTCTTGTTCAGTACAAGACAGTGGCCCATACACAGTGCAGGTGAGACTGGGAGGCCTCTGCGCTCTGTTCCCAACCTCCCATTCATCCCTACTGGCCTGTCGATTAGTCTGCACAGCGCTCCAATACACACTCTGCCCTTATACATACATGTAAGCAATTATCCCTCCACAACATCACAGTTCTACATGACTTGATTGTCTGGGCTCCTCGTCATTGTTTTTTACCTCCGCGGAATGGATAATGCAACAATGTGTATCTTTCATCCCGCAGCCGCTGGTAGAAATAAAGGCTCACAATATGATATGAAAGGCGTCGTACTGCCTGCAATCTTTGATTGTCCTATGATTGTCTCAAACTACCATACAGCTGGCGAGTCCAGGGACCACCTCAAGAGTTCATATGCCTGCGCTAGGCAACATTTTGTAAGTACATCAACCTTAGGTGTTATGTTGAAATTAAGGACCAGTGCATAAAATAACACCTGCTAAGAATACATGGAAAAAATTGTGACATTATCCCTGATAGAGACTAGTATAATACTTGTACACAACCAACCAACATTGGTAACTTCAGTTTTAGTCACAATGTTGACCTTTAAACTACCTACATGTACTGGTACACCACTGTCTAACTGATAAGTATTTTCATGTTGAGAAAACATTTCTAACAGCACTAATCAGACTGATAACCTCTGCTGAAGCAGCCCATGTTTTCCAGACCACCTGTGTCCTTATGTTTTATGCAACTGCTGGAAATGTAGGGCCCTGTACTGTAACCTGATACACACTGTACATCTGCAATCAGTACCAGCTACTCCTGTGCTTCCGGAATCATTACCTCTGGCATATTTTCACAGGTAAAACATTTGATTCTCTCCACCTTTATGTATTGTGGATATCAAGAACCATATTTTACAACAAGTAACTCAGTTCTTATTAATACATTATATCAAATATTAAGTCTACATGTAGGTATATCATATTTTATTTTATTCATTTCCATGAATATGTATGTTGCAATTGCTTGCAATCGCAATCACATCATGATTTTGTTTTTGCTACCATTGGCATTACACTGGTTGCATCTGAACCAAATATGTATCAACAATTTTTGATACTAAATATAACATTTAACGTGTTTACCTATGTTTCTCTGATCATGCAATTGCCTAAACAGATGCCTAGCACAAAATAACCTCCTAATAAGAAACTGCAGTAATTGAATATGAAAAATTGTGAAAGAAATTCAAGTAATTCTCAGATAAATTGTAGGTCTTAAGTCCTATCAACAATGACACATCAGCTTTCAATTCCATCGTATCTGATCCTGACATGAAAAATATTGTGGCTTTTTTGCTGATTTGAGCTCTTTTAGAACTACAGGAAGGTCTACTATAAATATGCACATACTTCATGTATTCATCCAAGCTTAGTATTGAATCAAATGCCTTAACTTAACGGTATATTGTAAGTTTCTTTTTCAAACTTTCAATACAGAAGCCCTACATATATCTGGCTGCACACCCTTCCAATTATTCAGTCTTTACAGTAATACTACATAGAAGCACACTGCCAAGTTTTTCACAATATAAGTCTTATCTGTCTCTTATTTGGCTGTTGGGAACTTGTCCAAAACATTATCCTACTGACAAGACAGTTATAGTGAGGTTCCAAGTAAGTCTGATGGAGTGAGCATCAGAGTAAAGTATAGATTACTAATATTCATAGAGATGTGACACCCATTTTTTTCACTATTACGTAAGGTCTGAGACAGTAGTCATAAATCATGCATGTGATTTAGATTTGGTGTGATATGGAACTCAAAGAGTATGTGACGACATATGTGTTTACTGTAAACAAAACAGCATGTTTTGAGATAATGATCTCTTTTTCAAGGCCATGCATTTGATTGATGGAAAATAATATAGTAATGAGAAAAGTGGCACTACCTAAGGACAGCATGCAAAATTTGAAGCTTCTTTAAACTGTACAGTATATATATTTTTATCAAACAACAATACATTTGTATTACAGTTTGGCCCCTTCCTTCACATCAGTGATTGGAACTTAGGCCATGTTGATTTGATTATATGGATGACATCCTCTGGGAACCCCAAAACTGATGCGAGCGTGCGAATAAAAAAAAAAGTTAAGCAAAAAAAAAAAGTTGCTTTCATGATGAAATCCACGTGGTCATGAAGGTTAAACAAATGACACAGAGTATGGTATGGCGAATAATCTACTCCTCAAATTCATTTCTTTACAGTTTTGTCTTTTTCGTTTGATTTTGGCATTCTGCGACATTGGTATCGTTTTCCAATATTTATTTTGCAACTTACGGTATATATTTGCTCATTTTGCAACGGTTTTGTACGATTTACAGTATGGTTGAAATTTTTTTTTTTTTGGAAACGGCCGAAAATTCATGCGCGCGTGGATGTCATCCATATAATCAAATCAACATGGCCTTATGGAAGAAAAACTCATTCTGTTCTTTTAGAACCTTCAGATACTTCAGGCTTACTCTATGATTATTTCTTTTGTCTGAGAAATTCCTTGAAAACAGCAAGCCTGCAAAGAAGCATAAGATTAAAAGAAAAAGAACAAAAGAAAAAGAGTAAATGTTGTTTTTCAATGACAACAACTCAGCCGAAATTGCCACAGTTGTCCACACTGAAATGCTGATGTAATCAGTAGGAAAAAAAACTACCAATGATACATCATATTGGCAGGTAATCTGAGTTAACTCTTGAGATGTTAAAATGGAGTATCAAGGCTCTTTTTTTAAATTTTATCATAGGCCAAGTTACCACAGCAAATTGTTGTCTGAGAATGAGATTTACATGTGTAATCACTTTCTTTGTCTCCTCAAAATATTCTTTGGTAACCATATCTCAGAATGTCTTGACACAAAACACGGTGCAGTTCAACTAGATGAAGTACATGTTCTTCTTGGGCCCTTGTCGTCCTGCAGGACCATCTACAGTACATGTTACAACCATCATAATTCAAACAAAGTGCTTAATTTTCCCTGTCTTGCTCAATAGATACCATGGTAGATTTCATTACTGCACTAACAATAATTGATATTGCATTAAAACATGAAATATTTCCTTTGCCCAGATAGCGAGTAAGCAATCATTGATGGCCAATGCAGTCCCAGATACATGTGTACCACTGATATATTTGCCTAACTAGTTGGCGCCAGAGTGGACTTTTATACAGTTAGGCAGGAAGACAGGAAACTAGGGGCAGCTCACTAACTCTTTGGACTGTTCCATTTACAGGGCACAGGAGGGAGGTACTAGTTCTTGAATTTGAAAACATATTCAATAATGATGATCCACTATAAATAATACTCTTAGCTTAGGAATAACCACTGACTTGCCCATTTTTTGTTTAACTCATGAGTCATAAGCTTTGCACACTTTTGCAGAAAGGTTGACTCATCTCTAAATATTTACAATGGAATAGTCCTTAAATGTTCCTTTTCTGTCATGTACATTGTAGTACGTATGTATGTATGTACACATTATGTATGTCTGTGTGTGTGTGTGTGTGTGTGTGTGTGTGTGTGTGTGTGTGTGTGTGTTCCAGTGGTAAAGTATACTGTATTTAAACCCACTGTGATCTGGCCTTCCCCACTCTTAACATGTCCTGCTAAACCGTTCACACCTGGTTTTCTAATTTTAGCCTTTAAGTTAGTATACAGTACATTACACACATTACTGAACTATGTTGGAATCATGCTTTCTGCAGATACACAATTTAGAATGTGCGATTCACATTGCTTACTAAAAAAAGTATGCTATCTTGAATGAAAAAAAAATTAAGACTAAAGGTTGGCAACAACTATCTGAGACATATTTGATATTATTATGACTATTGGGGTTGGCCAATTTCAGAGATACATGTATAAAGGTCTACATCCAATAAGACAAAGTAGAACAGAAAGGGCTTTTCTAACTCATGTATGTATCTATCAAACTATCCTTTCTTTCCTCCTTCATAGATGTATACACTGCACATGTAAACACTGCACATGTAAACACTGATAATCATCATGTATCAGAAACTAGGTCATTTAGATAATTACACAATTGGATTTAGGCTCATTAGTTGTTCCTTATGCAAACTTGCAGGACTCTATCCGCTATCATAACCAGGGCCCACTGGGAGTAGAGCAGCATTGTTGACACCTCTGATATTCATCAAACAATCAACCAATATGTCAGACACAGTTTATATTCTCTACAAGACAACACTGACTGAAATTGTGAAAAGTATCAAAATCTAGAGAGAATGACATACTTGCCAGGAGAGTTTGGGCACTCTAAGATTTCAGTTGGCAGTGGGCTTACTCTCCCAACCAATTATTTGCCCTATTTTTACTGAATCAATAATCAAAGTTTAAATTTGAACGTGGTGAAGAGGCTACTGTTTATATAAAGATGACTACAGAAAGAATTGTACTAGTCTAAATAAATAGTAACCCAAATAGAACCTTTATACATATAGTACATATGTACTTCCATTATACTTTTCAGTTATCAACTTTTTGTTTCACACACACACCACCCATAGAAAAAAGCTTTCTAATTATATTTTACAAATCATATATGCTATCCCCAGGGCTACAGAACTAAATGACAGCACAAAGTTGTAGCGAATGACCTGGATGAGATGAACTTTTTCTTACCAGCTCTATTTGAAATAAAAAGTTTTCCTAATGACTAACATGTATGTAAGAGAATAGTACAACATACTGAAGTCAGTCCTATAGGACTGGTATATTGATATGAAGAAGTTCAAGGACATAACAAAAAAAGTGAAAAAAGACCCTATGCTATAATTACATGTACAAGGAAACTAAGAAAAACAATACCCACAAAATGAATTTCAGTTTCTTAGGAGAGTCAGTGAAAAATTAAAAATAAAGTATTAGTTCATTAGTTCATAGACATTAATTCATTCTAACTTAAAACTACAGAAATTTCTTGGCATGCCCGAGTAATACAAAAAAAATATTTTTCTACGTCACATAGGGAAACAAAAACTACATTCTCACTTGAGTTAACATCAATCCTATTCTACACGTATGTGCTCAAGTCAAGGAAAAGAAAGCAATGAAATCCACAATCAGCGACATAATTACATTTCAAGTTGCCTACAATGACATCATTGTGTATCCAAATGCAGAGGGGACATTGAGCGTGGAGGACAATTAGATTTTCCTTTATGTCGCTATTAATCTAATCATTGGGTGATCACGATTTGTTTACATAATTATTTGTCCTGAAATAAATGATAGAAATACAAACACAACCCAGAAAATATGCAAAAGGTATCAGCAACACTATTCCAGACACAGCATATGTACATATTTTCTCTGTTGAAAACATAAATTCAAAACCAATTGGAGGGGAGAGTAGATATGACATCATGACCACTACTTACTTTTCAGACACCATGATTGAAATATGATCACAAAAATACTATATCACATTTCACACAAAAATACCACCACCAAGTGTCATAAAACAGGACAGAGAGAACAACTAAGTGTTTAGACATTGGCAAACCAAAGGGCAAAACATTCATGATGTCGCTCCGATGCGACCTAGTTGGCCCATATGCAGAATATTTTGGTCGGCCCATGTACGATGCCAACAATAGCACAAATGTAAACTTCCTGTTTTGGTTCGCGACCCTGGTTAACCCTAAGGTCTTCTATCACGTAAAAACACCACCTGTGTAGCAATTTATAACTTCCTTAAGAATCTAGGGCAAAGATCTATGGAACAGAAATAACTTAAGTCGTCTCGGATGAGTATTTCAGAAGCTAAAAGAAGAAAAGTCGAGAAAAACCCTCCCACAAGATTTTGAATCAGGCCCGCCATTTTGGATAGCGATATTGTTACGCTGAATTACGTCAACATTCTTGGGGAAACTTCTGAGCATGGAGAGCCTTGGGCTGACTTTGAGGTGATCAGAGATCAATTCAAATTTCACTAAACCATGACATATTTACAAAATCTAGTTTTTAATATCAAGAGAAAGTTGTGAACACATCTATAGTTAGCTCTACGTGACCCCAAACACATAGGCAGGGGCAGAGACATGGTGACCTCAGTGGTCTGACAACCCGCCAAATTCGTAAAATTCACTGAGCAGAGAAATCAAAACACAACAGCCCAGCCTGCGTAAAAACACATGGAATAATTCTCACTCCCCCAAACACCAAATATTGCACTAAAATACACCAAACTTAAAGAGTTTAGCGAGGAAAAAACAAGTCCGGAAGCGAAACTAGCGGTACTTTCCCACTACGATATCAACTGAAATCTACGGCGAAAATGGTCACCATCAAACCCGTAAAGATAGTGAAATCGACATTAAAGTCCATTTCTGTGCACCCTACATCTGCCAAGGTGTTATGATGGCTTTCAGATTCAAAAATTCTAGACTAAAAGGAGCAAAAAATACTCCAATATTGCATGAACCTTGTTGGCTTTTACTACTGTTTACGGTAACAAAGTAGTAACAGACGCAAATGTTCGGCGCCTAAGTTTGTTCTAGCATATCAAGGAAATCGAAGGTTTTAGTAAACTAACAAAACCACAGGCTAATAAATGGTGTTATAGAGACCACATGGAAACACTTGGTGTGTTTAAGAAAAGTAAAATTCCTGCTGTCAAACACTTTCAAGATCAGGTCTACATGTATAAGCGATCGGGAAGTTTGGCGAAGGGGGAGGGCCGATGTTTTGGCGGCCAGTTGAAATACACTTTTACTCACTCGTCTCCGTTCGGACAGATGCCTGACTGCTCGTCAAATTTATCACAGTAGATGTCGGGGCTATAGTTGAAGGTCCCGTCTCTTCTCCTGATCGGTCTTCGTCGCCTCTGGTTCATAAAATGCCAGTGGAAACAGGTAAAGGGCCGATGCTGTTGACACTTGTGCTGGAGAAAGTCCTGACACTGCTGCGTTCTAAACTCCTTCAGATACCTGGCGAAAACAAGCACGGATTAGCACCAAACTCACCAAATGACACCCTGAAATGGTCTCAGAAAAGAGAATACTGTCGTCCAGATGCTTACATGTAGTGGAAGGGTTTTTCGGGAACATTTTGAACGACGGCAGCTGCTGTTTTGTTGTCCTCCGACGGCATCTTGGCTAACAACACGGACGCGCGCCCACCCAGCCGCAAGGACTCACGGGAAATCTGGGGGTCACGAGTCAAACGTAGTATAGTAAGGGACAGGTGAACGATATTTTGAAGGAGGTTAAAAAACAAAATATGAGACGTATCTCCAGACAGATTTACCAACGACCTAGATTTTACGCTCCTGTACATATTTCTCGATGCGAAGTATACAATGTGACACTTAGAATAAAGCTGTCACATTTTGCTGGTCATCAAGACGTGGGTGCAACATAAAGTTACATATGAATAACGTTACATATAACGTCATATAAAGTTATATGACCTGTATATTACAGGCTTGCAATCACTAGAAAGGGTAAAATTAGCATCTTCAGGATCCTTTTGCACCTGCTCTACTGGCATTAATTCCAACCAAGTAAAGGCGGTTAATGGGTAACACTAGTGGTAAAAATAAGATATGAAAATAAGCATGTCTGAAAGAAGTTTAGGCCATGTATGCAGCTCTCATTAGTAATCTTAGATCTGTGAATATGCAATTTTTTATATCGTAAACATGAACATGATGACTTATTTTAATACCAAATTCCACTTGTGAGCATGTTTCAGACATTTGAAATTAAATGTGCACATGAAAAATCCACTGACAAAACAAATGCAAACCAAGAAGACCTGTACATGTATCACTACATAGAAACTGTCGAAATTTAAATTGAAAAACTAAGCATGTTTCACTATCGTCTTTCTCAAAATGTGACCCGAAATATCATTAAGGGAGTAAATTAGTACGAATTCTTGGTCTGCCTTCAAATACTGCTGTGTCACAAATTAACTGTTCAACAGTCTGACATCCATACAACTGTTTTTCCAGATGGCAAGACAAGGCTTGTCAAGGTTTGCTACAATACTACACTATCATGGTCAAATGTTAGCTACTGAACATGGTGATTGCCAAATGGGATTTAGAATGAGGAAGTAAAGGAAGAGGGTTATGGAGAAGAAATTACTCAACAGGAAATGGAGTTGGCTCTGAAGATGCCTTGGTAGGACGCTGGAAGGAAAGACATACGTAAACATCACAAAATATTTGGCTCCTGGAGGAAGAGGAGGAAATGAGGGAACAGTAAACAGCACTGAAGGATTATTGTACAGACATTATGTGCACTGAGACTTGGCAAAGTGATTTTACAAAATCTATGTTAATTCTAATAATAGCAGTAACTACTAGTACTACCATTTCTGGGCTATGATTAATGACATCTTTTAAACACTCAGAAAAGGACAATGGCTTTGTTGGGGTCGTTTTAGAATTCAATGAGCTGTATAAAAACTGTCTGCAAGCTAAACACCAGATACTACAGGTATATGATTATCTTGACATTAAGAATATTACTCTATCACACCTCTTCATTTTACCTGGCAAACAAGACCCTAAAAGATATGGCATATAAAGGAATGGTAATCTTCAGACCTGAAGTAAAAATTGATATAGGGATTGTCTTTTACACAACCAGTACTGTCTCTTATCTTGCTTTACATTTTCGGAAGTAAAAAAATTACAGTATACAATTGGGAAAGAGAAGAAAGCTAATTTTTGAAGAGCATCCCCTAGCAGTCAGTGCTGCAAATGCAGTGGTAGCAATTGCTGATACATGATGTACTAACATTTTATTTTTTCCTGGTTGGGTGCTGATGCATTAGTTGTGATTGTCACATTTATATGAATGTCCAATTGTGGTCTATAATAATAAGGCCGTACTATTCATAACCTAATATTTGTATTTCTAAACATCCCTTACCTATTAGTGGGTGTGCAGATATACCTCAGTATGATGAACCTTTGTTAGAAAACACCTTGAAATAAATCAGTGTCTTACCAATTGCAAATGTTATGCATTTATTATGTACTCTTGAATATTGCAAATATTTCACACCACTTTGTACATTTCTTTAACATTTGAACGAACCATTAAACTATGTAAAAGTGAAGGGTCTTTGGTCTCTTGCTACCTTCTGATTTGGTGGCAAATCAGTGTGATTTTAGTCCTTACGATAGTAATTCTTTCTACACATATTGCAGGAGGTGGAAATAGGAATACATGTGTTAATAGTACTTACTTAATACCAACATGCCTTAAATACATGTATAGTTGACTCTCCTTCACATGTCACAAATTTGGCAAACAATGCCTGTGGCATGCTAATTATTTTCATTACAATTCTGCAAATACAATTCAACCTGTAAAATAATGTATTTGGAATGTATTAAAAACTATGCAAGTTAGAGAACACTTTGGGGTTACAGGAACCATTTTACTTGTCAGGCAATTCAAACTAATACTAATCGACAGCATGATAACACTGTTGTTAATAGTGCTTTTTACTGTCTTCCTATTGTCTACCTGCCATAATGTCATAACATGCAATGAAATATGGATGACAGGAAGTGGCCATTAACAATGCCAGTATAGATATATAGCACACTCTGACAAAGGCAAGTTGTTAACAATAAGATGATAAATAGCATAATGCCATGACTGGCAAATATGATTGACCAAATAACTCATCTCCAGTTAACTAAATCCATATGATAAAATATTCATCAGGGGATGATAGGAAGTGTTAAGTCCACTTTTCTAAGGACATGAGATGGATGGTAGATCACACAACAGGGTAGCCTCCTTCGCAGTCTTGTTGGGCGTGGGCGTAATTTTTTCTCTGAGCGACGTGAGTAATATGCCGCCGCGAGGGACGATTTGCTGCCGAGGGACTTTTGCCACGGAGAGAAGGTTTCCGCGCTCCAACAAGACTGCTTCCAATCGGCGACTCGTCCCTCGCGGCGGCATATTACTCGCGTCGCTCAGAGAAAAAATTACGCCCACGCCCAACAAGACTGCGAAGGAGGCTACAACAGGGCAGGTATGGACCATTCCATTTCAAGTCTTAAACAGGTGGCTACAGTGAGAGTAAAAACAAATAAAAGACAACATTAACATATTTCAGCCAAATTTATTATTTGTTTCAACCCTCCTCTTTAACTTTTAAAAACTATCATATTACAATTCAGTGAGCTGTTTCGTATTTTTTTATATCTATGATACTAGTAATTCCACAAATCCCTGAAAAAATTCATCCGGTATGTAGTTGGCCTGTCGATGTCTCCAAAGAGAGAAGTGTTTATCACACAAGTATGTCCGAGCAGCTGACCACATCAAAAGTCTTTATTGCGACATCCACGCTTGGTGTGACCTGCAGCGGGAAAGACTTGTTAGTACAAATATACATGTGTTTGTGGCAATGTCAACACGCAGAAGCTACATATGTAATGTAAAGTAGAAGATAACATAGCACCTGCTACATGTAAAATACAAATTGCAGGCATTCTTCAAAATTTCAACTACTTAATAAGACATGCTAAGAGTACATGTATTCCCACCTATTTCACCACAGGAGCCACATTTTGGGGGTTTCCTCTTCCTGGAGTTCTCCTGATCCCAGTCTCCGTCACTGCTGTTGCCACAGTTACCCCTGCCCCGCCCTCGACCTCCCTGACTGCCCCGTCCACGACCGGTAGCTCCCTGTAAACCTCCTTTGATAAAAGTGCACACACAAAAATGTACAAATCAATTCAAAATATCCCTTAGCAAAAAAACGAACAAATGCTAGAATAGTGTATGCATTCACACATTCATCAATGCTGAACAGATTTGTACTATCTGAAGATATTAGGTAAAACAACACTGCATATATACCGAAGGATGAATACCAAGGATTTGGTAAAAGCAGCAAAACAGCAAAAGTTTAAGTACCTCTGAAGCCATCTCCTGCCGCCCTGTTATCAGGTGCATCTGTCCACTGGAAGTAGCCACACTGCTCTCCCATGGGCTTGGCACAGGTGTGGAACTGTCTGCCTTTGTTGTTGCCTTCCTTCTGCACCGTTCTCCTGTGGAGGAAGGAGTGACATTACACAGTCTAGTCATAGAAGTACATGTAAATCACAATAGTCTTTTTTTTTATAACTCATTCTTTTTATTGTTTCTAAAACTCACACAAAAGAAAGCATGGCACAACGAAACAAAATGAAACCACATGCATAACTACAAAACTAAATAAAAACCAGTAAACAATATAGATGATATAACAGAGTGTTACAAAGTATTAAAAAAAAAAAAAGCCAACCCCAAATACAATTTATTTATAATTTCTTCAAGGAGATGAAAGTAGACCTATTACTATTATTAGCTTTCCCCATTTTCCCCTGTGTTTTTTTGTCTTGCCCACCCGATTGGAAATAATGGTTTCTAACTTAAAGTAATATGTTACATAAGAAATAAATGATTCTATGTTAAGTGACCAAGGTCGATTTTTAAATATAAAATATTTTCCCAAGAGAATAATGAGACTGGACAGGACTGGGCAAATCACAATAGTCTTTACTGCCCTCAGCTATCTTCCAAATACTCACCAAAGCACGAGATAAACTTATAAATAATTATAAATTCAAACTTAAAAGTTTGACATATGATGTTACTTAGATGCAAAGCACAATGTACTTAAATGTAAATATACATGGTACAATTCCTACTTCTGCTAGGAAATTGAATACATGTACTTGTAACTTGGATGGATGGCTCAAAAGGTAGCATCTTCTTTATAAACCACTTTTTTTGTGTGGTTGTGACACTGACTGTGGTGATTGAGAAGTAACGGTCTTACAAAATGCATGTAGCACATGTACCGTCATTTGCAGTAACTGAATGAAGGGCAACCCGACTTTCAGACATATCAACCCTATACACATAAGCTATAACTTACGTCACGCTGGGCTGGCCACAGTTACATTGTGGGACATCTCCATCAAAACCATCTCCTCCAAACCCATCACCCGACGAGTGGCTCTGTCGACCTCCAAATCCTCGCTGGTTGTTGAAGGTGCTGTTACCACCACCCCCTCTGGCATTGTAGGTACTGTTGTAAGAAGTGTTGGCACCCCCGCTGAAGGAGTCCCCTGCTGATGGGGGGTTATCATCTGCCCAGAGGAAGAAGTCACACGGCTGGTCCATACGGCTGCACTTGTAGAACTGTCGACCTTTGTAGGTAGAACAACAGCAAGATCAGCATCCTTACACCCTCAGAGCAAATTGGGTAGGGCACTGACAAGACTTTCATACATTGGAATAAAGCAGAGTTACAGACGTCCGACCATTATCCAGTGATCTTCATCAGTGTAAATCAAGGAAACTTTACATTCAGAATGTACAACGTACCACAGTTGTTCCCCTCCTTCCTGACAGTCAGTAATCTGGCATTCTGCCCACAGATACACACCACAGCATTACCGTCACCAGCACTGAAAAATATAAAACTTTAAGTTTACTTCCTGTGACAAAACATTGAGTACTGGCAAATGTGAAAATCTACAGATCATCTTGTAAGCAAGGTTTATTCTACCTTTGCACGGCTGCCAGGGGAGTGCGTCCAGAGCCTCCAACACCCAGAAAGCCCATATTGCTCTGGTTACCGGTGTGAAAGTCTCTGCTGTTGCCTCCGCCTCTGTTGTTCCCTCTATCATTACTCCCCCTCTGATTCCCCCTGGCATTGCCACTGCCTCCTCTTGGAGGAAACGGACCATTATTGTTTCCACCACCTCTTGGAGGGGATGGGCCGTTCCCTCTGCCGTTGCCCCTCCCTCTTCCAGTTCCTCCGCGGCTAGGTTGGACAGGTTGACCTCTACCAGCCCCACCTGTTTGGTGACGTGACAGAAAGGTCAAAATGAGAGGATGAATTCAATTCACTACAGTAATCAAAGTTCTTGATTGAGGTTTAAACATTTCTTTATCTTTCATTTACCTCATTAGCCATCAAGGCAGCACTGGTTTCAGTCAGTTACCTAACTGATTGGTAGCCTTGATACAGAATGATCCAGGAAAAGTGAAACAACTTGACACAAAACTCACCCCCACCACGTGGCTGTTGCTGCTGTGGCTGAGGTCTGAGATAGTTCAGGTTGAACAGCTCACGTACTGTCTCGTCACAACCACCAATACAGCCTACATACCTGAGGGGACAGAAAGTACACGTAACAACAATATCTTGATATCTTTCCTTCTTTATGTAATTGATGTTACAGTTGCACAAAAGAGAAGCATCGTTTATTGTGAGATGGGATAACCAGTTGAGAAACCAACTGACAGACATACAAAAGGAGACATAAACAATGTCTTTTTTACACTTTTCAGACAAAGGCTTTCTATTTGGCAACTACATCAAGAGTAGATAAGACATGTAAACTATTTGCAGTCAGTGGTTTACCCGAATATGTTATAAACGTATACATATACTGTACTTACTCCAGAGGAATCATGGGAGGAACAGATCCCCTCTTGAATTTAAACTTGACCTTGTGGACTGGACCAGGCTGACACTGCATAGACGGAACACTGTAGGTTATTACTTAGAATTTCTTTAACTGCCTTGCTGTTCAACCAACAACAAATCACACTCACACACTCATTCCAGGCTCCTCATTCACTACATATTTTTAAATGTTGTTGGTTGATCATGAAATTTTACAACTGGGAATAGATTAACATACACTATTCTATGACTGTAGTAATAGTCATCTGTCAATGTGTCATGGATTGTCACTTTTTAAACATACTGTACTTGTCACAACCTGATTTGTTGTTGTGGTCCCAATAGACAAAGATGCTTTTTAGAAGAAAATCTCTGTCAAAAGATAATTTCAAGCTAAAGCTCATAACTTCTTAATCTACTAGTATAATTGGCTGATGGATATAGTTTTTATCCTGACTAAGCTGAGGTGTACGCACCCTTGTACAGACTGCTTCATCACAGGTTGCCTCCAGGACGCCAGCAGGGAACCAGACAACAGCTCGGCAGCCAGGATAACCCATACAACTCAGCATCAGGCTGTGGGGAACATCACATGTCAGACACTAGTCAATATTCATGATGCTGGGAATAAGTTCAACAGGTACATGTACAAATGTACATGCATATCCATGAAGAAACATGGTACAGTGAAGACACCTGTCAATTTTCAGGTGAACTGCAAAAACATGTTCATTTCAAAATAAATCAATTTTGACATTAATGTTTACCATTGGATCTAAAGCCCACAACAAATCCATGTCAGTATCTTTACTGCTAAAAAACATGCTCTGTATCTTGTCCTACCCGCCGTCCTTGCGTGTCTTGATGACCATGCTCTCCCCACACTGTGGACAGGGGCGTATGGGAGGGGACACCTGGGCTGGGTTCATATCTGCAGTGGACAAAAACAAGTAGCAGGATTCACACCAGCAGCATAGCATAGAAAATTAACTTTAAAATAAAGTTTCAGATCAATTTACATCTTATTCTCCATTTTTATCAGCAATGGGTACCTGCTAGATATACCTCTAGTAGATGTAGTTACAACCTTACTCAGAAAAGATATTCACTACAAAAGCTACTTAGGAAAAACACAGATGAGAAGAATGCCGTACCTTGTTCTACAAAAGGTTGTGCTTCTCCAAAGTAGGTTCCCAGAGCCTCGTCTAATTTCATGGCCTGCAGTTTTTGGATAAGAAAAGTCTTTACAATACATGCATTACATACTAGTATTCAAACTAAAAATAGAACAAAGTTAACAGATAGGATAAAAACCAAATTAATATATTTGCTGACCTGGGCACAAGCCTCAACGAACACCTCCTTGTACTTTTGTACCTGCTCTGCTAGCACCACTGGAAAGGAAAGGCAATTTTGGAATGAATAATATAATTTTCCATTCCAGTAGAGATGTAGCTATTCTAAAAATCAAGGTAATGACCCTTAGTTTACCAGATGTAAGATTCATACCCTGTACTAAGAATGAACGAAATCAAATGAGAAAGTGTCACACAAATATCATGAGAACCAACAAGAAACATTCATCACATGTTTTAAGTAGAATACAGTTATGACACAGAAGTGTATTAGATATACATGTATCAAGACTTGTCTACATCATGGGATGATATAGATACCTCCTCTGTACTATAATACCTTTAGGGTCTTTCCTTCCTTCACAGATGAGCTTCAGGTCAGCCTCTAGCTCAGCCCTCAGGTGAGGTTTGGACATCTCATAACCCATGGCATCATAGCCTGGTAAAATATACATGTGTACAAGCAAACCATCAATGAGCAATCTAAAAGAGTCATTTATAAAACTGCCCTGGACAATGAACATAAAGAAGTATACATATGTACATGTACAGTATAGTACAAGTACTACCAAATGAGAACAAGAATATTAGCATATACCAATACATACAGTATAACACCATTGCTAGTATTTGCTACAACAGAAATACATGTAGTTACCGAGTTACCTTCCACCAGCCCCATGCCAAGCTCCCCAGGTACAAATCTGCCATCCTGTTGGACTCCCACATACATCCTGGACTTGATAGTCTCTATGTGTTCAGCATGGGTGGCATCTGTGCCTGAAATACACAAAGAAAAAACACTGTCAGCAGACAAGCATGTGGTTGAAGTATGGTACCAGCACAAACAGAGCAAAAGGAAATGCCAACACAGATAGTACACAGTTTCTCATGATCAGTTGTTAGGATTAGCTTACCAATGCCATGTTTATCCATCAGAGCAATCAGATCAGCTTCAGTCAGCAAGGGGGGAGGGCCGGTCTGTCCCTGGGTCATCTGTGGAGGCATGGGGTGGAAACACTTCAATCTTAAAGAAAACATAAGACTCTACAATAAATTGACAGGTAGGAACAAAATCCATAAAAGCTACTCAATCTAAGAGTAATTCTCACCTCAATGACTGAAGGCTGGAAGGTTTCTCCTTGGTTAAAGACTGGGATCACCTGCAAAACAAAAAAATAATCATCATCCATAATTAATAACAAATTGAATCTATAACAGAAAAGCATAACCACATTTGACACAGAAGTACATGAATATCTATTTACCTTAGCATTCCACTTGTCATATGGGTAAACATCCAGGTAGTTCCTGGCAATGATCATCAGGCCTTGTGCAGTGAACTATGGGGGAAAATAAGGATGGAAAAGTAAATGGAGAAATTCAAGAGTGTACATCAATCTTTCAACAACCAACGGTTGAACCTCTGCCAAAAATCATGTCTTCAATAAGATGGAAAATGACCAAATTCCATTCAGAAACAAGTTAAGCAGCACATTCTTAATTTCTATACCAACCTTCTCTCCATTGATGTCTATCTCTACTGTGGTCTCCTGCCCCTGTGCATCTTGAGATAGACAGGCCAGGAAGTGCCGAACGATAAACTCATACAGTCTCTTCTCATTGCCCTGAAAGGATTGGATGAAAATCGTTATTGTAACAGTACATGTACAAGAAATGACCTGATTGCGGACCAGCTTGCTGAACACCTTTCTGGAACAAGAATGAAACCAAGATTTTCATAACCTACACAATTATTACCGGTATATTGACAGAACCTGTGCTAACTCAACAAATAGATGAACCGTTTGAAATATATACTATTTATTACTATACCTGTAGGTTATCTGTATATTTGGTGGGATGAATGGGAGGATGAGCGTTGTCAGTCTTGGTGCCGTTGCGTGGGTTGGGTCCCCTCTGCAGCACTCCTGCAGCAAACCCTCCCCAGTCTGGGTCCACTGTCTGCAGCTGCACCAGGCCCTGCAGGTCCATGTCCTTGGAGAACATGTTGGTCTCGGTACGAGGGTAGCTGATGTATCTGTGGCAAAGACAATTATGGTACTTACATTCAGTTATTGTTTGTTTGGTGTACACTACACATAATATGTAGCATATACATGTACTCAAATGTATTAGGGCTGCAGCCAATCTAGATAAAAGGATGACATCAAGACATGAAATCATAAAAACAGAAAGAAAGCAAACCAACCCCTGGTTGTACAACTTCTCTGCTATCTTCATGGTTTCCTTGGCGTTGATCCTTAGCTTCCGAGATGCCAGCTTCTCAAGCTCCACTGTCTCCAACGGCTGCGGTCGCCATTTGCTCTTGGGACGACTGTTGACACTGACCACCCTGGCCAGTGGGTTTTCCATCACAATCTGGTACAGGACAAGACATGCTGTATGGCTGAACAGACGGTTACGTTTCCAGTTGAAGTCCACCCTGCCGTCCTCTGTCTCATGGGAGACCTTGATTTTGTGGAACGTCTCTGGGATAAAGTTCTGTATTGCCTTGTACCGCTCCACGACGAAACCTAGCGTGGGGAACTGACAACTGCCATAGCTGATGACCTGATCACTCAGGACATTGGGAAATATCTTCTGCAGCCTGAGAGTCTGGAATCGTGTGAAGGCAGCGCCTATTCTGAGATCCAGCTCTGACCGGACGTTCACGGCGTCTGATGACCGGTAGTCTGGCTGGCCGAGGTTGCGACAGGCTGCTGATATCGACTGAGGTGTGAAGTCAGAGAAGCGGGCACGGTAAACTCTGATGTTTGGTTTGACCGCCTTACAAACATCGATCACCTCCGTCCCGATGTTCTCTCCTTCACGATCACAGTCCGTCCAGATAACCAGCACCTGGCACTGCCGCGCCTCCCGCTCTAACGTCCGCTTGATGTCCTTAAACTGATCAGGACAGTATTTCTCCACAGCTGCATCAAACAAGGCCACGGGCTGACAACTGTGCCACTTTTGGTAGCTGCCCTTGAAGTCCAGTGCCAGCAGGTGACCTGACACAGAGGTCATGAACATGGAACTCTGCTTGTTCAGAATGTTGAACTCAAAATCGTAGATCTTGTTGAACTTGGAGAAGCCTTCTCTCCTGCGGTATCTGTAGCGGTGACAGAAAAGAATATTGGAAATAAATTCCCAACATGAATACTTGCTGCTAAGAAGAAAATGTAGTTATTGTACTTCAATTGTCTTTGTTGCAGTAAACACCTTCATGCAAAAACTTTTTTTTCTCCTCCAAAAACTCCAAAGCCTCCTTGATTAACATTATGTAACACCTGAGCCTACACAATTAGATTTTAGACTTCATTAACTTAAGTGCAAGGATGAAACTGGCCATTGACAGGACCATCCCGTGAAGATTTTCTGTTATTATGACCCTGTCAATAGTACAAAATGTTCTGTTATAATTATCATTCATTCATTCATTCATTCTTTATTTCAGGTAAAAAACCCATATAACATGTACAATACATCATTAAAATAATACAAAAACACTACAGACATACAAGTAAAACAGGAAGAAACCTAAAAGCATAACAAATGGTAGGTCTTCCGAAAGAATGAATTCCTGTAGAAGGCATCGGAATGAATTAAGCGACAGATTGTTGCGTTATTGGAGGAAAATAACCTTTTTAGAAAAGAATAACAAATTCTCCTCCTCCTGGTTTCAAAAGTGTCAATATAGTTACAGACAAACATTTCACTCGCGCTGCAACGCCGAGGCAGATTCATTATGATTCTAAAACAATTGTTATAAGCCACTCTGCACTTATACAAAACACCAGAGCTTACAGAGCTCCATAGCTGAGCGCCATATAGCTGGGCGCAATACGTCATAAACAGGTGTCTCTTAACAGATGGAGAGCAACAGAAAAATTTGCGGTTGATACTGTTTGCACGACTATAAAGACTCTTCAGCATAAATTATGACAGGATGACAAGAAAAGCTGGAAAGAAAATACCCCAACATCTATAAAGTGCCCTACCTGCCATTAGACAGAACGTCTGCTATCGCCTTTGCAGCGTCGTTTTTCTCTGCGACATTCAGAACTTTCTGTGTCCGGCCGGCCATTGTTCTCAGGAGCGATGTCGTCGTTCTTGTTGTTGTCAGAAATGATCTGATCACACAGACTTTCCTGTACACCAGCAGACAGCTCAACATAACCACTATCCCCTACCCCGGCTACACAGCTACACTCAACAGATCGATACACTAATCCCCGAACAGATAGATGTGTTTTTTTAAAGCCAAGTTACCAGTTGCCCGTCAAAAACGCCTGAACAAACGAAATATGACAGGAATGTCAAATGCTGGCGCGAAAATCTTTTCAACTTGGCCGCCATTTTCTCTTCACGCACTGCGCAAGCGCTAAAGATGTTTTGCGGCAAGCTTTGATTTTACAACACTCATAATTTCTGATTTTGCAGATTATACCAGAGAATTTCACGCAATTTCTTCAATTCAAACAGATATTTAAATCTGTGATTTGCATATTCGATATATATTTTCAAGGAAGGCAAATCAGAGAGGCATAGAACGATAGTAACGGAATATTTACGACAATCGCAAATTGGCGGTTGCATAAGATACACTCACTGTCGACATTTTATTGGTCTCCTGAATGTAACGTTGCGTAAATATCATATCACTGTTTAGTCTGCAGATATGGCTGGGAGGCTACTGACTTCACAACTGTGTATCATCACAGAGAGCAGAGGTGCTGATAGACTATTCCGCAGGTGAGCTACTCACAGCGTGTTCGTTTGTTAACATCCATGTGATGCCCTTCCGGAAGATCATGTCCTTGCCTTGCACATTATCATGATGCAAGAAATAACGTTACACATTTTAAAACATCCATGCTCTCATTCACCTTCAGGTTTTTGTTTGTATTATTTTGTTTTAAATATGAACCTGTGCATTATCTACGTAAAGGCTCTGAGGAAAAATAGTAACGTTATAATTTGAGGGGAAGAATAAAATAGCCTCAGGTGTAAGTGTGAGACCGCTATTTTCATTTTATAAAAATCTCTGATAATGGTAAAGGTGAAGTAATCACCCTTTTTGGACTGAAGTTCAGATATTTAATATCACTACCATTGGGACTTGTATCAATTGATCTATATACTGATGATTATTGAGAAATGATTATTGACCTGTGATTAATTACGATGTACAGTACAAAACAAGTTCTTGATTATAACCAAATTGTTTCTTCATGCAGGCTTCTGCCCACAAAGTTAGTGCTAAAGTGCCAGAGCCTTTCAACCACTGCAGCAAGACTTGGTAGGAAACCAGAAGAGGAAGTGGAAGAGGACCCAGCACCTTTGAAGTTCACCGGCAGTAAAGGTGCACAGTGGAAGGTGGCACAGACTATGAACCTCAACAAGAACCGGCCAATGAGGAAAATCATCCCTGTGTCCCTTACCATCACTGCTTTCCTTCTGTACTTCTGTGTATTCCGCAAGGAAACATGGTTGGATGAAGAACTGGACAAAAACTTGTATCAGAGGATGCCAGGGTTGTTGTCATCAGTGGAGGAGGAAGATGAGGATACTGGAAGTGTTTTAGGAAAAGATGTGTCTGCAACAAATAATGTTACACCTTCTACATAGCAAATTTCGTAGATCTGTAGGGGACTGACAAACCAGCAACCTCAAACTGCTGTTTTATGCTAGTTATTTTCACTTCCAAGTCATATTGTTATAAACCTTTAGATGACAGTGTATTAGGCGACCTAGGTTACCTCAGGTACTGTAATTTATCAGTTCCTTGGCTAAGATGCAGTGATATGGGAGCAGTTCTCCCATTATATACAAGGGGGAGCTTTAGTCATATTCTAATACTATTACATGGAATAAAAGACTATGTGTACGTGTACGTCCATGAATAATTCCATCAGGTTGGCGAGTTCCTTAATCTCAATCACAACCACTTTTCAAGAGCCAACAATTCGATGACCATCTGTCAGTGATATTAGCCCTGATGAAAATGAGTCTTGTCATGTAATCATCAGCTTGTAAAAAAAAAGAAGCAATTGTGATTGAAGAACTTAGCTATTCAAGCCTGATTATGATTTGATAAAACCAATAAACTTTCCAGCTGATAAAAATAACAAGTATTGCCACCATCTGTCATTTTGTGCAGTGTTACTTACTTGCACTTTTATCCATCCATAAGACAGGCTCTAATGCTACCTTTGCCTAAGAAATAGTTCAACCTCTCATTGATTTTCTGCAGTGCAGTCAAGTCCTATCTATAAAAGCATTGTTACATTGAAATTGGATTTTTGCTGTTTATTTGACAATTGTCTACCTCACGAACATATTGTTACAAGTATTGCTGGAAATTTGTTACTGTCATGAGTGCTCACGCCATTGATTTGTACGGACTGTCGAAATGACACCTGATAAGTGGTGAAGCATGGCACTACAGGCATTTAATTGCCAGTTGCTGGGGAGTGATAAGGCAAGATTAAGGGCCAGGTAGACATTTAGTACCAGTTTTATGGTATATCAAAGTACATGACCCAATAATTTTGGTTGATTGGAACATGATTTATGATAGCATAGCTTAGGCGATATGATACAGACCCATTGGGATTATTTTGTGGAAGAAACAACTAGTTAATACTTATGCATATACTCCTCTACTTCAACTGATCACAATTGGCACATGCCTGTGATAATTTGCCACAAAAAATATAGTCCTATCTCTCAGGAATGGTACCTTTTGCTTATCCAACATTGTTACTTTCCATTCTTGTTTTCCAACAGTATGAAGATCTAAAAAAAACACCCATAGCCTGGTATAGTGTGGAAGGTGAATATGTTTATTACAGACATCTACACAGATGCGAAAGACAACACAGAAGTGACAAGAAGGTACCAGTACCTCAGCACTTAGTGGGAGGCTGATGTAGTAAAACCTGATTTTGTTGTAGTCTCAAAGCTGCCAGTGTCACACAGGAAATTGTCATAGAAATCTAACCTGCAATCCTTGACTTCGCGTCTTTATGTGGACGAGAGTATACAGTTGACAGATCTAATAGTGCACACTAAGTACAATATACAGTTGACAGGACGTCAGAATACATGTCATCTTATAGAAGGACAAAGAAACCATGGGTTAACTTTTAATAGAGTAACATCCAACAGACCCATGGTTTCTTTGGCAGTAAATACATATACAACACTTAATTATTCAGAATCAGCTCATTCTGAGACATAAGCATTTGGCAGGTGTCAGGATGCGCTCATTTGAAAGAGTCCTCTAAATACATACACATAATAAAAAAGTTTGCACCTCAATCACGTTTCAAAGTTCAAAATGCTTCATGATCACCATGGTATAAAAATTATGGATCTGGGTCTAAAACTACAGTTTGTAAAGAGTTCCTGTCTCCGCTCAATGATCTACATGACACACTAACACTGATATCTACAGATGATGGTGGAAGGGATGTTTCTATGCCCGCTCGCCACGGATACGTCGTGCCAGCTGAATGTCCTTGGGCATGATGGTCACACGTTTGGCGTGGATGGCGCACAGGTTGGTATCCTCAAACAGACCTACCAGGTATGCTTCACTAGCCTCCTGCAGGGATAGACAAGGAACATCACAGTTAACACTTGACTTTACTAGAATAACAAATCCATGTAAACCTAAAACAAATAGAAGACAAAACGTTTCACCATGTGGCATCTGCTACTTTGTTTTTGGAAGGCCATGCAAATGAGGACATCTCAGCTAGACATGCCCAGACATGTTTACTTTTCAGGCTATGCCATGCTGGGTCATGACCCAGAGAGCGACCTTTGTATGCTGTTCACAAAACAGACAAACATTTCGCTAATATCTAACTTCCAAGCCTAGGAAACGTGTACAACGGCATGGCCGATACATGGAGCTATAAAAACTGGAAGACGAACCTGTAACGCGCCGATGGCTGCGCTCTGAAACCGGAGATCCGTCTTGAAGTCCTGGGCGATCTCACGAACCAGACGCTGGAAGGGCAGCTTGCGGATGAGCAGCTCGGTGGACTTCTGGTAACGACGGATCTCACGAAGGGCGACGGTACCGGGCCTGTAACGATGGGGCTTCTTCACGCCTCCCGTGGACGGTGCACTCTTACGAGCGGCCTTGGTGGCCAGCTGCTTCCTTGGAGCCTTACCTCCAGTTGACTTACGGGCGGTCTGCTTCGTACGTGCCATTTCTGAGCTTTGGTGAACCGACTAGCGACGAACCTGGAATGGAAAAGCACTAAACTGTTCAAGGCTTTATAATACACCGAAGACAACATCAACCCACAAAAAGGTGTGAAGCAGACAACTTGACATAATGGTAAGAAAGGGACACAGCTGAATGAATGGCGCAGACACGTCCGAACATTTGCCCACCTGATTTACATAACAAGGGTGTTAATTAACCACGAGGGTACGCGCCAAAACGAACGTCTTTCCAAAATCTACATATGATAGCTATCCAACTGAAAAATCATACGAGTTTTCTCAACATGAATGACGAAACTATGATACAAAAACAACGCACCAAGAAACCTTTACGCCCGAGGTCAAACAAGCTAGCCTTTCTGCGTGTCGCGACAAGTGTAATCAATGCCATATGCAAATTTGGCAGCACCAAACAACCGGAATTTCGCAATTATTATACTCACTACGGCTCTACAAAATACAAAATACGAGCAATACTAGCAACTAAAATGCATGTTGGTTGCCTGGTAACCATATTTCGGATTATACTCGCATAGACACGACGAAGATACGTTTAGTTGACTAAAATTGGACATAAATTGATACTGCGAAGACGTAACAACCGAACCCGCCTGGAAAACGACTTATTTCTTGAGACAAAAGGCATTTCCTTCGTTACGTCGGTTAGGCTTCATACTAGTAACCACGTGCTCATATCACGCTACAATGAAAACTCCCTACCAATTCAACATTTCCTTCGTAATTCAACCTCGACAGTCAACTCCTGCTGACACTGAATACACAAATAAGCGCTTGGAATGGAGAAAAGCTCGGGTTCGCTCCGTTTACGTTCAACGTTTTTGTATGGCGGGGTGGATGGTGATACAAACTAAACCTTGATGTTTCGTAGCGTCGTTTAGGCATATTTCGTCCCCAGAACAAGTCAAAGACGTCTCAAAATGAGCCCTATATTATAAACAATACTTAGGTATAACATTTAGACATAAACACAGAGTAAAACGTGTATCTCACCTGAAAAACTGAAAGATAGCACAAAGGCTGAAGTCAAATTCTCCGGCCAGACAGGAATAATGTGACAATTTCCTGACAGTATTTATACCACCCGTGACGTATAGTCATGTGACTAAATTACACCTCCTCGTTGGAAGCCGATATTCTGCCACTTGATTGGTCAAAGGGCAGCCATATATGGTCACTGATTGGTCAAATTATATCATCAACGATTGGTTAGAAGCGAGCCTTTTCTGAGCTACCATTGGTCTAATTACCTCAACTGTGATTGGACAGTTGGGGAACCCTCAGGATCCGATTTTTTGCACGAAGCTCAGGCCTTTTTCGTTCACGTTGAGAATGAGAACGGACGTCGGCGGAAACACAAAACCATGCATGCTACAGTATTCTAACGAAACAAATGTGCACCGGGCTTTATGTTGCGCAGTGTATCTCATGGCCATACTCGTCACTCCATAGTATAGTGATCTCGCTAGTAATTTTTCCCTATTTCGTATACTGATTATGAGCTGCATATCCATTCTCAACATATTTGACTTTGTGCATGTTGCTAACACTACAGGTCTGTTCTTTCATCCCTTGAAACCAAGTTGCAGGTATCCGCAGTTCCGCGTTGAACGCTTCAAGCAGATGTTTATCTTATTTGTGTGCGCTTTAGGACCCTTTAGGAGAATGTAGATGTGTACTTCACTCCGATACTCGTCTAAATAAAATTATGAATGACAGATATTTCGGACCTCCTTCATTCATGTCCTTTTCCCATGTCTCCTCAAGGTGTCTCCTAATCTATTCAATATGAGGTCCAGCTGTCCACAGGTCCTATATATAACGGGGTGTTACCTAGTATCTTAGTTAAACGTTACTTTCAATTTCCTAATTGATGTGAAAAATTTATCGGCATCAGAAAAACACCCTTTGCCACATGACTCAGATATCAATAGCTTACATGCACTTCCGCAACTTGTCGCCAGGGTACATGATTGGGGAACTGTACTGTACTGGCTGTGACGTCAGCGGTGAGAGCGGTGTTCTTGGCCTTGGGCACATAACGTTACACCTTGTATATTCAGTACTTGGTTTTGTATGTTATAATAACTATACCAGTGGAAGCATCATTCATACAATACAATACAATACAATACAATACAAGACCAAAATCCCAATGGTTTCGTTCCGAACCTCCCTGGTTTCGGGTCTTGACAGTTTCGGTCGTGTGAGACAATGCGAAAGGGGAACACCAATGTTGTCTTTCATGCGGTAGTGTCGCTATTTGTTACGCGGGGAACCCCCGAAGGTAGGCAGCAGAAACCGCGACATATAGTATTCAACTGCAGTATAAATCTTCAGAAGTGGCCAGACCTTCCCTTCGGCGGGTCGGCTGTATTATTTGTCGATCAAGACTGGGCCAAACATTTTGTTTGCGTGCGTGGATAGGGACATCCTTTCCACTGTTTTACATCAGGTTAGCCGGCGTTCAGATTTGTATACGCTGTTTTTACATCCGGCGAGGCTGTATTGATTGATTGATTGATTTTGCTCCTCTCTCTCTCTCTCTCTCTCTACTCCTCTTCTCTCTCTCTCTCTCTCTCTCTCTCTGTATGTGTGTGTGTGTGTGTGTGTGTGTGTGTGTCGTGTGTGCGTGAATGTGTGTGTTTCTGCATACTTGTGGTCAGCTTGAATGGATTGTTATGATATTTGGTATATGGGTACTAGTAACTTTTGGGAAGACAAAGGTCAAGTTCAAATTTGGGCCACCTGGTCTGATGGCTAACCTTGGTACTGCAGCAGAAGTTCCGGTTTTGTATCTTTTGTCCTGGACATTTGTGATGAATTTTCATATTAGCAGCAAATGGTATTGGTTTGGTCCCCTTACAGCTTGCTAGTAATGTTTGTCACCGCATCTTAGAGGAGTTTACATGAGGTCACTTGCAGGTGTTTCTGCGTACATTACTTGAGTCGCTACCACCGCGACTGCGGGAGCGGACGTAAACTAACCACCAACCAGGATGGAACCCAGGCTAGGGGTTTGTAGCCTTGTATGTAGTTTAGTCACTATATTATATAAACCTCACTTTGCCTTGCCCTGGCAGATCTCAGCTGACTAAAAGCAATCAACATGTACCGAGGTGGTCAGTATTCCCGCTTCAGCCTGAAAGTCAACGTCAGCCACCAGGGTAGCGACCCTGCCACCGCCCACCACCGCCTGGAGTCGTACCTGCAGCGGTGGGCGGACATCAGCAGAAACCCGCCGCCCAGGGTCGTCAGTACTCCCGCTGCTCAGTACGAGGACGCAGTGGTCAAAGTGGAGTTCACCTTGGCGCCGAGATACGGGGGAGCGGCCAACGCGGAGTTGTTTTTTGCTGACCTAAGGCGGCGCTGGTGCGCGGATCCCCCACACTGGGCCGGAGACAACCGCCCTTGGCTCACAACTACTCAACGGAACGCTTGGTCTGCGGAAGGCGAGAGGGCCGTGGCACACACCGACCTGGAGTGCGACGGATTTTCGCTAGGCGCGTTTGTGGGAAGGAGCACGTTCGTCGGCCATTACGACGCCGACCACTTGGTTTTAGACAAGACTGTGTCGTTCGAACATGACCGCAAGTTGATGACCTTGACCTTCCAGCCTTACGTCGACCTGCCGACTTGTAGGTTTGAGGTGGGCTACAGCGAAGTGGAGAAAACCGTTCTGGTCCACCAGGAAGGAGACGTCACCAATCTGTTCTTCTTCCCCAAGTACCCATTGAAGGTATTGTGAAAAACACACCGTTGCGTTGCAAGTTTCAACAAAGCCTAGCCAATATGACGTTTAAGATATACATGTACTCGTAACGTTAAATGAGGTATTTCCAAAAGTGTCGGGAAACCCCTATATATGATACCAAGTACTGCCTTTCCCCTTTATTTGTCCTAAGTTGTACTTTATGAAATGATCTTTAACAAATTTTAGTTTTCATTGTCTGTATGCGTATGTTGTAAAGGCAGTTTGTTGTAAAATCCTCTCGTCTATAAGGTGTACGAAGACGACGAAGAGGAAGAAAAGATAGTCCGGAAGATCAGCTTCTACGGCTGTCCAAAGAGCACTCTGGGAAACTCCTCCTGCCTGAAGATCGTTCTCAGCAGCAAGCAGAGCCCGCAGGACGTCCTGAGCCGGCTGCGTGGGAGGAACGGCTTCACCGCGCAGTACGTCTCCGTCACGTCCCGGCCCGCACCGCACACGGCAGGTAAGGAGGCGGACTTGCTGACTGGGGTGGCGTTCAAGACCGCGTACGCCTTCCGCGCCCTCCTGTCGCGCGGCTTCACCGTCAGCGACCAGGTGACGGACGCCTTCATCCGCCAGGTGAAACGTCTGGACAGGGACCGAGGGGAAGATGTGGCCGTCGATGTTCTGTACCGCCTGACCCATGTGCTGGAAAGAGACAGGTATGCCACGTCATGCAGAAATGGTTCTAAGTCAAGGACGTCTAGGTCTAATCCAAGGATGTCTAGTTCTAATCTAAGGACGTCTAGTTCTAATCTAACTTCATTCTAAGGACGTCTAGTTCTAATCTAAGGACGTCTAGTTCTAATCTAAGGACGTCTAGTTCTAATCCAAGGACGTCTAGTTCTAATCTAAGGACGTCTAGTTCTAATCTAAGGACGTCTAGTTCTAATCTAAGGACGTCTAGTTCTAATCTAAGGACGTCTAGTTCTAATCTAAGGACGTCTAGTTCTAATCTAAGGACGTCTAGTTCTAATCTAAGGACGTCTAGTTCTAATCTAAGGACGTCTAGTTCGACTGTACAAATAAGGGCGTCGCCGCGTACAAACACCTCCTGTCATGTCGTTAACCTGGCCAAACTTTTGGTACTTAGGTTTGCCAACATCCAAGCTGTCCTTGACTGCCTGCTGACCGCCCGAGACGTGGAGCTGGGACGACCGGAGACACTCCCGCGGACCCTGCAGGTGGTGGCCCGGGTCATCGTCACACCGACAAGACTCGTCTTTCTGCAGCCGGAGATCATGTACGGAAACAGGTGAGGACAGGTCTGCGCCTAACACGTAAAAAATACGAATTTGTGTACAGCATGATTACTTTCTACAAGAAGTAGGAATACTACTAAAGTGAAATCATTTCACCAAGACCATGTGTCCCTGCTTATGACTGTTTTTGATGGTAGTCCAGATCAAACAAAAAGTAGTAGCCCCTAAAGAGGGGCGCACAAAACGATAGATAAACCACTCTACCTTGGAAGAGGCCTACAGCAGGATCAGAATGATCACCGTGCCATCTCTGCCAGGTTATGACTACCATTGCAGAACCACCGTAATAACTACATGTTATCCTCGATTTGCGACTTCCAGGGTTTTGCGGAAGTTCGGGACAGATCACTTCCTCCGTGTGGTCTTCCGAGACGAGGACTTCTCCAAACTCCAGGCAACCGGGAACAAAGCTAGAGGCGAGGAAGAGGAGGAGATCTTTGCTCGCGTCAAGGAGGTGTTGAGGAAGGGAATCAAAGTCGACAACAGGTGGGTTTCAAGCACGGCATGATTTGATGAACTGTTCTAGTTTTAAATCTCCTTTTTGCACTTTGTTTTACGTCCTCTCACAGGCTGACAATTTAAATGAGGTTTGGTTCGAATAAATGTGAAACGTACCCAGTTTTTCCTTGTCCGAATGAGCAAATATGACCCGTTCTTGGTTCCCAGTGTTAAACCACAGTTATGGGCCTCTCGTTCATTCGCCGAAGTGATTATATTGCTCTGCCGCCGTAGGTTGTACGAGTTTCTGGCGGCGTCCAACAGCCAGCTCCGGGAGCACGGCTTGTGGTTCTTCGCGGCTGACGGTAGGAACACTGCCGACTCCATCCGGGCTTGGATGGGGGACTTCAGCAACAGCAGGTCGGGATTTAAGCCTTCAATCTGCAGTGTAGAATTAGGTTTAAGGAATTAAGGCTATGGAAAAGACATCTTTATCAGAAGGGTCGTGGGCACATGGACCGGTTCCAGATATACGTCGTCAAAATGTAGAGGATTTACCTAAGAGAGTTGCACCATGGGACGTCCGTTATTTTCGTAGATTTTTTTTGCGTCCGTGCCAGTGTCTGTGGCTTACTCATCAGGATGGGCTATGTAATCAATTAGGTTTTTTTTTTAGTCTTTTTTATTCCAACATGTAAACAACTAGTTCGTATATAGCTTGTTCTAACTTGAGAGTAAGGATTGGTTGTTGATAGTAGGAACTTAGGGTAAAGGCCACTGATACAAACGGATTTCCACAGGTGCCCGGCTACCTACCTGGCCAGGATGGGTCAGTGTTTCTCCACCACGGAGTCGAGCGTCACCGTCCGGCGGAGACAGGTCAGCAGGATCCCCGACATCGAGGGCGGACTGGACCCCGACGGCAAACCCTACTGTTTCTCCGACGGCATCGGCAAGATTTCGCGGGACCTCGCTAGTGAGGTGCGTACTGCAAATATCAGCTGACTGTTTTAATAACTTCCATGCAGAATTTTCTGCGTGAAAGGGCGGAACAGGAGTTAGAATAGAAAAGCCTTTCCCTTTCCAGACTAGCGAACTTCATCAACATTACAAACATGTGTCCAGTTTTAAAAGGAGCGTAGCGAACCACCTATTCTGCAAAATTGCCATTTGTCTTTAGCCCATGTACATGTACGAGCACTTTCCAAACGTTCTTTTTCACGCCTCCCACTTCAAAGATGTGCGAAAAGACCCAGCGTAGCCACGAGCCCTCGGCCTTCCAGGTGCGGTACGCAGGTGTGAAGGGGATGCTGGCGGTAGACCCCACCCTGCCCGGTCTGGCCCTGCAGTACCGCAAGAGTATGGAGAAGTTCTCCTCAGACCACGACAACATTGAGATTTGCTCCGAGAGTCATCCAGGTAGGCTGCCTTCTTTTTACGTGATATGGTGGCAAAATGTCTGTACGTTATTGATGTGTTTTCAGAGTCATACGATGTGCGTTAGCCTCCTTCGCAGACTTGTGAGGCGACGGCATTTTTTTCGGGGAGCGACGCGAGTTACGCGGGGGGACGGTTTTGCCGTCGAGGGACGGTTTTGCCGCTCGCGTCGCTCCCCGAAAAGAAATAACGCAGCCGCCCCATAAGTCTACGAAGGAGTATATGTGCGTATCAAAACCAAAGGAAATGTAACGTTACCCAGTTGGATTAAGTAACAATTGCCTTGTACTCACCTCATTACCTCGATGTCTAACCTTCACCGACGTAACTCGGTTTACATATTTTCCAGCTCGGTTGTACCTGAACCGACAGATCATCTCCATCCTGTCGGGACTCGGAATCCCTGACGAGGTTTTCCAGGTCCTTCAGGACGAACAGCTGCGGAAGTTAGCCAGCATGTTCCTGATGGAGCCTCGGGCGGTCGACGCGCTGAACCAGCGGGCACAACTGTCCGGAGTGCCGTACGGAAAACTGTCCAACTGCGGCGTCTACATGACCAGGGAGCCGTTCTTCAAGGCCATGCTACGGAAGGTGTACAAAAGCGGCATCGGTAAGAGTCTTAAGCTTTAAAACGGTCATATCGGCCATGATAATAGACCTACTTGTGGTTGTTCGAGTTAACTTGTTCTGACGTGAATAAAGGAATTAAACTCTTTCCCTACCCAGTATGCGCCGCTGAAGGAGTTGAAAGAGAAGAAGTGACCGTTATGTATTTGACCTGTCTATTTGACTACAGGGGACATACGGAGAAAGGCCAGGATAGAGATCTCACCCGAGTACGGCCGCCACATGTTGGGTGTTCTGGACGAAACAGGCACACTAGAGTACGGAGAGGTCTTTGTCCAGTACACGGAGGACATCCAAGACAAAGGCGGTAAGACTAAAATTCTGACAGGAGACGCAGTTGTGGCGCGGAACCCATGCTTCCACCCGGGAGACGTCCGGAAACTTACGGCAGTCGACGTTCCCGGCCTGCACCACATGGTGGACGTCATCGTCTTCCCCTCCAAAGGACCGCGACCGCATCCAAACGAGATGTCTGGAGGAGACCTGGACGGAGACCAGTTTTTCGTCACCTGGTATCCTGACCTGGTGTTCCAGCGTCAGAACGCAGACCCCATGCACTTCAAGACACCAAAGAAGATAGAACTGGACATCGTCACAATCTCCGACCTGCAGGATTTCATTGTGGAGTATATCAAGAACGACATTCTGGGCGTGATAGCGAACGCCCACCTGGCATTTTCGGATGAAGAAGATAAAGGGGTGTTCTCTCGGGTTTGCTTGACCCTGGCAGAAAAACACTCCGACGCCGTGGACTTCCCCAAGACGGGTGTATCCCCTGTCCTCGATGACGACGAGAGACCCATGACTTATCCAGACTTCATGGATAAGTTCAAAAAGGCTAGTCGGAGGTCGAAGAAAGTGATGGGAGATATGTACAGAGAGTGTCGGTCGATCGAAAGCATTTGCAGTCAGCCAGAAAAGACTGACGAAGACGAAGCCGTCGAGCCCGATCCGTACCTGATTCTCCCAACCCACCAACCATACAAACGCCAGGCTGAGGAGAGCAGGGGCCGCTACGACGATCAACTCAAGTACAGTGGCAGCCAGTTAATTGCAAAACGCTTATAAGAAAAAGTCTGCTAATTGAAAAGAATTGTGAAAACCCAAACCGTTTCCCATTGACACCATTGTTTATCACGCCCCTTATTTGAAAAGCCAATGCCGGCTAATTGAAAAAAAATTTGTCAAGTTGCAACACATTTTCAACCAAAAACATGCCAAACAAATCACCAAAATCGGCGGAAAATTTCTTATATCAACACATCAAGCCGCCAAAAGGGACGAAGTTGTCTGTTTTGAACCACAAAGGAGGCCGAAATTTACGTTGATCGAGCGGTCGGGCGCACATCGGCACTACGTAATGAGAAGCGCGAGCCGGTTCATAGCCGCCAAATGCGGCATGCTTTTGTGTTCTTTTAGCCTGTTTATTCCAAGAACGTTTAATTTCTCATACAACTCATTTTTTAATCATCAAAACCATGTCTCTACTTGTGTACTGCGCCATTATTTTGAGTTTATTTCGACTGCGACACGGCGCTATCGCCGCATCAACACGCCAAATGTGCCGCGAAAAAACACCGCATGGAATGATGGGATACTGCTACCCACGCCGCGTCCGCCATCTTTGTTTACTTCCCTGAACGCTAATGCGAGAGATCCCCGTCAACTATCGCAAATTTCCATGTAACCTACGGACATCGTGAGCTAAAAAGTCATTAACATTGAAATGAAAAGTTTATTGTTGCATTAGTTACGATAATTTTCGTGTGCTAGTCGGAGTTTCTGAAAATTAAGCGATCGAAGCGATCCTTTGTGCTATCGACTGCTTTCATGACGATCGTCTGCATTTTTGTCTGTACGCTACTTGATTGAAGTTTTCCGTTAATCAAACTTTATTTTTTGCTACTTTCGTGATGTAAAAGTATGTACAGGCTGATGATTGTGCATGTATTCGTTGCTTGTTTTGTACGTAGCAAACGTAGCATTGTTTATTCGTTCGAGTAGAGCCTGCCGATAGCACATGATGTCTAACGTATCGCGGCGTTCTTCCAGTCTTGGAAAAAACGAAAAAAATACATGTGTACGTCAACGAAAAAAATTAAAAGCAAATTTACCGATCTCAATAAAGTTCCCTGTTTTTAATGCGTAAATGTGACTCGTGTTTGTATTCTTTGTGTCGTTATGTGTTCGATGCCCTGTCCACCCCCCACCCCCATAGTTTCAATGAAGGCCGAGAGTTTGAGCCTCAGAGTCTCTTAATCGGAAAGGCCGGGTATTTGAAAAAAATGTGCTGACAAATTGGCTTTTCAAATAAGCGGCTTCTACTGTACCTGATGGATCGGTATGGAATCGAGACCGAAGCTGAGGCGATGTCAGGGTGCATCGGTAGAATCCACAAACACATGGATAACCGCTACGACAGGCATGAAGTTGAGAGAGTCTTCAAAGAGCGGATCAAGGATCTTCGACGTCGTACCCGGGAGGAATTCTTCGCAGAGTTCGGGGGAGAGAAGAACGTGAAGAAGAGTGACTATCCTCCAGAAGTGCAGGCGAAGGCGTCTGCATGGTACGCTGTCACCTATTCTGGCACCAACCGTGACAGACGTCTTCTGAGCTTTCCTTGGGTCGTTGGTGACGTCCTTGCCGCGATAAAAGTCACTGTCGCTCCTGACTACCCGGTATCCCTCCACCCATCTGTGGACCACATCACAGCAGAACTTCAGGCGATCCACTCTCCTAAGCGTTTGGAGACCGTCCGCACACTCTCCGCCGCGTTGAAAAGGCAGTCCCTGCAGCACAAGGTGGTCCAAGCTTTCGTCCTGCGACATCCCGACACTGTTGACCTGATTACGTTCCTCCTGCAATGGGCACAACAATATAAGCTTCTCGGGCAGGGCGTCAGGGGAAAGCAGATAAGCCAGAAGTCGCTCTTGTTCCTGCTTGCATCTCACGCTATCAAATTCTTCGATCCCAATTTTAAGTTGGCCGACCATGACACCATTGAGTGGTCAGAACTGACAAACGGTCTCGTCCACCGCGCACGCAGGGCACCTAATACATCTTCTGTCCTTGGAGGCATAGGATTACTGTGTGTGGACTTCTTCCGATACCTCGGGTCCCACACGTTCGTGACTGCCCGCGGGACTGGGCACATCGTGGCGGGCACGGCGCTGATGTTGTCCGAAGGGTGCGCGGAGGAAGTCCAGCGCCAGGCGCTCCGGGCCTACCACCTCCTGTCACAGACAGGCGACATCGGCGCGCTCATCAACACTGACATCACGCAGCGGGAGGAAGAATGGTCCCGAACCATACCGCCAAATCTCTGGAAAAAGTACGTCAGCAAAAGGATCAAGCAGGTACAGCTGTTACCATTGACTCTTGACTCTTTCAACTTCCTTCAAATTTGTTCTCTTTTCTTGAATTGATTGGAAATCTTTGAATGTTCAGCACCATGTATCATTTTCTCTACAGGTTGAGGAAGACTTGGCCAGGATGAGTGGCGCAGCAGAGGTGCAGATCAGACCGATCCGAAGGGGAAGGCGTCCAGCTGAAAGGGGACGCGTCTTTGGACGTGGGTCTCACGACGCCATCTTGCGGTTGACATCCGAAGTGGAATACCTAATTTGTAGCAACAACATGGAAAGGATGATGTGGGGTGAATTGGGAAGGATCGATACATGTCATATTTCCTGATTTTGCATTTAATACAGTTTGACAGGAATGAGGAAAAGTGGTGATATCCTGGCATTATGTAGAAATTTTACAATAATGATGTTTGTACAAGATTTGTTGGTATTACCTTACACAGCCAACCGGCTAAACTGTACTAAAGTTGACAAAATCGTATGATACGACAGAGAGAGAAAAGAGTACTGTTCATGAATAATTACTTTGCTTTTCGATGTAATATTTCCTAAGACAGACCGATGTACAATGTTTGCAGTCGCAGACCATTTATCTCAATGTAAAACGTGTAGCACTTTGCACTCGGGTATTAAATGTATAATGCGCCCACAAAAATGTCTTGTAGTCGTGAGAAAAACATCCACATTGGTGGGCAGTTCTTCCGCCAATGGACGAATTTGTTGCCTAATCGATTGAAACAGTCTAATTATGGACGTCTGAAACGAACGAATGTACATTTTGTACCCAGAATTTGTAATGTTATTCTGTAGCTAAACAGACGCAAATGTTTTGTTTATTCACGATTTTGTTTATCTTTGAGGCTCAGATAGCACGTTCATGTGGAGCAAGCGTCTGCAAATGCGTCTAACGTCTGGTTTGAATGTACTATGCTACTCCTACATCATATAACAAACGCACTGGCTAGCTTAGAACATGTAGATTACTCGAACCGTTGATTGAATGGTGCTGCACTTTTCTGTGACACAATATACACTTGAAGGCATTGCAATGTTACAAAGCGTCTCACCTGTCATGTTTGCTCGACCTTTACCCCCGCACGGTACCTGATACCGTCTGGCTCACAACAGGCTAATTATACAACTGGCGAAACCCTGGGTAAAACCCTGACGAAACGGTAGGGGAACTCACAGGTATTTCCGTCGGCTTGTGTGCGTTGGTGTCAGCCAAGAGCGGCATTCAACAGGTGCCCATTCTCCTTCTATCGACAGAATGACTGGCTGTAAGTTGGTGTACTGCGCTACAGGTGAGTCATGGAACACACAAACTGCACCCTAGTACCCGCTGGCGCTAACGGATCGTGAATGGTTCGTCCTTCCGTGTAGGGTAGTTATATCAAAACTTCCTCTATTGTAAAATTGCTGTCAACTAGAACAGTCACACAACATTCATCCGTTCAGATCGCTTGTTTTGTTTCACAACTCGGGCTGGTGAGAGCTATAGGAATTTATATTCTTTCAGGAAGTGAGCAAGAGTGTTACTCGAAGGTTCTCAGTTCTAGAAGTACAAGTGTGCGGCGTCACTGAGCTTCACAGTATTACCACTAACAGTGTCGTTCATTAACGTTTTCTGATGGGCCGCGAATGAAACACACAACTGTTGCCTATCTTTGTGGTAGTATTTAGCCTGCTTTATGGCCTATATGATTGGATTCTGCACTAAACTGACCACATTGTGTAGTATATAAACGGGGCAGATGACATCACCTGACGGGGAATCCCCTGGCGCCTGGTTACGGTGAATGGTTGAATGTTTACTGACCTGCGTGACGTACCTTAGTTGGAAACCCCCAGCTGCTATTTTCCGCACAACTGGAGTGAGAAACAACCTGTTGAGTTGGGGGGGGGGGAATTTCCGATACAATGAATGAATGAATGAATGAATGAATGAATGAATGAAGACCTTTATTGTACATTTTGCCCCACTGGGCTAAAGACAGGTCACATATTGACAAAGTACAATGTAAAAAAATAACATCATCAATGTTGATAATAAAACGGCTATAGTACACAAGTACTTTCAACTTCCTCTCGCTTTCTGGTAATCTTATAAATGTAGTTGGCTGTATGAGTAGTTAGAGCTGGTTTGTTAAAGACTACAAGGAATATAAATTTCTCTATACTATTCAAATACTTAAATTGGGAGTATTTGCTTGACACAAAATCGAAAAGAACGTTTCTTTCGCTGTCATACATGGAACAATCCACAATAAAATGTACCTCGTCTTCTACTTTACCTAAACTACAATATTGGCAGATTCTTAGAACCCACTTATAATTTGTAATTCTTTCATAACCAACATTATGATGTACATGATGTCAAAGCTAGCTGCTTTCTATCATAAGGAATACCAAAACCAAAATAGGTGTTCGAAGTCACGTGACTATTGGCATGTTTTGTGTATGATTATGTATTGTCATCTCAGTGAAGACATGTTAATATATAGGTAACACTAACAGTCCCAACATTACGTATACTATACAATTGATGCATTTGTTTTCGTACATCGTTAGGTACCATGTGATATGCCAGGTAAATGACAATGAGCGCCCCTTCCTTCACTCTGCCGGTGACGGTCACCCTAGAACGGTCGTTAGACAGCCAGGTTAAAAGGGGCGTGGACAACTTCATGAGAAGATGCTCCCGTGTTGTGTCATCCACTACTTTAAGTAGTCATCAGACATGGAACCAAGACGCTGTCCCCAGTACTGAATTCAAGCTACAACCACGGGGTGACGATGAATTTGACACTGCATGCAGAAGCATTCTTCTGTTTCCTGCGATTGGAATGGTGTAAAGTACCTGTATTCGGACTTGGGTGGCTTACTGCTGACGAGGAAGCAAATGCTTTTTCCAAATCCGAGAGAAACACCCCAGCTCACTCTGATATCAGACTGAAAACATTTGCTCTTGGTGCTTTTCAAGAGAGAAGCACATTTATCATCCACTATGACGCTTCAGCCTATGGCTCCCCGTTTGAGGACGACGCCAGTAGTATTAGACCTGCGATTAGACTTGAGCTCGAGAGACAGGTGACCTTTGAACATGACCGAAAGCAGCTCGCGGTTCACTTCAAGCCATCGGAAGACGAAGGTGTTCACAAGTTCGAAGTGGATTATGACAACCTGGAGAGTTACATCCTCGTGTACGACAGCTATGTACAAACAGGGCTGTACTTCTTCCTCAAGCATCCCTTAAAGGTAGAGTTGGTGGCGATTTTTCCGAGATAAATACGACCAAACAGCTAATTCGCTGTAACGTTGTTGTTGTGCTCTTGTGTTATAAGATACTGGTGGTTAATATCCTTGTAAATCCGCCAATGAATAATGCCCAATTATCATATAATACTCAATTTTTCAGGTATTCAGAGCTGTCAATGCCAGGGGCTGTCGTGTTGAGAGGATTGAATCTGTCAACGCACAGACAGTTTGGAAGCGTACCACATCATTCGGAGGATGTACAAGTCAAGATCTTGGCTATTCGTCCTGTCTCCAGTTGGTTATTGATAATGACGGCACAGTGACCGGCACCCCCCATGCTGTACTCAGCCGCCTGTGCCAGAGTTGTGGCTTCACAGCAAACTTTGTGTCAGTGCGACATGTTCGACCTCCACCGCCCGTACCCTTGGCGTTAGAACAGTCGCTGACGCACTTCGATTGTGTTTACGCACTGCGCGTATTTCTCTCGCGCGGGTACACTGTGAGAGACCAGGTCGATCGGTATTTCTTCCAAAAACTTCGAACGGAGGAAGAACGATTTGGTGCTGGTTTTGTGAGCGAAATACTTCGACGGCTAACACTTACTGTGGAAAATAACAGGTGATCATCTTTCTCACTTTTCGAATTCGGTGTAACGTAACACGTTAATACTTCCTACACGTCCAATATTGTCCAATGTTTTACTTGCAACCGTAATCATCTAATTTATCAATTGCTTGTAATCATTTCGGTAGATTTGCGGAAATTGACACTGCACTACACCAGCTACTGGCCATGAGAGACATCATCATGGAGGCAGAGCAGGTCCAGTTCCCGGCTGCACACCGCACGGTGCGCCGTGTCTTCGTCACGCCGACCCGTCTGATGTTCATGCACCCTGAAATAGTACGGGATAACAGGTATGAAATTAGCTCACTGATATTATATATTACGCCAGCAGCTTTTTGTTAAATATTTGGAAGCTCATTCATGAATTTATCGTTTACATGTAGAATCTTACGGAAGTACGGCGAGGACAACTTCATGAGAGTGTCCATTCGTGACGAAGACTTTGGCAAACTACAAGCGGTGGGTTGGCTGGCCCCAGGCGAGGAGGAGACATTTACACATGTCAATTGTGTCCTTCAGGACGGGATGAAACTCGGAGACAGGTACAGAGACTTGACAATTAAGTTTAGAAAATTATATGTAGCACCTTGTATGGCATAACAGAATCGACCATGCGTACAACGCCGAAAAGTATACTACTAGTACCATGTTGTGTCGGTTTTTTCTTTTCCCCTCGTCTAGGAGAATGGGGTAATTCTATCATTGTTTTTCTTTGCCATTTGAAATCAGGTTGCCCATGCCAACCTCATAGTAAACTTCCCTTTGTCCAACAGGAACTACGAATTTCTAGCCGCTTCCAACAGCCAACTCAGGGAGCATAACGTCTGGTTCTTTGCTTCTGACGGGAAGAACACAGCCGAGTCCATCAGAAGAGAAATGGGGGATTTCTCTCACATCAGGTAACAGCCTTCCAATTTGGATCTACCTGGTCCCTTTCATAGAATTATGTTAGCAGAGGATTCAACACCTGTACAAACGTACCAACATTATGGTCAGTTGTGTTTTTTGTCCGTCTTGTTCAGATGCCCCGCTACCGTGCTTGCGCGTATGGGCCAATGCTTCTCCAACACCGAACCAAGTGTGGTCGCCAAGACCTCTGACAGAGAGGTGGTCAGAATACCTGAGAAAGAAGCTGGCGAGAATCCAGTCTACTGCTTCTCTGATGGTATTGGCAAGATATCACAGTCACTGGCACAGAAGGTACATGGACGTATTTTATCGACCTCTACAGCTTATCTAAAGTTGGCACTGGTGTTTTTGTCTTGTGTCCCACTAAACTGGCGATGTCGTTTCACTCAAGGTGTGTCGAGAGATAGGCCGTACACGTGGTGAGACAGAGGTACCGTCAGCCTACCAGATCCGGTATGGAGGGATCAAGGGTGTGGTGGCAGTCGATCCATATCTTCCCGGAGATGTCATGCAAGTTCGACCGAGTATGATTAAGTTCATGTCTTCGGACGAGAATATTGAGATCTGCATGACCAGCCATCCAGGTAAACTCAAAGATCATGGATTCTATCCTTACCGAATGCATCGGTTTTGCCAACTAATTATATGACATGCATTGTAATTATGTTCGAGGAATCTATTTGCACACAACTACGTCTGAATTTATGAGCTTCTTTTTTTTTGTTTCCTCGTGTTCATTATTGTACAGTTACCAATTTTGTTTTCCAGCTCGACTGTACCTGAACAGACAAGTGATAACTATCCTATCAGCGTTAGGCGTTCCTGACCTGAACTTCCAGAACCTCCAAGAGACGATGCTCCAGAATCTCTCCGACATGCTTGTGTCGGAGCACGTGGCCTTCAAATCTCTGAAGAGACGGGCGCAGCCATTTGTGCTCCCTTTGGGTAAACTGTCACGCTGCGGACTTCATATCACTACAGAGCCATTCTTCAGAGCCATGTTACAGAAAATGTTCACCTGTTTCCTCGGTAAAGAATCAATTCTTCCTGGCGCTGACTTCTTTTATATGTATCAGAATGACTGCCCACCCCAGGGCAAACATTTGAAGGCCAGCAATATCCTCTTTTATCATGTGAGCGGTGATTTCATCACCGAATGAAAACATACCACTCTTGTTGATACGCGGCTGCTTTACTCTTGTGGATTGTCAGTTAGATACCGCTGCTAGTTCTTGTCAACGTCCTTTGAAACGACACAACAAATTTGATTCTTCGCAATGATGTACAAAAGCTTGTTTGCATTAAACTGACGAAAAGCTAATTATCCCTACAGGACAACTACGACGAAAAGCGAGAATAGAGATCCCACCTGAGTACGGAAGAAACATGTTGGGTGTCCTGGACGAAACAGGCACACTAGAGTACGGGGAAGTCTTCGTCCAGTACACGGAGGACATCGCGGACAAGAGTAGCAGGGCCAGAGTTCTCACAGATAACGTAGTCGTGACACGGAACCCGTGCTTTCACCCGGGAGACGTCCGGAAACTCAGGGCAGTCGACGTTCCCAAACTGCACCACATGGTCGACGTCATCGTCTTCCCCTCCAAAGGACAGCGACCGCATCCAAACGAGATGTCTGGAGGAGACCTGGACGGAGACGAGTACTTCGTCACCTGGTATCCTGACCTGATATTCCCGAGGCCGAATCTGAAGCCTATGGACTTTACATCACAGGGGAAGAAGTTGCTACCAAGTGTTGAAACCCAAGACATCAAAGACTTCATCGTCGAGTACATTAAAAATGACATTCTTGGACAGATCGCAAACGCACATCTCGCTTCGGCACACACCTTACCGGGAGGCATATTTTCCAGTAAATGTCTTGGCTTAGCTAAAAAACATTCCGATGCTGTGGATTTTCCAAAGACAGGCGTATGTCCTTCTCTGGAAAAAGACGAAAGACCTTTGGAGTATCCAGATTTTATGGGGAAGAAGAAAGGCAAGACAACAAGAAGGTCAGAGTCAGTCCAGGGTAAGATGTACCGGGAATGTCAGACGATTGAACGGGTTTGCAGTCACCTACATGAAGATAAGGACATTGGGAGTCAGACAGTCGAGGTTGACCAAGCTTTCATCCACCAAGACCACAAAAAGTACACCGTGAGTTCTCACCAGGCCAGAGATCAGTACAATGAACGACTGCAGGATCTAATGAATCAGTATGGGATCGCAACAGAAGCCGAGGCCGTATCAGGCTGTATCGTTAGAATGCGTCCCCACATGGAGGACCGGTACGAGAGGTTTGAGGCTGAAAGAATCGCGAAGGATCGTATCGCCCACCTTCGAAAACAGACCAGACAAGAGTTCTTTCATGATTTCGGGGGTGAGGAAAACGTAGACTTAGACCACTGTCCTGAGAAGGTCATGGCAAAGGCGTCTGCCTGGTACATCTCCTCGTACAGCATGGGTAATCCTGGTCTTCTCAGCTTCCCTTGGGTGGTGGCAGACGTTCTGGCTGAGCTAAAGATAAGAACAACAGACATACCTTCATTGGTGCAACAGCCAATCGTGGACAGAATCACAAATGATTTAGCTGAATTGTACGGGACGCAGTTCTACACTACCTTTATGAATCTGATGGATCCAAAAGATGACGGACACAGTCGCCGAGATCATGTCCTGATGTACATGAGGAGGTACGCTACTGTCATACACCTCGTTTCCTTTCTCTTGCAATGGGGAAAGGAACATTGTTCTCAGCTTAACCGGACAGACTTACTTTTTCTCTTCACGACTTATGCTGTCAACCAAGGCTTCTTTGAAGATTTGGGCATGCCAACGCGAAATGAGACCGTAGAACTGCAAATCTTCCTTCGGCGAACAAAGGAAAATGATTTCTACAACTCGCTCTCCATACTAGGAGGAAAAGCTACAGGAGAACTCTGCATCAGTTTCCTGAAATACTTGAGTTCTCACGAATTCATGGAGATGATGGTGACCTTCTCGTGTGATATTCCCGTCAGGTTGTCGTTACTACCCAGAAGCGCCAAAGAGAACCTGCATGCCAAGGCGCTGGTGGCGTACCACCTGTTGGCGCAGACAGGAGATATTTGGCGGCTTACAAGCACGACGGACACCAATAAGGAAATACTCTGGGAGTGGGGTATGGAAATACCGCCAAACCTGTGGGACCAACATTTCTACAGACGCATGGAAACGGTAAAGCACCCTCCTATTGAATTGATAAAAGGCCATAAGCCTCTTCTGAACGCATATTTTAACGTATAAGACAATTTACTTGCCAACACTCAAAAATGTCAGCCTACAGTGAAAGAGGTTGCTCAATGCGGCGTAGGATCACTGTAGGGTATTCACGACTTTCAATGAGAAACTTTGAGTATCAGTTATTGTCATCTTTCACTGATATTAGTGAAATGTCTTAGACCTACGTTGTGGAAATAGGTAAAAACAGGTGCACCGTCTCAACTTTCATGTTTTCTCCATGCACAGCGAGAACAGGAGCTGTTGAGGGACACTGGTGTACAGGAGGTACATGTCCGGCTACTGCGCCGCGTCCGAGGACCGTACCGGGGACACTTGTCAGCGGTTGGTACTGAAGAAAGCATCAATGAGCTGCAGCTAGTTATGGAAAATTTGATTGATAGATTCAAGAATATGCATTACAGAAGACCTTGGTCAAGACGTCGATAAAGTCATCCCGGTGTCACAGCGATCTCGCCCCTAACGATTTCGCACTCCCCGGGGTTGAGATCGCTAGCGATTTGGCCCCCTCCGGCCCTTTATTTGATCTACTCTTTTACACCGTACCACAAGTATGGCATGTACACAAATTTGATTAACAATTCTAACAATGTTATTATGGCGACATTATTGAAGCAAGAAAGTAGCCTTCTTGGTTAAAGTATTCTCTGTCGCTACACTCATCAGCACACGCATCTCAACAACGCAGGATTTTACTTAAAGTGTCATTGGTAAAATAATTCCGAATACAACGAAATACTATGATTAGAAGTATACATGAAATGTGTGTACTCTCAGTTATTTCCTCGAAAGCTTCGTTTTAGCTATCCATGTAGTACTTGGACATGCTAAAACGAAGTTTTCGAGGACATAATTGATTTTGCATGGGGGGGGGCAAATTGCTAAAGGGGGAAGAGATGCATTCGGAATTACCCTAAATGCAGTCGGATTTACCCCTCCTTTTTGTACAAATGTATGAAATGATCACTAGCGGGAGGGCAAAATCACGGGGAGGGGGGGGGCGAGATCGCTGTGTCACCGGCGTAACCAGTCGAAATCTCGACAAAGTGATCAGATGTGGGTAAAATATCAAATATACGTAGCTTTTGTGTCTGCATTTAGCATCCGCAGTTTTTTAAAATCCTTACACCTAGGATTTCTTAACATATGCCGTTAACGTTGAAAGTTCTTAACAGCACTGTGGTGTAAGGAGCAAGGATATGTAAATATGTACATGTATAATAAATGTACAGAATGTTGCAACATATGCCATTAACTTCATTTTCAACGGTTTATCGTGTATATTTAATGTGTTCATATGTACGTAGGTACAACTGTACGTTATGCAATGTCAGACATTGCCGGTACGGCACAACGCGAGATTTACACAGGTAACGGGGTCTTTCCTTGGTGCTGAAATAATGATCGGCTCAATAATACTCCCTGGCGCCATGTTCTAACACGCCGCTTTTGCTAAATCTCCTAAATGCATTCGGATTTACCCTTTTCTTTTGTACAAATGTAAGAAATGTACAAATAAAGTATATCTGAGGAATGACAAACACTTCAAATGATAAGGGTCGACAGCATTAAGTCAGCGGATTTGCTAGGTATTACGGACCAGAACATTAATAAACGATTCCTTGTCCCCAGAAGTATTTCCTAAACACCCGTGGTGTATATTAACTGTGTACCAATGCTGTAGGTATTGCCAATGCCGTTCGTGCGCGCAGCACTAATCGATCACGTTAGTATATTGGAGTCCCCTATGGTTAATAACCGTCGCCATGATTGCAGCTTGTCTAATAAATCCAGCAATCATGTTTTCATGCTGACCGGCCGGCCTTCAGTGATTGGATTCTTGGACAAGTTGTACTTTATCCTCCGCACAACGAGCCTATCGTCCATCGACCTAATGAAATCACGCCGGAAATTATTAACTCCAATTTAAAATGTACACGCGCTCTGTAATGAAAAGCGTGCCCCGTACGTCATAGTGCCGAGATTGGTTACTCATCGTCCCATGTTCTTCACACAACATTTGGTTCGTGACGGACCAAAGGAAATGAAATTAATTTAATTAGCATAATTGATGGGCCAGCTGTCCTAAGTGCCAGCCTCAAGGTCAGTGCCAGTCCCGCGGGTGTTGGGAAACCGTCAACCGTGAAGTGCGGGGAATGTCAATCAATCTTAACTGTCCTGAAAGAGGGCAGACAGATAGATATAGTTATAGACACCGCCTAACGTTTACGACAACAACCTACCACACCTTTCGAAAAAGAGTAGCGGCATGCCCCGGTGTGCGATGGTCCAAACACTACAGTCTGAAAATTGGTGATTCACTACGGACTCCAGGAGGAATAGTGTGGAATTTACACTACATGTACTGGGGATCCTAATTAAACAAACAAACAAGCAAACAAACAAACAAATAAATAAGATGATAATATCGAACCTTTTCTATGCAGTCAATATTACTGGAAGGTTGATACGGAAACAGAAGGCATACCTGGTTCCAAGTGGAATTGGTTTGGGATCTATTTTTAGATTCGCCAATCTGATTGCCGGCAATCAATAAGCATCGGAGTGAAATACGTGGGCGAGTATGACGTATTATCCACCTTTCTTGGAAATAACACGAGAAAGTATATATATCCCACCACAGAGCCGTGAACAATGACTAGTTGTGAATAGTCCGCTCATCCCGGGAGGCAGTGGCATTATCGCACAAACGCTAGCTTCGCACCACCTCATACAGTAATCGGCTCACGCGGGGACAGGCGAGACTTCAGCGCGGCGTGATGTGATGGATACAGGTCAGGCCGCCGCCGGAGTGCCGGGATAAATTCTCCCCCGCAGCGTCCACGTCCTGACGGCAAGGCGATCACTTCTGGTATCGCCAGGTGCATTTAGAGGGAGGTTTAACGGCTGCGTGAGTGTGGATCTACAGGTAAGCCAGCCATGTTTGTAACCGTGCAGATCGCGTGACACGCCAGCAACGTTCACGTCCGTAATTTCTTGACCAGACGTTTATCTATATTTCATTTAGCTCGACCTTTACCCCCGCACGGTACCTGATACCGTCTGGCTCACAACAGGCTAATTATACAACTGGCGAAACCCTGGGTAAAACCCTGACGAAACGGTAGGGGAACTCACAGGTATTTCCGTCGGCTTGTGTGCGTTGGTGTCAGCCAAGAGCGGCATTCAACAGGTGCCCATTCTCCTTCTATCGACAGAATGACTGGCTGTAAGTTGGTGTACTGCGCTACAGGTGAGTCATGGAACACACAAACTGCACCCTAGTACCCGCTGGCGCTAACGGATCGTGAATGGTTCGTCCTTCCGTGTAGGGTAGTTATATCAAAACTTCCTCTATTGTAAAATTGCTGTCAACTAGAACAGTCACACAACATTCATCCGTTCAGATCGCTTGTTTTGTTTCACAACTCGGGCTGGTGAGAGCTATAGGAATTTATATTCTTTCAGGAAGTGAGCAAGAGTGTTACTCGAAGGTTCTCAGTTCTAGAAGTACAAGTGTGCGGCGTCACTGAGCTTCACAGTATTACCACTAACAGTGTCGTTCATTAACGTTTTCTGATGGGCCGCGAATGAAACACAGAACTGTTGCCTGTCTTTGTGCTAGTATTTAGCCTGCTTTATGGCCTATATGATTGGATTCTGCACTAAACTGACCACATTGTGTAGTATATTAACGGGGCAGATGACATCACCTGACGGGGAATCCCATGTCACCTGGTTACGGTGAATGGTTGCATGTTTACTGACCTGCGTGACGTACCTTAGTTGGAAACCCCCAGCTGCTATTTTCCGCACAACTGGAGTGAGAAACAACCTGTTGAGTTGGGGGGGGGGATTTCCGATACAGAACCCACTTATAATTTGTAATTCTTTCATAACCAACATTATGATGTACATGATGTCAAAGCTAGCTGCTTTCTATCATGACATAAGGAATACCAAAACCAAAATAGGTGTTCGAAGACTATTGGCATGTTTTGTGTATGATTATGTATTGTCATCTCAGTGAAGACATGTTAATATATAGGTAACACTAACAGTCCCAATATTACGTATACTATACAGTTGATGTCAATGCATTTGTTTTTGTCATCGTTAGGTATCATGTGATATTCCAGGTAAACGACAATGAGCGCCCCTTCCTTCACTCTGCCGGTGACGGTCACCCTAGAACGGCCGTTAGACAGCCAGGTTAAACGCGGCGTGGACAACTTCATGAAAAGATGGTCCCGTGTTGTGTCATCCACTACTTTAAGTAGTCATCAGACATGGAACCAAGACGCTGTCCCTAGTACTGAATTTGAACTACAGCCACGGGATGACGATGAATTTGACACTGCAGAAGAATTCTTCTGCTTTCTGAGATTGAAATGGTGCAAAGTACCTATATTCGGACTTGGATGGCTTACTCCTGACGAGGAAGCACATGCTTTTTCCAAATCCGAGAGAAATACCCCAGCTCACTCTGATATCGAACTGGAAACATTTGCCCTTGGTGCTTTTAAGGAAAGAAGCACATTTGTCAACCACTATGACGCGTCAGCCTATGGCTCCCAGTCTGAGGACGACTCAATTAGGACTAAACTTGAGAGACAAGTGACATTTGAACATGACCGTAGGCAACTCGCTGTTCACTTCAAACCATCCGAGGACGAAGGTGTTCACAAGTTCGAAGTGGATTATGACAACCTGGAGAGTTACATCCTTGTCAACGACAGCCATGTACAAACAAAACTGTACTTCTTCCTCAAACATCCTCTGAAGGTAGAGTATATGGCGATTTTCCCTATCAACACAAAAGTGCCAATTTGTTGTTGCTATTGATGTTGTGTTCGTATACTAGTGATTAAGGCCTTGTTCACACTAAACCGCCTGAACCGCGATTCGGGTAAAACGCACTCCTCGCGCCACGCGTTCGCTTTCAATGCGATTTGGAGCGTTCAGATGGGGCCACTTGAATCCGGCTTCGGTGGAACTGGACCGAAACCGATTACAGCAGTTTGGTGTGAACGGGGCTTGATATGGCTTTTCTGACTTGTAAATCTGCCTTTCGAATGGTTCCCAATTATCATATAACACAGACGCAGCTGAATCATTCAATTTTTCAGGTATTCAGAGCTGTTAATGCCAGGGGCTGTCTTGTTGACGAGATTGAATCTGTCAATACGCAGACAGTCTGGAAGCGTACTACATCATTCGGAGGATGCACAACTAACAATCTTGGCTATTCGTCCTGTCTCCAGTTGGTTATTGATAATGACGGGGCCGTGACCAGCACCCCCCATGCTGTACTCTCCCGACTGTGTCAGAGTTGTGGCTTCACAGCAAACTTTGTGTCAGTGCGACATGATGAACCTTCACTAGTACCCCTGATACCACCAAAAAAGTCGCCGGCGCACTTCGACTGTGTTTACGCACTGCGCGTATTTCTCTCGCGTGGGTACACTGTGATGGACCAGATCGACCGGCATTTCTTCCAAAAGCTTCGAGATGAGGAAGATAAGAAATTTGGGCCGGATTTTGTCTGCGAAATACTTCGACGGCTAACACTTACAGTGGAAAATAACAGGTGATCATCTTTCTCACTTTATCATACTGATGAATATAAATATTGATATTGAAATTTCCAGTTACTACTTGCTAAACGTCCACTAGTGTCCAATGATTTACTTGAAACCGTAATCATCTGATTTATCTTTGTAATCATTTTGGTAGATTTGCGGACATCGATAGTGCACTACGCCAGCTACGGGCCATGAAAGACACCATTATGGGGACAGAGCAGACCCAGTTCCCGGCTGCACATCGCAAGGTGCGCCGTGTCTTCGTCACACCGACCCGTCTGATGTTCATGCACCCTGAAATAGTACGGGATAACAGGTTAGCGGTTATCTCATTGCCTCCATGAAGATGGAGGTATTGTTTTTGGTGTGTGTGTGTGTGTGTGTGTGTGTGTGTGTGTGTGTGTGTGTGTGTGTGTGTGTGTGTGTGTGTGTGTGTGTGTGTGTGTGTGTGTGTGTGTGTGTGTGTGTGCGTGTGTGTCCTTGTATGTTTCCGCATATTTGTGGTTTTAGAAAGACAAAGGTCAAGGTCAAATGTTGGCCTCCTGGTGGCCGACTTTAGTACTGGACATGCTGTGGTCTTGTTTTTTTAGTGGCAGATAGCTTTTGTGTCAGAAACAAGTGGTGTGGGTTTGACTATATCGTTATAATTATACGTAGAATCTTACGGAAGTACGGCGAGGACAACTTCATGAGGGTGTCCATTCGTGACGAAGACTTTGGCAAACTACAAGCGTTCGGTCGGCTGGTCCCAGGCGAGGACGAGACATTTACACATGTCAAGCGTGTCCTGCAGGAAGGGCTGAGAGTCTGGGACAGGTACAAATAGTTACCTCATCAGTTTAGAAAATCATATGTAGCACGTTTGTAGCAACAGAATCAATCAAGCGTACAACGCCGAAATGCATAACATGTTTTTCTCTTCCCCTTGCCTAAGAGAAAGGGATACTTCTATCATTTACCACATTGTTTTTCTGTGTCATTTGAAATCAGGTTAGCCATGCCAACCTCATAGTATACTCTAGTAAACTTCCCTTTGTCCCACAGGAACTACGAATTCCTAGCTGCTTCTAACAGCCAACTCAGGGAGCACAACGTCTGGTTCTTTGCTTCCGATGGGGAGAACACAGCCGACTCCATCAGAAGGGAAATGGGGGACTTCTCCGGCATCAAGTAATGGTCTTCCCATTTGAACCTATCGTGTAATTGTTCCGTAATGTAATCATGCGTCAGGAAAATCGATTCACCATCTGTACAAATGTACCAACATCATGGTCAGTGTCGTTTTGTTTTTGTCCGTCTTGTTCAGATGTCCTGCTCTCGTGCTTGCACGCATGGGCCAGTGCTTCTCCAACACGGAACCAAGTGTGATCGCCAAGACCTCTACCAGAGAGGTGGTTAAAATACCTGACATTAAATCAAAGGAGTGCTGCTTCTCTGATGGTATTGGCAAGATATCGCAGTCATTGGCACAAAAGGTAAATAGACCTCTCTATCAACCTCTTTGACCCACCAGCTTCACTGTTATTTCTTATGTCTAACAAGTACGTTGTCGCTTGTTTGAATCTTGTACATGTGTCCAAGTAAAACAGTTCCGTTTCACTGCAGGTGTGTAGAGAGATAGGTCGTGCACGTGGTGAGACAGGAGAAGTACCATCAGCCTACCAGATCCGGTACGGAGGAGTCAAGGGTGTGGTGGCGGTCGATCCAAATCTTCCCAGCTCTCGCGGAGATGTAATGCAAGTTCGGCCTAGCATGATGAAGTTCAAGTCCTCGGACCAGAATATTGAGATTTGCATGACCAGCCGTCCAGGTAACTCAAACCCATTGCCAAGTGCTCCGTACTTTTAGTCGTTCAAGTTACCTAAGGATCATTTTTGTACAGTTACCATTCCGTTTTCGTACAGTTACTAATCCTATGATCTGTCTTCCAGCTCCACTGTACCTGAACAGACAGGTGATCACTATCCTGTCAGCGTTAGGCGTTCCTGACCTGAACTTTCAGAAGCTCCAAGAGACGACGCTCCAGAATCTCTCCGACATGCTCGTGAGAGAGGACGTGGCCTTCAAATCTCTTAAGAAAACAGCGCAGTCACTTGGGCTGCCTTTGGGCAGACTGTCACGCTGCGGACTCCATGTCACCACAGAGCCGTTCTTCAGGGCCATGCTACAGAAAATGTTCACCTGTTCCCTTGGTAAGGAATCATTTCTTTATAGTGACAACGACTTCATGCAATGGAATAGTGGGTAGAGTTAAGTGCTCAGTTTGTTGCCATGAGGCTTGGGACTTCATGAAAAGAAATTGAAAAGAAATTCATGATCACACACTGTAACTAATACTTGCCAGGACCAGCAATTTCCATTCAAAAATGAAACCACAAAGCGTAGTTTGTTTGATTCTTAGCAGTGTAACAGCAGCAGCATCATGAAACAAAAATCATTGTTTTTTTACAGGAGAACTTCGACGAAGAGCGAGAATAGAGATCCCACCCGAGTACGGCCGGAACATGTTGGGTGTCCTGGACGAAACAGGCACCCTTAAGTACGGAGAAGTCTTCGTCCAGTACAGGGAGGATATCACGGATAAGAGTAGCAGGACCAGAGTTCTCACAGATAACGTAGTCGTGACACGGAACCCGTGCTTTCATCCGGGTGACGTCCGGAAACTCACGGCAGTCGACGTTCCCGGTCTGTACCACATGGTGGACGTCATCGTCTTCCCCTCCAAAGGACCGCGACCGCATCCAAACGAGATGTCGGGAGGAGATCTGGACGGAGATGAGTACTTCGTCACCTGGTATCCTGACCTGATATTCCCGGGGCCGAACGAGACGCCCATGGACTTCACAGCACAGGAGAGGAAGTGGCTACCACGCGTCGAAACCCAAGACATCAAAGACTTCATCGTCGAGTACATTAAAAATGACATACTTGGCCAGATCGCAAACGCACATCTCGCTTCGGCACACACCTTGGCAGGAGGCATATTTTCCAGTAGATGTCTTGGCTTAGCTAAAAAACATTCTGACGCTGTCGATTTTCCAAAGACAGGCGTATGTCCCTCTCTGGAAAAAGACGAAAGACCTTTCGAGTATCCAGATTTTATGGGGAAGAAGAAGGGCAAGACAACAAGAAGGTCAGAGTCAGTCCAGGGTAAGATGTTCCGGGAGTGTCAGAGGATTGAACGGGTTTGCAGTCACCTGCATGAAGACAAGGACATTGGCAGTCAGACAATCAAACTTGACAAGGTTTTCTTCCATCAAAACTGGAAAAGGTATGCTGTGTCTTCTCGCGAGGCCAGAGATCAGTACAACGAAAAGCTGCAGGATCTGATGAAGCAGTACGGAATCGCAACAGAGGCCGAGGCTGTATCAGGCTGTATCGTCAGCATGCGTCCCCACATGGAGGACCGGTACGAGAGGTTTGAGGCGGAAAGAATCGCAAAGGATCGTATCGCCCACCTTCGAAAACAGACCAGACAGGAATTCTTTCATGACTTCGGGGGTGAGGAAAGCGTGGACTTAGACCGCTGTCCCGAGAAGGTCATGGCAAAGGCGTCTGCCTGGTACTACGCCTCCTACAGAGTGGGTAATCCTGGTCTTCTCAGCTTCCCTTGGGTGGTGGCAGACGTTCTGGCTGAGCTGAAGAAAAGGACAACATCTTCCTTGATTCGACAGCCAGTCTTGGACAGAATTACAGAGGATTTAGATGAAGTGTACGGGACGCAGTTCTACACTACCTTTATGAATCTGATGGATCCAAAAGATGACGGACACAGTCGCGGAGATCATGTCCTAATGTACATGAGGAGGTACGCTACTGTTATACACCTCGTTTCCTTTCTCTTGCAATGGAGAAAGGAACATTGTTCTCAGCTTAACCGGACAGACTTACTTTTCCTCTTCACGACTTATGCTGTCAACCAAGGATTCTTTGAAGATTTGGGCATGACAACGCAAAATGAGACCGTAGAACTGCAAATCTTCCTTCGGCGAACAAAGGAAGATGATTTCTACAACTCGCTCTCCATACTAGGAGGAAAAGCTACAGGAGAACTCTGCATCAGTTTCCTGAAATATTTGAGTTCTTACGAATTCATGGAAACCCCCTCGGTTTCTATTCGCGGCAGGTTGTTGTCACTACCCGCAAGCGCCAGAGAGAACCTGCATGCCAAGGCGCTGGTGGCGTACCACCTGTTGGCGCAGACAGGAGATATTCGGCGGCTCACAAGCACGACGGACACCACTAAGGAAATACTCTGGGAGTGGGGTATGGAAATACCGCCAAACCTGTGGGACCAACATTTCTACGGACGCAAGGAAATGGTAAAGCACCCTATAGATAATTAATTTTTTTCTGAACGCATATTTTAACGCAAAAGAAAATTTACACGCAACGCTCAAAAATGTCAGCCTACAGTAAAAGAGCTTGCTCAATGCCACGCAATCACTGTAGGGTATTCATGACTTTTAATGACCAACAATGAGCACCAGTTATTGTCATCTTTCACTGATATTAGTGAAATGTCTTAGATCTACTTTTTGGAAACAGATTAAAACGGATGTACCGTCTCAACTGTCATGTTTTCTCCATGCACAGCGAGAACGGGAGCTGTTGGGGGACACTGGTGTGCAGGAGGTACATGTCCGGCCACTGCGCCGCGTCAGAGGACCGTACCGGGGACACTTGTCAGCGGTTGGTACTGAGGAAAGCATCAACGAGCTGCAGCTAGTTATGGACAATTTGATTGATAGGTTTAAGAATACGAAGAAGAATAAGAAGAATAAGAAGAAGAATGTTACATTACGGAAGACCTAGGTCACGATGTCGTTAAGGTCATCCCGGTGTCACAGTGATCTCGTCCCCCCCCCTCAGCGATTTTGCCCTCCCGGGGATGCATCGCTAGCGATTTCGCCCCCCCGCCAGAAGATCGCTGTGACACCGGCGTCACAAGTCTAGACAGAGGAAGTCATTAGATGTGGGTAAAATATGAAATATATGTAGCTTTTGTGTCTCCATTTAGCATCCGCAGTTTCTTATTGTTGCAAATCCACACGCCTTGCACATCCTTCTGCCTTGGACGTCTTGTTAACATATGCCGTTAACGGTGAAAGTTCTTAACAGCACTATGGCATAGGGAGCAAGGATATGTAAATATGTACATATGAATACGCATAATAAACGGATAGTAGAAACATTCACTAGACAGTGCACTGCTTTGGAGCAGAAGACGGATAACTAGCAGCCTGATTCTTCCTCAGATCTGCAAATGTAATGTAATGTAAACCAGACACACTGCAACGCTTAGAAAATTGCAACATATGCCATTAACTTCATTTTCCACGGTTTATCGTGTATATTTAATGTTTTCATAAGAAAATGTACAAGCGTATGTTATACAATGCTATTCAGACATTGCCAGTACGGCACACCGCGTGATTTACACAGGTAATGGGGTCTTTCCTTGGTGCTGAAATGATGATCGGCACAATAATACTCCCTGGCGCCATGGCGCCATGTTCTAACTCACCGCTTTTGCTTAAATCTCCTTAATGCATTCGGATTTACCCTTTCCTTTTGTATGATATGTAAAAAGCAAGTATATCTGACGAATGACAAACACTTCAAATGATAAGGGTCGACAGCATTAAGTCAGCGGATTTGCTGGGTATTACGGACCAGAACATTTAAAAACGATTCCTTGTCCCCTGAAGTATTTCCAAAACACCCGTGGTGTATATTAACTGTGTACCGATGCTGTAGGTATTGCCAATGCCGTCCGTGCGCGCAGCACTAATCGATCACGTTAGTATATTGGAGTCCCCTATGGTTAATAACCGTCGCCATGATTGCAGCTTGTCTAATAAATCCAGCAATCATGTTTTCATGCTGACCGGCCGGCCTTCCGTGATTGGATTCTTGGACAAGTTGTACTTTATCCTCCGCACAACGAGCCTATCGTCCATCGACCTAATGAAATCACGCCGGAAATTATTAACTCCAATTTAAAATGTACACGCGCTCTGTAATGAAAAGCGTGCCCTGTACGTCATAGTGCCGAGATTGGTTACTCATCGTCCCATGTTCTTCACACAACATTTGGTTCGTGACGGACCAAAGGAAATGAAATTAATTTAATTAGCATAATTGATGGGCCAGCTGTCCTAAGTGCCAGCCTCAAGGTCAGTGCCAGTCCCGCGGGTGTTGGGAAACCGTCAACCGTGAAGTGCGGGGAATGTCAATCAATCTTAACTGTCCTGAAAGAGGGCAGACAGATAGATATAGTTATTTACACCGCCTAACGTTTACGACAACAACCTACCACACCTTTCGAAAAAGAGTAGCGGCATGCCCCGGTGTGCGATGGTCCAAACACTACAGTCTGAAAATTGGTGATTCACTACGGACTCCAGGAGGAATAGTGTGGAATTTACACTACATGTACTGGGGATCCTAATCAAACAAACAAACAAGCAAACAAAAAAACAAATAAATAAGATGATAATATCGAACCTTTTCTATGTAGTCAATATTACTGGAAGGTTGATACGGGAACCGAAGGCATACCTGGTTCCAAGTGGAATTGGTTTGGGATCTATTTTTAGATTCGCCAATCAATAAGCATCGGAGTGAAATACGTGGGCGAGTATGACGTATTATCAACCTTTCTTGGAAATAACACGAGAAAGTATATAAATCCCACCACAGAGCCGTGAACAATGACTAGTTGTGAATAGTCCGCTCATCCCGGGAGGCAGAGGCATTATCGCACAAACGATAGCTTCGCACCACCTCATACAGTAATCGGCTCACGCGGGGACAGGCGAGACTTCAGCGCGGCGTGATGTGATGGATACAGGTCAGGCCGCCGCCGGAGTGCCGGGATAAATTCTCCCCCGCAGCGTCCACGTCCTGACGGCAAGGCGATCACTTCTGGTATCGCCAGGTGCATTTAGAGGGAGGTTTAACGGCTGCGTGAGTGTGGATCTACAGGTAAGCCAGCCATGTTTGTAACCGTGCAGATCGCGTGACACGCCAGCAACGTTCACGTCCGTAATTTCTTGACCAGACGTTTATCTATATTTCATTTAGCTCACATGTCGTAAAGCAATTAGGTCCTTGCCAGCATATTCACATTTAGTCGTTTCCCTCTTGTAAAGCCATCATATACATGTATATATCACCGATATCCTTAGTTTAACACATGCATTGCCATTACATGGCATGGCAGGATCGTATGACATCTTACGTCACGATACGTGAGGAAGTTACCAAGTTTCCTCCAGCTGTCTTCGCGTAGTTTATCACGTTACCATAGCAACCGACAAGATCATGCAACCGACCTTCCGCACGGTTACGTGACCTTCCTTCACACGTTGACCTACCTGCAGGCTGTATCCAATATGTTCATCATCCCTGCATCTTTAACCAACCATTGCTGCGTCTCCGCGCTTAATTGAACACACAATATCCTGTCCAATGCCAAGGCCCATACCGCGCACATTTCCTAACGACTGTACTATAGATCTGTCCTAGCGTATTCCCCATTACATGGTTATTAGCTTGGGTGTTCCCATGCATGAAATTATTCTGAATAGGGGATCTGCATCTTGGCGATTGGAAAGGCCAGACGTGTGCCGTGCTGCAGGGCCGTACCGTGTAGGAGAATTCCCGCCGGACCCGCTCACTCCAGAACGATGAGTAACGACCGGCAGGCGGGGGTGACGACATCGCGGCGTGGTAGTTGGGCGGAGGGGGTGGCGAACAGCCCGAGACGCACGGCGGAGGGACACCACAGCGGCTACACCGCCGGAGGGGGGTACCTGTGCAACCTGGCGGGCAGGCTTTGATGTCATCTTCACACCAGGTGAGTCGTACGTCCGTCAAACTATGCGTGGCAAATATCATCTTCTGAAGCTTGTACTGTATACGTCGTATGATATACAACAGGCGCACAGTATTGCTTTACAATTTCATGCAGCTCTATTCGCCCATGCCATATAGATAGACTCTGCAGTAAAATGGCAATCTGTATCGTCTAGAAATTCGAAGAGACAGAAGGTGGCCTTTATCACGTGCACATTGATCCAAACACACCTGTCCTGTATAACAAAATACCTTGGGCATCTGTATGGTCCTTAAAATGCCATTTTGTCTTCCTAATAACATACAGAGGCAAGGGTGTACCAAATGTTTACATATGACGTATTCAATTAAGATGTATGCTGTGAAAATGTCGGTCAGGAAACAATACATCAATATTTATGTCGGACAAACCAATAATTATGAATATCTATGCCGATGTGTTGATATCATGAAACTTGACGTGACATATCCAGACGACGTCACCCATTGTTGCTGAGGCAGCCCCCGTCTGACGGTAGTCACGCCATGGCCGGTCCTGGGTGGTTGTCATTAAACTTTCAACGATCCAATTTCTGCCAGTAACCCAGTCTACAATGGCGGTAAAGAAAAACAATAATTGGCCCGCGCTGGTCCGTAGCTCCGGATAGTTCACTTTTAATGAAGCTCCTTTCTCTTAAGAGTAGTTACCGGTAAAGTTTACAACACCCAGGGGCTTCCTGGTGCTTACTCGTAATGGTTTGTAGAGATAGAGTCCAAGAACGTAAGTGACAAGGCAAGACAAGACCAGGCCAGGTCTGTCCACCTGCTCTAAGACCAGCTGTAACCTTGAACAGTTCCACACGACAATTTCAAGGTAGATAATTCGTGTTTTGATTCGTTTTTTCAACGTTTTCTGTAGCCTCCACGAGACTTCTGTTGGCTGGGAACGAAGCAAAATGAGCTCCCATAACCCTGAAAAAGGACAAGTATCCTACCTTTTTTGGCCAATCACTCTCAATTTCTAACTATTATCCCAGCCCACAAAAGATCAGGAAGAGACTAACGTCTCTAAGCGGCGCACGTTTTCACGATTTCTTTGGCACAACAGAAAGCTGTACGTGTTATTTCAGTTCAATATTATAGATCTTACAGAAAACGAGCCTAAAACGCGTCACGTCTGCTTGGTGTATACACTCCGCACTCGTACATGTACACAAGATCAGAACCCACCACCCCGAAATAAGATATTTCCAATGTGGACAATTGACCAGGTCTAATCTTGGAGCAAATTGGATTCAGGAGGTGAAAATGCCATGTCCCTTGCCAGATGTATAAGTTATAAAGCTTAGGTCCAAACGTGTCGTTAAGGGTGTATTGGAAACCAAGCGATTTCTCCTGTGTGCCGTGCGACTTGAGAAGTCCAGGCACGTGACGGCTCTGCGCTTAAATGTCCAGTCACGAAACTAACGTAGGCCAGGTCCAGAACATTCCTCCACACATATGTATTCTTTCTACATCTTTTCTACAAAAGGACTGACTGACTACCTGTAGGCTCGCCAAACTCCATGGCTGTCAACACATCTTTTCTTACTGTTTCCGTTACCGTTTCTTTGTCTTTGCTGCTTTCCCTCATCCTTTATCCCCATCCATGTACACTTATCGCTTCCATCCTTTTCAAGAGTTGAACCGTTCTTCCTCGCAGTGATCTACATGTACCTCTTGATCACTGCCTAGTTGGAGACCCCGACCACCAAACGGAGCCATTTCAACGGCAATTCTAACGCAAGTGGGCGGTTTAATGGTGCATTTTACACTTGACATCCATTTCTGGGAGGGATGTCTACATCCATCATTACACTGTAAATGTAATGTAGTCGTGTCAGTAGATCACTTCCAAGAAGATAACACCCTAACCTGACCCTAACCCTAACCCTGATCCTACCAACACAAACAGCGCTGTCCATGGGGCCGCTGACGTTTGGCGAGCCACTAGCAGCTCATGATCAGATGGCTGCGTCGTGGATTGAGGTGGGCAGAATGAGAACCATGACGCATACAGGAGGCTATGAAATTTTATGCGATGACTAA